GAATCCCAGGGACGGTCAAATTTTCAAAAAATGTTCTTTTTTTTAATTTTGTTTTTAAATTACATTATTTTTTTAATGTGCTTTTCGATATTCTGGAGGTTCCTGCATGTAGGAAAAAAAGTTTTTATTGGGAAAATGGGAAAAAACTGGAAAAATCCAGGAAAATCAATTTATTTGCTCTTTTTTGACTTCTATTGTAACATTTTGGATATTCTAGCATGCATGGGGTGTTTTCTGTGTGCGAAGTTCAGCAAAGAGAGCGTAAAGATATAATAAAAAAAAGAATAAAAAAATAAAATGGCTCGAGAAAGGTTCAAATTTCAAGACCCCTAGCTCCTTTTTATATCAAGATATAATTTTCAAACTCGGACTCTAGGTAGGAGTCTATGGTCCGATCAAGGCTGCTGAAGAGAATTTTTATAGGCCAATTAGGGGGGTCTCAGTGGGGCCCTTAAGGTATATTGCGAAGATGAGAGGAGAGAGCTTTTGAAGCGAAACTGTCGTAGGCTTCACGTATCACCGTGGACTGGAAGGTAGGCCACCAGACAAGCAAGTTCGCTGCAGGAGGGAGGGGTCCTGGGTTCGAATCCCAGGGACGGTCAAATTTTCAAAAAATGTTCTTTTTTTTATTTTGTTTATTTTAAATTACATTATTTTTTTTAATGTGTTTTTCGATATTCTGGAGGTTCCTGCATGTAGGAAAAAAAATTTTTTATTGGGAAAATGGGAAAAAACTGGAAAAATCCAGGAAAATCAGTTTATTTGCTCTTTTTCGACTTCTATTGTAACATTTTGGATATTCTAGCATGCATGGGGTGTTTTCTGTGTGTGAAGTCCAGCAAAGAAAGCGTAATGGAATAATAAAAAAAAAGAATAAAAAAATAAAATGGCTCGAGAAAGGTTCAAATTTCAAGACCCCCTAGCTCCCTTTAATATCAAGGTATAATTTTCAAACTCGGAAACTAAGTATGGGTCTATGATCCAAACATGGCTGCCGAAGAGAATTTTTATAAGTCAATTAGGGGGGTCAAAGTGGGCTCCTAAAGGTATATAGCGAAGATGAGAGGAGAGAGCTTTTGAAGAGAAACTGTGGTAGGCTTCATGTAACACCGTGGACTGGATGGTAGGCCTCCAGACAAGCAAGATCTCTGCTGGAGGGAGGGGTCCTGTTTTCGAATCCCAGGGACGGACACTTTATCAAAAAACTTTTTTTTTTGTTATTTATTTTAAATTTTACTATAAACCGTTGATAAACAGCCGATCCAACTTTTTTTGTATTCGACTGCTAATGTTTAACTCTGCAGCATTGTAATTTTGAACCCATTCCAGAAAAAAAATTGGTGAGGAAAACATCCAAGGATTAGCTTAACGGCAAGAGGATTCTAACCCATGATCCGTCTACCACTGAAGAAATTTTACGTCAGCTCTGTGATCAGTGCAAGTCGGATGCAAAATTCCCCAAACAACAATTTCATCTTTACTCAAGTTTGGCTTAATCTGGGCCCTGCATGAACATGCAACGAGGCACCAAGATTGGGATGCCTATATTTTTTAATATTGATCCTATATAAGGCCAATATCTGCCTTTATGGGGCTTATATAGGCAGAAAATAAATATAAAATTTCGGGTGAATTTCACAATTCTTTATAGGGTCTATATTGGTTGTAAATTGTCGAGTGAATCGCATAATTCTCTATAGCACCAATATCGGATTTGAACCCGGTTCACTTCACTGGAAAGCGAACGCTCTATCCCCTGAGCAATCGCGGGCTCAAACGTTCCATATGTGTTTATGATCATGTTCCTTATTTCCTTTAGGAGTAAGGAATAGTGCAATAAGAAGGATATTCTTTATTGTGAACTGCAGGTTGCCTGTTAGCCTTTGTTACTGTCGACTCATGAGAAATACGTAATTTCTCTTTTTTAGAGCGGAACCCGTGAAAATTTGACTCCCTGATGTACTCGTGATTTTGATTTGACTCCCTGAGCCTCTGTCCCTCTTTGCGTCGGCAAATTAACAACGAGAAATTTGTAGTTTAAACCAGGCCCACTAAAAATAATAATAATTTGCAAATGTCTAAAATTACAAAGCTTTTTGAAGCAACATAAGAAACTACCTTTAATTAAATAACTACGATTTGCTTTATTATCTTCAGGTTATTACTATGTTACGCCATTAGTGCTCAAAAATTTAATTTGATGAAAATAAATAATAGTTTAAATCAAATAATTTTGTATAAATATGCAAAATTTCACTAAAAAATAATTGTTGCAAAAATATATAACCATAAACAAATATTTCATCTTTAATTTGAATAACCAAAGAAAGGGTAGGGCACTTTTTTCTTTGATGAAATCGAAGATCATAATCACCAAGTAAAGAAAAACGAATTGTATTGAAGGTTTTTTCCATTTCCCCCTCAAACGCGTCCAGTTACTTCAACTCATTATTCCGAAGGGTCCGCCAACGATCTTTTACAAATCAATTAATGGTTTTAAAATGCATTTATTAGCTGAAAAATATCGTTTAACTAGTATTTAAAATAAACAAGCTTTTGGACCCTTGAAAAGAAATACCGAGTTCAAGTCAAAAAAAGAAAACACATCGCAAATAAGTGAGGAGAAAGCAAAAAGGCTATGAAAATGAATCATCAGTTTTATTGCTTGAAAACTGGCGATTATTAAAAAACACTAAAGTTTTAATTAGGCAATCAAACTTCGTCTTGGTGGTTTTCATTCTGCTTTCATCACTACTGATTTGAATCTAAAACATTAATCCGGTACCCCTATAATGTATAAATTCTTTAGCAGGGATTTTGAAAGTATATAGCAAAGGCGTGATTACGTCCTTTTCATCGAAAACAGAAATCATAAGTACATAATTGTAGTGTGTCTACCACTACAAAAATATAATTCCAATTCACTAGTATATAACACGTGTTAACTCGATCCGATGATGGGGTACCTTTTCATAGGTAAAGGTTGACATTGTCTATAACTTCTTTCCCGAAATTGGAGACCCGGACATGATATGAACATGCCTACCTCGACAAAAACTCTCGCTTCGATTTGAACACTCCTACTTCGATGGATTGTTCACATTGAACAGTTGACTTACTAGTAGTGATATTATCTACCTACTCGCGCTGTTGCTACTCAGTCTCGATCACACACAACGTCAGCCTGTATACACTCTACTGCTAATGGCTACACAGAAGCAACAATGACCGTGAATTTAATACAGCTCTCACGATCAGCACTCAAAAGTAAGGTGGTCTTAATACAGCTCTCTCTCTACTTCTCACAAAACAGCAAAGAATCAATTAGTGGTATCAGTTTATCGAATTCTATCACAGTTATAGTTTTGGTGGGGGAGTACTGTAGTGTGTCTGCCACTACAAAAATACAATTCCAATTCTTTATCATGTAAAACATGTTAATTCGATTCTATGATGGGGTACCTTTTCATAGATGAAGGTTGATATTGTCTATAACTTCTTTCCCCACATCCAAATCACGTCCGGGTAACCAATGTGGGGAAAGAAGTTATAGACAATGTCTCTAGAAGTTATAGACAAGGAAGCAGGGCGCTGGACTCATGTTCGTGAAAACGGGAGTTCGAATACAGCCCGCCGACCTCTCCCCGTGTAGTAAATGGTGACTGGTGCTTGTTAAATTTATCGAGTCATAAATTCCTCCATGTTCCTATATCAAATCATACCTCTGTGGGTACTGAATTAGAGACTGATCGCTCTCTGGTTCAGAACAAAATTACGGTCTGTGAATGGGTATGAATGGGTCTGTCCTAAAAAACGGGTGTGGCAGAAGTCAAATTCTTGGCCATAGATGGCGCCACTGGAAATCAAGAACGCTTCCGTCCCCACTGCCCTAATGGCTAACGAAAACAACACCACCACCTTTATTTAATTAAAAAGGGAGATGAAATTCACAAAGTGATGAGGCTCTTCTGATCTGCAAATATAACAATGATTCTGGAATTGTAATGGGTGGGAGTCATCAGCGCAGAAAAACGGATTTTATTTGAGGGGTTTAAAAAAATGGTTACAAGTTTGTCCCTCCAGTTTTGGACCTGGGCCCAAAGCCTTACAAAACAGGCTATCCCGGCCTTTGAAAATCGATTAATATAAAAAATAACTTAATGAGCCATGATGGCTCAGGGGATAGAGTATTCGCCTTCCAATGAATTCAAATCCCAGAGATGGCTGGTTGATACGAATTCCACATCCCGCTTGCACCCAGCACCAAGATGACGTAAAATATCATCAGCGGTAGGCAGATTATAGGTTGGAGTCTCCTTGCAGTCAAACTGACTGTGGGAGGTTTTCCTCGACATGTAACGCAAATACGGGTAAGTTTCATCAAGAAGTCCTTCACAAAGGCAAGTTTCTCACAATACTTGATCCAGGAATTCCCTTGTCTTTTGGGCTGGGCTCAAAATTACAAGGCTACAGAGTTGAATTTCAGTGGTCATAAAACCAAAAATTTGGTCAGCTCTTCAACGCGGTTATAAAATAAAAACTTAATGAACAGCGACTTGATTCTTCAGCATGAATCTTCTTGTGAAAAAAGTTTTATCATTTATGCGCTTGAGTGTGCTTCTCTATACAATATTTCTTCAGAAATCGGAGAATGTATGCAAATCTCCTCGATGAATAAAAATGATCTCTGTATGATTTAAAAAACCACATAGAAATGGCTCAGAAAGCGATAAATAACTACCAATAAACAGATTTATCAAAGGAATCATCGTGATTCGAGTGCTTAGTGCCTCAGAGTTATCACAAGGAATAACTCAAATTCAAAATTCGTGCATCGTAATAACGTCATGCTGAAAATGGCATTGTTGGAAAAATCATGTAAAAGGAGGGAAAAAACACATCTTAATAAGTTCATGATTTTGATTAAATCAAGTTATAATTTGAAATAGTTTCGATATTGAGTAACAAATGTGTATGTTTTCTAGAAATCAGTACAATAAGACTTTAATAATTGAATATATTCAAGACTTGTACAAATGATTGAATACATTCACGTGCCTTTTTTATTCACACTTTTTGTTCTAGTTATATCCTATTCTCATTTAGTTTGGTACTTGTTTTATGAAATACAGGACCTTAAATTAGTGTTTTAGAGCTATTCTTTTTTCTTTTTTACCAGCTCACACTAAATGGTTGGAATGTAAAATTATCAGGGATATTTTTTGATCAACAATTATCTAAAATTTAGTAAGTTTTTTCCCCTTTTACTTAAGTTTACTTATTTTTATTGTAGCTTCTATAGTTTTTATTTGTATTTCCCGGGGGAAAAATATTAACATTTAATTTTACACTTTCTTCGTTCAATAAACAATATAAAAAACTTTCTAAGCTAGGCTTTCTTCTTTATCAATTACGAATTTACTATCCAAGTATCAACTATCTAGAAAGCCAATAAATGATCTTTTAGAAATATGATATTTTAAAATAATGACATTTTAAAAAGAAATAAGTGTGGTTATATAGATAGCTATTTATGCTATTGTCTAAATTTCTTTCTCAATAGCTATTTTATTATCTCTATTCCTTATTAACTTAACATATTAGCAAAACTAACCTGCAATTTGTTAGCATTACAAGCGGATTAAACTAAAAGTTTTTACTTAATAAAAAAAGGGGGCAATTAGCAATATGTTCATTTAGGCTTCAGAATTTTGTTACACTCCTGATTATAAGAAAAAAAAATGTCGTATTATTGAATAAAATTTAAAACAATTAATAAGTGATATTTACCTTTTTTACGAAGTGTTAAACATAAAAAATATTCACGTTTTAAAAAAAAAAATTTTTTTTGTTTGTTTTCTCAATGAACCTGTGAAGATCCCGTAACCCAAGTTCAGGTTGTGACCAATAATTTGGAAAAATTCAGGTTTATTGCAATACAAAATCTCTAAAAATTATGTCTTGAAATAAATATATATATTTTTAATAATTTGGAAAGATGAAAAAATAATAGTAACCTTTATTTTTTAGATGTTCACGGAAATCAGCAAATTTCACAATTAAAAAAATAGAATCATACTATATTTAAAATTAACAGTAAATTAACAACAACATCAACAACAGAATCAACAACAACAAATTAATGAACAATACAGATAGAATATATAGCACTGTTATATGGAAGACATGAGATAAATATATCCTTATATTGCAGCTATTCCCATTGGTGGAGTAAAGACATTCACAACTTTGATGCAACAAAATCTTTTGTAGATAGCAACTTTTTGATGATTCGTGTTACATCTTGTGCAGTACCCCAAGAAAGAGCTACACCATGACCACCATGGCCATAATTATTCACAACCTAAGAAAGAAAAAATATTGAAACAGAAAGAGAAAATAATTTATTGAAATGAATCGAAAAATTACTTTTACAATACAGTCTATTCCATGTACAAACTCAAAGACCACCTTTAAAATTTTAGCAAATAAAAAATTTTCTTTTTGATCATAAGTTTTAAAAAAAAACACTTGAATTTCATAAAAAGATAAAACACAATTATTTTATTATTTTTTTAATGATTAATCCTGCTAAGACGTCTTTAAAGAAAAAAACTACAAGTCGTATATTCAAAACTTTGTAATAAATCTTTCCACTCTTTTTCATATGAAACAACAAATCATAGAATTGGCAAAAATGCATTAAAGAAAAAAAAATGAACTTCTTTCATTTTTCAAAATTTAATTCAATTATTTAAACTATATTTATTTTTTGCAGCTTGCAGCTAGAGATAATATATAAAAAAAAATGAAAAATAAAATTTTAAAACTTACGGGACTATTAAGGCTCAATGTCATGCTTGTCACAGTTATCATGATGGACATTTGCACTTTGGCGCAAAATAGTATTTGCTGGTGACAGTAACAAATCTTACAGCATTAGTTAGCTTCCTAATTGAAACCTTGATCCGGTAAAGAATCCAAGGCAGTACCCCCTTTACGCATGGGGATAACTGGGCAGTACCCAAGGGGCCCAAAATGCTTAGGGGGCCCTTCAGAATCTTACTTTCGAAAAATAATATTTTTAAAAGAAATGCATTGCTTTATAAATTTTAAACGGAATATATTCTATTGAATAAATCAAATGAATGAAATATAGTTGATTGGATAAATCTATTCTAATGAATGTGTAATCATTTACATAATACAATAATTATATTATATAAGTACAGTAACAATAAGCAAAAGAAAATTATAGCAAAAGAAAATATTTCATGCCTCATGATAACATTAGTTTAATGCAGAGTTGGCTGATTTAAACCAATGTGGTTTAAGCCGTATATATAAACCAAACGTTTTTTTTAAAGAAAAACCTTTTAATTAATAAAATGTTTTTATTTATATAAATACTTTCAATTCGACAAAATGAAATTTTTGCACAAAGTTTTCGTATTACTTTTAAGTTTTATTACTAAAGTGAATTTACCTTACTTTAAATAAACATAAATATGTTATTTTAAAATGTTTACATATTGCTTTTCTGAAAAATATCTCTGTAGAACAAATTAATGTCAAAAAGTTTTTGGTTAGCTCATGTCTCTAAAAATGCTTTTCACATTGTTGCTTTAAAAATTCGAATAAAATGAAACTGATTCAATGTTTTATCTGAAAGTACAGCAATGATACATAAAAAAATTATGATTATCTGTTTCTATGAATTCATAACAATTTAAAGATTCCTGTCATGCCATGAAATTATAAAGAATAGTTCGGAAGTAATAATGGGAACAAGTGTTTGCGCATTGCTGCTTTACAAATTCGAATAAAATTAAACTGATTCAATGTTCCATCTGAAAGTACATCAATGATACATAAAGCAAAATTATGATTATTTTTTTCTATGAATTCATAACAATTTAAAGATTCCTGTCATGCCATGAAATTATAAAGAATAGTTCAGAAGTAACAATGGGAACAAGTGTTTGCGCATTGTTCCTTTAAAAATTCGAGTAAAATGAAACCGATTCAATGTTCCATCTGAAAGTACAGCAATGATACATAAAAAAAATTATAATTATTTTTTTTCTATGAATTCATAACAATTTAAAGATTCCTGTCATGCCATGAAATTATAAAGAATAGTTCAGAACCTAATTATGTCATGAAATTATAAAGAATAGCTCAGAATGGGAACAAGTGCTTGTGCATCATTGATTTAAAAATTTGAATAAAATTAAACTGATTCAATGTTCTATCTGAAAGTACAGCAATGATACATAAAACAAAATTATGATTATTTTTTTCTATGAATTCATAACAATTTAAAGATTCCTGTCATGCCATGAAATTATAAAGAATAGTTCAGAAGTAACAATGGGAACAAGTGCTTGCGCATTGTTGCTTTAAAAATTCTAGTAAAATGAAACCGATTCAATGTTCCAGCTGAAAGTACAGCAATGATATATAAAAAAAATTATGATTATTTTTTTTCTATCAATTCATAACAATTTAAAGATTCCTGTCATGCCATGAAATTATAAAGAATAGTTCAGAAGTAACAATGGGAACAAGTGTTTGCGCATTGTTGCTTTAAAAATTCGAGTAAAATGAAACCGATTCAATGTTCTATCTGAAAGTACAGCAATGATACATACAAAAAATTATGATTTTTTTTTCTTCTATGAATTCATAACAATTTAAAGATTCCTGTCATGCCATGAAATTATAAAGAATAGTTCAAAACCTAATTATGCCATGAAATTATAAAGAATAGTTCAGAATGGGAACAAGTGCTTGTGCATCAGTGATTTAAAAATTTGAATAAAATGAAACTGATTCAATTTTCTATCTGAAAGTACAGCAATCATACATAAGGGAAAATTATTATTATAAATCAAAGTTAGACTTACCATGCGATAATTTTTATCAGACGGTACAAAGCATGCATCCACCCGAACTGAGGGCCTGTGAGGGCGAAGGCCTACCCAGTCTCTCACTATTTCTGCATTCTAAAATAAAAGTAAAATAATTAATTTAAAACAAAATAGAATCGTAATAATAATTTAGGTGGAAAATGGCTCTTTGAAAAGTATTTTAATACGTTTGTAATTACCCACAAAAGTGATAATATATGTGGGCAGCCCAATAAACTTTTCTAATTCCTAATTTTTAATTGCTTAAATAATAGAACAAAATATGAAGGTTTTATTTGAGAGGCCTTATTGAGTTATACAAAAGAAACTTTCATATAGCTCATTATACAAAGGAGATATTTATATCAAACAAACCATATAAATAGTTTGTTAGCTTTTTGAAAATTCAGTCTTAACATTTAAAAAAAAATTAATGGAATGATTTAATTATTTTAATTATTTTCTATTTGATTTTACAGTATTTAAAAGAAGTACATAATCATAATACAGTTGGGGCTCATTTGCAATAATGACATTTCAAGTTCAGTGAGAAAAATTTAGTATTTTATTAGGTACTATGTCAAATGAATTAGTGTGTTCTTTGAAAGAAGATTTTCTTTTTTATATATTTGAATTTAAGAAATTCAAGTCAAAAAGCATTGCATAAGAGTTACCTTTAAACTCGGAACTAATTCCACACATTTATCCAAAATCCATTGTCTCTGATAATTATTAACCTCAAGGTCATAACTTCCATAATCCTTTATACCACCAAGAGTAACATAGTCAACCCTGCAAAAAAAATATATAAACAAATTGTTTTGGAAAATGACAAAATATAATGTACAAATTAATTTTTTTAAGAGATGAAAAATAAGAAAAACAATGTAAAATAAGAGCAGCAATTGTATGATAATTAATTGAATCGTCCAAGTTGAGAGTACTGGGTGAAATTATATTAAAAATAATATTTCCCTGGCACGCACTGTTTTTCCATTGAATAACATAGTGAAACCGGTTTTTACATGACGGTCCGGGGCTGAACCAGTATCGTCTTTACACATGGGCAGACCCGGACAGTGATTGGGGGCTCCAAGAACTCAGGGGGTTCTTGAGAATCTTACCTATTATAAATTGTATTAAAAAAACTAAGAGCAAAAAACATTGCATTTTATATTTTTTTAAATAAATGTATTCTTGTATAAAAAATCTGCATTTTTTTCTATAAATAGTGATGGATTATCATGCGAACACCGATAATTTGAATAGTTCATCACCAGGAAAATTTAAAAAGTCAACCAAAATCTATTTTAGTACATTAAAATTAAGTTCTTAAGTACTCAACTAATTTCTCTAAATATGCTTGACCACCACCAACTCTGTTTCATATTTATAATTAGTTAAATAAAGTATAATTGAAAGAATTTAGAATTACAGGGCACTATTTGACAGTAACTTTTAAACTCATTATGTCTGATGCGCATTGAAAGATGTTTTAATAACAAACTTTTATAGTTTGACGATATTATTCATACCTTTTAAATTTTTTTATTCGTTATACCCTTATGTTTTTAATTTAATTATTTTAATTAGCTTCTTGGTTTTAAAAATTATTTTATTATTTGAGGCCTACAACTGGTTAGATCTCATTTTTCCTTTTTTTTAAAATTATGCATAGTTTAAAAATGCTTTATTTTATGTGCATTGAGTTTTTGGGCCAATAAAAATGTGTTTAAGTTTGTTAAAATTATTGCATATCTTAAAAATGATTTATTTTATGTATGTGTAGTTTTTTTAGTTTGATTTTAAACAGTATGATATGTTATAAGGGTCCAAAACATTTCTATGCCCTGGTGGTTCTGCTTGCTCTTCAGTAGTACATATTAATTAAGCATCAGCTGGGAATGGCAATTTTCCATAGTTTTCCTAAACCAATTTCCCATTAACATTTTCCAGGGTGCATAGCCAAATCTTTGAATCAAAAATAAGCACTTTTTAAAAACTTTTCAAGCACTTTACAAAAATTTTCAAGCACTCAAAAAATTTATATTCAATCAATGATATTATTGAAAAAAAAAACTTTTTATAAACAGTTTTAGCGTTAAAAAAAACCCAAAAAGAAACGGGCGTAAATCGAAACAATCAGTACTTTCCCACATCACTGAGTGAATTCAACTTGACCCTGAACTCAGAACAAAAGTACCCTTACCCCTTACGTCAAAAAAAGTGTTAGAAGTAAAATAAAATAAACAAGAACAAAATTAAAATAAATTAAAAAGAAAAACATTTAATAAGGATCTGATATTCTCTATCCGAATTGGATCACTCGGGTTTCGGTTTAAAGTGTGCGCGCATGCGCAAGTCATAACGTGGGTTGGACATGAAGTCCGCATGAATGATTACGTAGCAAATTCCCCATTTTTCGCGAAATCACTGAAGGGAAAAAAAATTATTCGAAAAATAAAGCACTTTTTAAAAACGCCAACTGAAAAAAGCACCTTTAAAAGCCCTTAAAAACATAATCCCCCTAAAAGCACCTTTAAGTACTTTTTACAAACGCTACACACCCTGTTTTCTTCATTAACATTGCCTTTTAGTATCTAAGTATTTTTTCCTTCAATAATACATATTACCAATATTAAATACATTAAATATTAGTACAGATAGTATACATCTTCCAATTTACAAAATATTAAAGACTAGTTTGTCCCTGAAAACTGCAAAATAAAAAATTCCAGAGTCTAGTGTATTTCAGTTACTAGACTTTGGATACATTCATTTCATAAATATTAATTACAGAACTTTGTTATGAAAAAAATTTTTTAAATTATTGAATGAAAATACAGACAAAACAAACATTGTTTTCTAAATGCTACATTGTTTGTGGAAAAAACTAATAAGTTTCTAAAAATTACGATTATAAAATATTTTCAGAAAGCAGGATTTCCTGATATATAAGGAATACATAACAAGTACATTTGGAAATTTTTAAATCGTTTGATCTTTTAAAGGAATTTTTGTGTAGTAACTCACTCCAATATTGCAAATACACCCCAATTTAAGAAATAAAACTTCTGGTCTTGATATCTAGGCCTGACCCTGGGGGGGGAGGGTAACAGAATTTACCATTTGAATCAGCAGCATTAAATCCAAATTGGTTTGTAGCCCTAAGACAATCAGAGATTATTATTACAAAAACTCAGCTTAATTTAACAGATAAACTTTGTTGTATAAATTTAATTTTGAATTTTATAAAAAGATGGTACTTAAAAAACTGAATAAATCTCTAAAGCCTCTAATCAAGTAACAATTTTTTTTAAAGCACAATTGAGAAATCAGAAGAAAAAAATATTTATAAAAAGAATGAACTTTCAGATTAAAATAATAAAATAAAATCTTCTTAAGGGCTAAATTAATTAGCAGATGTTTTGATTATTTGCAGCGCCTGCTATTGTGCTGAAGGGGCTGTATTTCATAACTTAACTACATTGTGATAAAGGTCAGAATATTTACCCTGGGAGGATGTAAACTGCATCTCCGTAATAAAAGTGCTTAATCCAGGGAGCTTTGACCTGCAATGCAGAAACATAGAGGATAACTCAAAAACACATTTTACAAACACTTAAAATAACTAACAGGGGAGCATTCTCTGCATTGAAAAGAATTTCATAAAATTCTTCGATTTTAACGACCACTACTGTGTGGTTCCTAGTGCTTACTTTTAATTAATTTTGTATTACATGGCATGTAATAATCGAAAAGGACGAAATTTCTGAAAAAAGAAAAAAAAAGTGCTAATTCAGGGAGCTTTGACCTGCAATGTAGAAACATAGAGGATAACTCAAAAACATATTTTACAAACACTTAAAATAACTAACAAGGGAACATTCTCAGCATTGAAAAGAATTTCATAAAATTCTTTGATTTTAACGAAAACTACTATGTAGTTCCTCGTGCTTACTTTTAATTAATTTTTTATTACATGACATGTAATAATTGAAAAGGGCGAAATTTCTGAAAAATAAAAAAAAGTGTTAATTCAGGGACCTGCAATGTAGAAACATAGAGGATGACTCAAAAACACATTTTACAAACATTTAAAATAACTAACAAGGGGATATTCTGTGGTGTCTCCATTGAAAAGAGTTTCATAAAATTCCTTGATTTTAACCAACACTATTAGCTGGATCCTCGTGCTTGTTTTGTGCTTACTTTAAATTATTTTTTTTATTTCCTGGCATGCAATAATTGCAAAGGTCAAAATTTCTGAAAAATGGACAATTTTTTAAGATCCAATTTTATTTTTAAAAGTGTAATTTATTATTCAAATTATTTAAATTAAACAAATCTCAAAAAAGATGAAATGACAATTTTTGAGAACTTTTTGGAGTGGAGTTCTAAATTTATTTGATAACAAACAATCTTAAAAATCTGTTTTTTTTTTTTTTTTTTTTAAGAAATTAAAACGCTAAGTAAGTTAAAATTGAAATACAAACAGTTTAAAAGAGTGTTCGAAATTTATACATTTCGCGAATCGAAAACTTGTAAGCAAAATATCGACATTATATTCATTTCCTACAGCCAACATATTAATTTAGAACTCATTTACTTAAAATTAAGTTGTCTCTCAGAACTCATTCACTGAGATTCTCAATTGACAAAAAATGCTTTTAATTGAAATTCTATGATATTAGATAATATTTTTGTTTCATAATAATCAATTAAAATAATAGTAATCTTTTTCTTGCAGTTATGATTATCGGTAAAAATATTATAAAAAATATTGTTACGTAGATGCTGGGGTTCCCTATAAGTTTTTACAAGAACACAGATTAGAAATATTCTCAAATTTCTATTTTTTTTAATATTTATGTCATAAATCTTAAGGAGTAATCTTCCAATTCAATATTATTTTTGTCACTGGATTAATTAATTATTTAATGTATATTTTTCATTAAATTTCAAGTTCAATTTATTTCTTATCTAATCTCTATCTTGCTAAGTACTCATCAACTAATATTAATTACTTTAATTTAACAAAAAACTCATACTTTTAAAAGGCAATCTGAATATTTACTAAATGCCTCCCCATGGAGGGCCAAGGCCTACTGGGCCCATCTCAGTTTTCTTGACCTTGGGCTCTGGGGTGCAGATGTTCCGGTTAGATGGTCAGCAGAACACACCTGCTGACCATCTGAGACTGAGGCATGAAAGGCTGATCAAACCTTGCCCGGACCGAGGATCAAACCCAGGACATGAGCGCAAAGGGCTACCAGTCAACCACTGGACCTTTCGAAGAATTGGTGAAGACAAAAGAAAGCCCCTATGCTACCTTTCATTTATTTAAATGTTTATGTACATTGTACAGCTGTATTGAGATTTTCTTAATCAATTTTTAGATCTATTTAATTTGGTATCAATGTTATGAGAGCTATATCTATGGTCATGCCTTTAAAAAGCAATGGGAGACTTTTAATATCTTTTAACTCTTAAATTTATATTTAATCTAATAATTTTTAATTTATATAAAAAAAATACTTGAAAGGAAATTCTTTTAAATAGATTATTCTTATCAGACTGCATAATTACTATTCAATAAAAAGATATTCAGTTTACATAACTATTTGTAATAACAATATTTAAATGCATCATTAACTGTCCATCTACTTATTTTTTTAAAAATAACTGTAACCAAAATAATTAACTTACTCATTTATATCACTCATGAAGTTAATACTCTAGAAAATGCATCGAACACGCTCAACCATTCACTCATTTAAGTAATAACTAATTTTAAAAACAATTATCTTAAAAATTTAAAGTAAGCATGAAAGGTACCCTGATAGTTTGACCTCTAACCGCTACAAGTTGATCATCACTTATTAGATGTTGTGCACCTAATCCACTACAATTGACCACAATGTCATAATGTCTGGGAATCTGAAAATGAAAACCAATTCCTTTTAGAATTTAATTAGATTTATTGCTAGCAATAATAAATTTAAAACTTAAACAGGGTGCGTAGCCAAATTTTTCAAAAAAAAATCACCCTTCAAATACTTTTAAAGCACTCAAAAAATATTTTTACTCACTTTCCAAAAAATAATCATAATTAGGATCTTTTCAGGTATAAAATTGATTTTTTCTATCGTTTAAAGTTCTTAATTTATAAACATAAAATCAACAAAATTCAAAAACATTTCCAAAAACTTTAGATAATCGTGATAAAATAACTAGTTTCTGATAGATATTGCAGAGAAAATTGTAAAAAACATGAATTTTTTGTAATTTAGAACGACAATTGATGCTCCAAAGAAAAATCTTTTTTCAAAAGATAGAAAATTAAGCACTTTTTACAAACTCTGAATAAAAAAAGTACCTTTAAGGGTTTTTAAAAAACTTAAATCAAAGATAAGCACCTTTAAGCACTTTTTAAAAATGCTACGAACCATGTTAGATTTTTATTTTTTTCCATTCTGATGAAATGACAAGCGCACTATAGATTACAATTACAGGTATGCCTGAAAAAGTTAATAAAAAGTTTTTCAAAGAACTATTACTTTTTTCAATTTGAATATGTTTACAATATATTTCAGGATAATTACCATTTTAGAAAAAGAAAATCGAGAATACAGAGAATTGCGCTTAATTTCTCAGTGCAAAAGTATTGAAAAATTAACAAACTGTGTATTCCCATAATTTTTAACTATACAACTTAAAATATGAATACTTAGAAAAAACAATAAAAATTAACTTACATCATCTAAAGACGTAAGAGTTTTCCGTTTAATTTCCCCACCAGCTTTCTCAAACCTAGAAAAATTAATAAGATTTTGAGCTCAGTTGCAGTTGAGTATCTAAAACTCCGTCAAAATCTGGGGCTAAAATTGAAGTGGGGTCCTGGAAATTTACAAATATATATAAAAAGTATTTTGTAGCATAAAAATATATGATAAATATTTATGTTTTAATATTTGTCAGTTTTTTTTTCCCAAGGAACTAAAAAGCTGTGTTTATAACTGTAACTGTCAAATTATTTATTAAAGTGGAATTAAGTTAACTTATATAATCAACTGCCAATTCTTTTAAAAATTGAATATTTATTTAATTTTAGCCACTTTAAATTTATACCATATTTCTTTTCATCTGTTGATTGCATTTGAAACAGACAGCCTATTCAAGACACACAAGAATAATTCTTAACACCTTAGATTTTTATACATATATATATACATATAGATAAATAAAATAAATTTTTAAAGAGAAAAAACAATTAATAAATAAAATGCTTTAAGAAAATCTCTATGTGCCTATCTTTTATATTTCCCTAATCCTTTATCTCTATTTTAATTATATTGCTAAAGAATGTTGTTAAAGAAAAACATATAAACTTAAATTAATTCAATACTACTCTGTATATATAATAAAAACTAACACAATTTAATAGATGATGCTATAAATTAATAAATATGAAATAAAACAAAATTAATAATAATAAAATAAAATTTTAAAATATTACAATGCTTGAATGCACTTTCCGGGTTCTGAATGCTTTATATAATATTTTTAAAATGTTTTCTGTGTTAATTACACACCAATTTGTTTGCATCATATTTAATTGATCTACAAAGTTTTTGTTTTAAATAATTAAATAAATATTTACTTAGATTTCATCCAAGGTAAATAGTAGCGACAATCAGTAACAATAGTAGTAAAGAAGACACCTTTTCTGAAAAGAAATTTCAGCTAAATCAAATAAGAATGATTTCTAACTTGCTCAAATCACTTGAACACTTTTTTGCATTGCTTTTATTAAAAATAATAATAGTTAAAAAAAAACATTTAAAAAAATTTTTTAAAAAAAATAATAACTTTTTTTTAATAAGTATATGAAAACATTACGTAGTAGAACCTCAATTGACCATTCATTGTGAATGATAGATACAGAAATATGGATGCAGATCAGCAATAAAATGTCAAAAAAGTTATTTGAAAGAAAATGTATAAAAAGTAATAAAGAAATAATTCACATGTAAATTTATAAATTTTAAATAAGGATAAAAAGCTTTAAATAATTTATAAAAATTTTTACTTTCTGAAAGAATATTTAAAATGTAAAAGACAGACGAAAAAACACATTTATTTAAATACATGGAATTTTCGGTTTGAACAAACTTTATCCTACGCAACAATTAATTTATGACATTTACAACAGATTGCAATACAGCATTTGTGAGCTTGTGTCAATACAGAAAATTTCTTGTTGTTTCAAAGCTTTTGAGGTCTTCCTTACATGTTAGTGCCAGTTATGGTTTCATTTCACCGTGGTCATTGGTATCATTTTGCAATACTGTAGTTTCTGCAACCTTTTTTTAAACCCACCAAACATTACGAGTTTCAACATTTTCATTAACTGATGCATAAATTTTAAAAGTAATAAAATGATGTCCGCAATGATGACAAATTTTCCGTAAAGGATGTTCACGTACATTATACTGGTCTAATGATCATGATAAAAAAGAATGAGCTTTTGATAAAGAACTCTTTTCCTGATTATGTAACAAAAACAATTATTAACAATTTTTTCTGAATTTTAAATATATTCGATATTGAGTCATTCTATTTTTTTTAAATTAATAACTACTTTATTAGATTATGTAAAATGAAATAGTTTTAACTCAAAATTATAATTACTTTTAACTATAATTGAAAAAAGTTATCAGATATATTTTTTTAGGTTTAAATAAAAGCTATTTATTTAAGCATATTCAAGAAAACATTAACAAGATTAATATTATTGATCATATTGAATTTATAAAGATATATAAAGTAAAGAATTAAAGCAAAGAAAACTTAATACCTATTACTAATGTAAATTAGAGAATGGCCTTTATTAAATGTTTATAAAAATTTACTAACTGGTTCAGTATTTCTCTAATGAAACAATTAAAAAAAAATTCTATAATTTTAAAATGTAAATAAATAAGATGAGAATAGAAACTAAAAATTTTTGTCAGAATTAAATTATTATATGGTGCCTACATTCCTAATATTTAACAACTTTCAGATTATTGAATCTTTTGACAAATCTGAATTAAATCTGATTTTTTACTGCATTTGCTAAATGTTAAAATAGTGAAAAGCTGCACACATCATACTTTTTTAAAACCTTTCCTCAAAATATCATTGAGTTTTTTCACAAAATAACTTAGCACTGATTGCTAAAATATTGAAGTACAGTTAAATGTTTTAATTTTTTATGCAATTAATGGGCAATCCCTCAAGGAAAAATATTACAATTAAAAAATCTCAATTAATTCCTTTCTTTATTAAATGTAACACACAAAATGGAGATGAAAATTTGATTTCATTAACAAGAGAAATAAAACTTTCTTTTGTTATTAGGTAAGAAAATTTGGCAATGCATAGTTGGTTCCTATGATTGACAAAAGTCTGAGAGAATTTTCAGTTTGATTTCAAAAGGCAGAAATTGAAACCTGAAATAAAGAATATCTTGCAAAACACAGCAGAGTTGCATATAACAGAGCAAAAATTCTTTACATCAAATCCAGCTGAGTTTAAGCACATGTGGACCTACAAGCATTTCATCAAGCATGTAAAGCACTTGTATCAAGTATTTTGCATGTGAGTTATACCATTTTGATGTGCTTGATTTCCAATGACTGCATTGCAAATTGTTGTTCCTGCTGTTCTTTGCTGATTCTCTATAGGAGTTTGGTCATAGATGGTTTTTGTTATCAATTTTTATTTTTAAAAAAATTATATTTTTAATATGATACCAGAAATTCAATTTAAGATTTTTACAAGCTCCAGATAAATATATAAATTAAAATTTAATAAAAAAACTCTCCATTAAAAAAATAAGTAAAAAATAATAATGAAAATATCTCAATCTGAAAATATATCAATCAATTACAATTCTTAAAAGTAATAATATAAAAATTGTCCTAAAAAAATTAATTTTGTTTCATGATTTTTCAATCATTACCTGAAAAAAATCCAAGAGATATGTGAACAAACTAGTAAACATAAGTGCCGGTAAATGTAAATTCGCGGTACTGGTCCCTAGGACCTATGAATGAAATTCTTGAATTTCGACCCCCTGGTATGTGAAAATCTAGTCAGTAGAACAAGAGTTTCTCAGTGAGGTCTTTTTTTAAGGACACTGTACATAATTTAATAGAATTCATAATTAATCTAGAGTTTTTTGAGTAGACGCGTTACCAAAAATTACCATCATGCTTTAGCTTCCAAAAAATACAAAAAATGGACCAAATGGAAAAATGCCAAAAAGAGGATTAACTCTGTTTCTTTTTACACTTAATATTTAAATTTTAAATAATTCTAATAAATCATGATCAAACTTAGCTACATAAATAATGCAAATCACAATTGAACAATTTTAAACATTGGTGATACCTGAATTTTTCAGGAAATGATTTTGAAGCTATTTCTTCCTCATCCAACACTTGATACTGAGTTAACAAATCTTGAAGAAATTGATTCTAAGAAAATAGAATAAAATAAACGTTCTTAGAATTTAGAATAAGAAAAAGACAGGGTTGGATTAAGATATAGTGGGACTTGGAGTTGAGTAACTTGGAGCGTTATCTAAACCAAATTGACCTACTTTCAGAAATATTGAAATTTTTTATGAAATTGTATTCAAGTTCAGATTGTTTTACAAAGATTCAAAGATAAAAAAAAACTTATTGAAATGTTTAACTTTTTTTAAATTAATTAGATTAAAATACAACTAAATGTCTACTTCAGTAAAAACGTCATGATTGAAATTAGTAAGAATGCATGGCTTGAAAAACCACCCACCGTCGACGGTGAAAAATTCCCCGCGGACAACGAATTTCTCGAATCCAACGTCAGCGTGGACGGCTATTTTCAAGTTAATGTCCGTGATACATTTTCACTTTTTGTTATCTTACAAGAGTCTAGAGCTTCGCTACTAAAATGACCCTCTAATCTAGAAATACAGAAACATACTGCGTATGGTGGAATTGATGTTTTCTCTGTCTGGGAGTACTGCAGCGGTTGAAAGGGGCTTTTCAGCAATAAACTTACAAAAAAACACATTACGTACTGGTCTTAAACAAGAAGCCTTAAACGCAATTATGAACATCCACCTAAATGGAAAATCACTTTCAGATTTCTGTTCAGAAACCTCTGTAAATCATTGGCTTGATTGCGGAACTGGTAAACGCCATATTTGATTCTTTCAAAAAACACAGTACCCTCGGATAAATTGACATTCCAGATAACTTGACCTTTGTCATTTAAATTACTTCATAAAAGAAATAAATTATTTCATAAAAGAAATGCTAGGTTACTATTAGTGACCTAGTATCACTTTTATTACTGCATAATGTAATCCTAGCAACTACTAATTCACTGTGTAATTTATAAAAATGTTTGTAATATTTTTATTTATTTCGAAGCTACTTTCAGAGAAAATTATATTTTTATTTATTTAGAAGCTATGGGATAGTTTCAAAGGAGGACCGGAACATTGTTGGACAAGCGGCCCTCGGGAATGGGTAAAATTTTTGAGTTTTCTCAAGCCCTGATCCAATGTATAAATTTAAAAAAAAATAATTTTATTTTCTACTTTTATTAAACTTGTTAAATTTTAGCTAACCAAATACCAACAGGAAATTTTAAATGTTTCGGAAATGGTAACAGAAAATTAATTAGAAAAACCAAAACTTTTAGCTTGAAAAAGGAGCTGAGAAATCAAATTACAGACTTAGGAGAAGGGTAATGAAGGAAATAACATGATCAAGTATCACTTTTATCTCCAATTCAAAATTTTACATTTGAAACAGATAATCTATTTTTAATAATTCTAAATGACGATTATAAAGTGTTACACTTGAAAATAACTAATAAATTATAGAAAATCAGACAAATCAATTTTAATTTAGATGTCCCTTATGCAGGGCCGGATTAAAAGCATGCGGGGCCCTAGGTCATTCAAATTTCTGGGGCCCTTAGATTAAATTTTTCTTCTCGTATATTTTTTACTTATTCAAATGTAAAAGTATTTATACATCTTTTCATATAAGAAAGCAAATTTAAAATAAAAATAAATAATAATAAATTAAATTTTACTTTATTTTGTTAAATAAGAACTAAAAAAATTATCGTATTTTATTAATATATATTTGAAATAGACTTTTTTTTAAAAAAATAATTGTTTTTCTAAATTTTTGCAAAATTTATTTTCAAAAAAGGTTTTTTAAGGGGTCCCCTAATCATTGGGGGCTCCAGCCATGGCCTAGTCTGGCCTAATAGATAATCCGGCCCTGCCCTTATGGGACCAAAAAACTATTTGGGGGCAACAGTTCGAGTAGTTCCTCTATTAATCTGGCTTAAAAAGAGACAAAATGTAAACAAATTTTGAAGAGGAGTTTTCCCAATTAAAGAGGTAAAACCTGCTAAGATATTGAAAATAGTTAGTCACTTAAGGTTGTTTTCTCTAGATCATTTATACACATTTTAAATTAAAATTATAAACATATTGAAAAACCTTAATAGATTTGTGTGAATTTTATACAGATGATTTGTATACGCGTTGTTTGAAGGAAGTCTCCAAAAGCTATCAAGACTAGGGTATGATCCGCGGCATTGGCTCGAAGCCTGCCAAGCTTTTTAAATTAAGAAGCTCAATAAAAAAAAAAAGATGTAGCAACAAAAAAAATTGCATACGGAATAACAGTTTAATTTTGGAGAAAGATTAAATAGGAAAAAAATTTCTTTGAAGAGTTTTAAACACAAAAGATTCCTCAAAAAAATTTTCCATTTCAAATTTTATAAAAGGAATTAAAATTTTGTTTTGTATGCAAAATTAAATTTTATTTAATTTAATTCTAAAATTAGATTACAGTAAAAGTCTAAGTTAATGCAAAAACCAAAGGGGGTGTTGCAACTTTCTTATATAAACATGTTAGAGGGTTTGTGATATGCTTATTTTTGTTGATAAGAGTGAAGTGCAAAATTGCCAAAAAAATATGCTTTTTAATATTTGAATGGCCTCTGAGTACCTGATTATTAAAACAAAAATTACGACAGTAAAAGTCTAAGTTAATGAAAAAACCAAAGGGGATGTTGCAACTTTCTTATGCTAACATGTTAGAAGGTTTGTTGACAAGATTTATTTTTGTTGACAAGATCGACGTGCAAAATTGCAAAAAATATGCTTTTTTAATATTTGAACGACCCATGAGTGTCTGAAAATCTGATTATTAAAACAGAAGTTATTAAGGTGTTCATTTTTAAAGTCATGCAATGCATGTATGCATTGGATTACCAATGCATACATACATGATGTATAATTCCAACAATACCTGAGGGTGTGAAGAAGTAGAGCTGAGTTGATAACCAGAAACAAGTTCCATTCCAGCATCAGATGCTTCACGAGAATTCAGAATACTTGTGAAATGAGACAAAGAGTCTAAGCACCATTTCCTATAAAATTTATGAATTAAAACAGAGTTTTCAGAGATTAAAAATATATATATATATTAGTCAGGGTTGCCACTCTAATCTGGTAAAAAAAAATTCCCTGTACTTATTATACACAATATATTAAAAAGGAATCACTGTATTCTTGTAGGAGCTTTATTGGTCTAACTATACTAATTTTAATTGCTAGAAAAACTTAGAAAAATAAAGGTACAGCTAAACATACTTAAATAATGCTGTAGTAAATTTAATAGTTTAGCAGCTAATAGTTAACTTTAATAGTTGTAGTAACTTTAGCAGCTGAAATATCATTCTTAAATATCCCATCGATTGCATTTTCAGTGGTCACCATTTTCTAAAATACGAAAATACGAAACAAAATTCACTGTATTTTCCCAGTTTGTAATGAAAAACTCAAAATTCGCTGCATTTTGTCTGTTATTTTAGGTGATTTGAAATTCCCTGTTTTTTCCTGGTTTTCCCTGTGGAGTGGCAACTCTGTTAGGGTATCAAGGTGTAAATGACAATTATGTTTATTTGTGTTCAGGGTTGCAACTTAAATCTGGAAAAAAATTCCCTGTACAGATTATACACAATATATTAAGAGGAAACAACAATTACTGTGCTCTTGTGAGAGCTATATTCGGCTAACTATATTTATGAGTTTAAATTGCTGGAGAAACAGCTGAACATACTTAAATAATGCTACAGTAAATGAAATAGTTTAGTATAGCTGAAATATCATGGTTAAATATCCCATAGCTTACGCTTTGAGTGGTCACCATTTTTTAAAAAACAAAAATGAGAAACAAAATTCCCTGTATGTTTTTTCTTTTGATATCGATACATTTTGAAATTGATACATAATGTATGATTTAAAAGGTAATAAAATAATAGGTTGAAACTTAACAATTTTAAAACTTCAACAATAGATAATTTTTTTAATTGAAATTATGATGGATTACTAAATTCCACAAGAATGTTGCATTCTGAAAATATAAATTCTTTACTGAAATCCTAACATGCTAAGAAATTAATAGCATGTATGTAAAATAAAAATAGAATTTCTTTGAAAAAATATAATACAGGGGTGCACATTAAAAATTTTAGTTAAATAATAACTTTTATTTCATAACTAATTAAAAATAAAATATAAAAATTTTGAAAATGGGGAGATTTCCTTATCGTAATCTGTGGCAGAACAATCGTCAAGTCTAGGAAACCTCCCGGCAGTCGCCCATGAGAAACTGGAGGAAAAAAAAACATCACAGAAAGCGACCAACTCGAAAGGTATAACTCGTAGCCACCCCTGGGCTAACCTCTACATGTTTTTTTTTAAAAAACTTGCAAGTTTGAAATCTATTTGGCACCTTGGCGATTGTAGTTGGCGTGACAGATCACGATACGGAAATATCCCCTAGAAAAATAATGGTAATAAAATTTGAAAAAGTTATTACCTAACACGGTCTGAGTCAGGGTGAACATTGATCTCTGGTCGAAATATTCCCCCAGCTCCTGAGCTGAGAGTCTCTTCATTAAATTTGTCAGCAAATATAGAGATTTTAAATGACGGAAAAACTTCTTGAATACTTAAGGCTGTTGAGAGTCCTACCACACCTGCACCAATGACAGCAACATTCATTCTATTGAATTACAAAAGAAAAATGTTATTATACCAAATTTCAAAAGTATATAAGAGGGGAAATACAAATGTTTTGTTTCGAATATAAAATAAAATTAAACATAGGGTTTCTATCTTGAACTATATGAGTAATACCATCGGGTTTTACTCATTGCTTCCTCATCCAACACATGATACTGAGTTAACAAATCTTGAAGGTATTGATTCTAAGATAATAGAATAAAATAAACATTCGTTGAATTTAGAATAAGAAAAAGACAGGGTTGGATTAAGATATAGTGGGACTTGGAGTTATAGTGGGACTGGAGTCAACTTGGAGCCTTATCTAAACAAAATTTAAATACTTTCCGAAATATTTCAATTTTTTATAAAATTGTATTCAAGTTCTGATTGCTTTACAAAGATTTAAAAAAAAAAAACTTATTGAAATTTTTAAGTTTTTCTAAAATAATTACATTACAATACAAATAAGTGTCTATGTCAACAAAAACGTCATGATTGAAATTAGTAAGAACAATCCAATGCATAAATTAAAAAAAGAAAAAAAATAGAATTTTCTGTTTTTATTAAACTTGTTAAATTTCAGCCAACCAAATACCAACAGGAAATTTTAAATGTTTTGGAAATGGCTACAGAAAATTAATTAGAAAGCTTTCTGCAAGCTTTCCTGCATGAAAAATCCAATTTGATCGTGAATTCATTTGTTAATACTGATGTCGATTTGGGTATTATGTAACATAAATTTGGTGATCTCTAAGGCTGCGTCAGGAGACAGTTGTCTCCTCTTGCTACACCACTGATAACAATCTAAGAAGAATGTTTGCTGCACTTTCTTAATCAGGTAAATGTGTGATCTACAGAAGCGATTTTGAAAAATTCAAAGAATAAAAATTTGAATAATCTTAAACAGCTTTCATTTGTTAAATTTTTTTAGAGCATGACGAAAGTTAAAAACATTGAGGGTTTTAAAATTAAAATCTAGAATTATCTGTTGTCTCTTAAATATAAGGACCGTTTCTAGGATGTGAGTGTTCAAGCTTAATGTTCTGTCATGAAGATTCGTATGCTATTAGTAATTGCGAACATAATATGGGATTTATAGTATAATACATGTTAAAAGGCATTGAATGAAATTTAATGTCTTAAATTTTTTCTATCCAAACTATATTATATTCTACCATTTTCAAATATTTAATATTGCATTTTCAAAAGTTTTTCCTTCTGGGTTGGAAGAAACTTACCTTTTCCAGAGTGAAAAAAAAATAACTATGAATATAATTAATAGCTATATATGTTTCGAGATCTTTATTTACAAATTGAAGAGGGTGCAGATTGTAGAAAAGTGGGACGAGCTTTCTGCTTCAGCTTGTAGCTCTACTTTTCCATTAATGAATCTTAGAGCTTTCGGCGCTTTGCTCTCTGAGGATAATGGTAGTGATGTTTGAAAGCTGAAAGCAGTACTCGTATATACACAATAACTATTTGATTTTGTGTCCATTATCCTGTCGTATTGTGTGTATTTGCCGCAATTTTTGATCGAACATTAAATGAAGAGTATCCTTCTTTACATTGCGAATTGCATTATGACCTTTTAGATCGTAATTTTCAGAGCAGTTTAATAAACATTCATAATATTTCTGTAATTGATCATATGTTGTTGTCAAAACTGATGAATATCACAAATACTTTAGTGAGCTTGACATGCGTTGCTGTATTGTCTGAAGTCGCCTATCAAGTCTACAAAAGATTCAAAAGGAGGCACACAAAAGGTAGCCTAACTAATGCTCTCATTCAATGCTACAAATTAGCGAATGAAACTGAACAATTAAATAAAGTTTTATTTTTCCCCGATCCCGGTTATGTGTGCCGCCGGACTCTTTCAGGACGCGAGTGTCGCAATAAGAATTGTTTTGCGGCGCACGACGACACATCTCTGTGCTGTTTGCTGAAAGTTCTTCAGTTGTGCAAAGTCAAAGTGGATGTGTGTGTTTATATGATGACTTGTAGTATTCTTGCTGATTCTCTGGTGCAGTGCTCAGAGGAGAGAGGGGTAGCCGTGAGAGTCATCACAGAAGAAAAGAACAGCGGTGAAGAGGGTGGCGAAATGATAGGTGCACAAATTGGAAAACTGAGATCAGCCGGTAATTGTTCTAAACTTATTTACTGTAAAATTAGGATGTTTTTCCATTTCAGGTAGTCTTGAAAAAAGGGATTATTATAACTGGTTATTGACAGGCAAGGAAGATAGCGTTTCTGGCGGAGGGAACCAGTTTGTCTCTTATCATGACCTGGGGCAGAATTGTGGGGACCTTGTTGCTGACTTCTTGCAGAAAGATTTTTCCTTTTGGAAATAAAAAATTTTGGGCTTTCTGTTCTGTAAAAATTTTAGAATGATTTTATCATTTCTTCAAAAATATATTTAAAAGATGTCTTTCTCGCGCATCTGATGGAAAAAAAATGCATATGATTTTTCCGTTCTCTTTTGAGAATAATGAAAAATAAAGTGAAAAATTTGGTTTTCTTTTCTGCAGAAATTTGTTCGATTTTTTATGCGGTTATTACTATTGATTTCCGCATAGCTTTTGAATCTGATATTTTTAATAAAATATTGTCTGTTACAACAACTGAATGTCAAGATGAAAACACACATTAGAGAGTAGTCCAATTTTAATCTTCTCGCCATCAATCTTTTTTTTTCTTTTCCATAGTAAATTATGCAGATTTCAGGGTTTTTTCATTATTTTTTTTAATCTGATGATAATTTATGAAATGCGAAAAAGGAAATAATTACTCTGTTTCCCCCTGCAAGATGATGAGAATATCGCCCTTGCAGCTTTCCTTTAGAATAAAAAAGTATTACATATTTAATTGAAGAAAATTTTTATATTTGATCCAAATAGTTTTTTTTTTTCCTTTAATGTTAACACGTCTGTTATTTTAAATTAGTAACATGTATATTTGTTATTTTTTAAAGCATCATTCAGAACGATGCTAGTATTAGAGAGGTATGTCATAGAAAGCCCCCAAAAAATTCTGCACCAGAGATCATGACCTTGACGCTTCTTCCTTTTCATTGGCTCAATTTTCCAGACTACTCTAGACCTTTACAATTGAAACATATCAGTTATCAAGAAACTGGTTCTGATTCCCTGTCTTTTAATAATGTATACAAAATCTTAGCTTTTGTCTAACATGTACCAAAATAACAGTGTTTATTCTTAAAAATACAACTTTTGTTTGCTAGTGCCTAATAATTAAAAGGTACAGTCAGCAAAAAAAAAATATCACCCGGAATAACTTTAGTTCTTATGATCGGATTTTCACGAACTAAGTGTCAATGTTAATAGTTCTTTGGGTTGACTTCAGATATGCTAATTAGTTAGTGTTAACTATTAATTAAGCTACGAAATCAGACTTAAAAACGTACTTTCAATGAATAAATTTTTTTTTTTTTTTTTTTACATGTTTGGTATCCTGACCCTTGATATAGACAAAATTTCGCAAAAATTTGGTCGTAATAAAGATTTATATATATGGCGAAAGTTTAAAAAAATGCCAAATTATCTTGTCATAGAAGGTGAAACAATTGAAAACAACCATAAAGAAACTGAATGAAATACAATACAGTAAAACATCTTGTTTCTCTGTTACTAAGCAACCAAGAGGATAATTTTTGGGGCTGTTTTCTGTGCAACTAAAACAGATTTTTTCTTTTTAATTTCTTTTGAAAGTAAAATTGAAATGAAAGTTTTTTAAAAGCTGTTTTAACGTCATTTGCATGAAAATTCTGTTCTCAAACCAAATTTTCATAAGCTATTATAAATTTATGAAGAGTTGTTTGTAGGGCTAATGCTTTTACACCACAGTTCGAGTTTCTTAGGTAATCATTTTGCAAAAAATTTGGAGGGCCTGAAAAAGATAGCGATTCTGACGAACAATCACAAGGTTTTATAAAATTCATGGTATTTCTTTTCAATAAAATTGAAAAACTTTGTATGTGTTAAGTGGCATTTTAAAAGCATTTTGATATATTTATATATATGTAGTATATATATTGAAGATTNATATATATATATATATTGTATTTTTATTATTTAAGGTCATTTCACTCTGACAAATATTAAGGTTACATGTTTTTCTTGAATAAGCATGATTTACAAAAAGCATCCCTATGTTTCTATACATTTTAAAACTGACTTTTTCAAACATGTTCTTTGGTTCAAACCTGCTCTCCCTGTTCTTTTACTAAGCTCTTCAATTGGGATCATTTACTTATTTATCACCAAATGTAGATGCTAAATTTTCTTTGTTTTATTCCCTTATTTACAAACTTATTTTACGATTCTCACCATCACTACCGATATCTGATACTATACCCTCATTTTATAAAGAGTTCTGTAAGGTCCTTAAGAAGTTAAAAATGTGGCGGCAGCAAAACTACTACCTCAATAACTTTCCATCATCAGATTTTAATATTCTAGGACTCAGTGGTTTGAGAACCTAATCTAAAGTATGTTAATTAATTAGTGCATATGATATTTTAAGTTATAAAATCAAACACATAACCGTCTGAATAAACATACTTGTTTTTCAATTTATTTGGATTCTTAACTCTAGAAATAGGTAGGATAGCCGTAGTTTAAAAAATATGTCCCTTAAAGTTAGTTCCAGAGACTCGTTTAAAGTTAGGACTCTATTATAAGTTATTTTACTTTTTGGGTATTTCGCCATATCTCGAGAACTTTTTAAAGGAATTAAAAGTTTTATGCACACAATTATTAACCCAAAGATAATTCTATACAAAAAAATATTTTTTAATTATTTATCTACTATAGGCATGCAATAACTGCGACCTACACGCTTTAGATGTCTGGCCTGCGTCATTACCTGAACATGGTAAATTAAAAAAACTTTATGTACATATATATGTGCTTTTGACAAATTAAAAAAAAAACGGAAATTTTGAATTGCGTGTGTGAATTTTCAACGTGCTCAATCCAAATTAATTTAGTTTTTGGGTGGTAACCTCAACGAATTTCCCAAATTTTTAAAATTTCAATTCTTTGAATATGACATAATTCTAAGTTTCAGTAATCACTTTTGAAGCATTTATTAGCACCCATTTTATCGTTAATCCAATGGAATTTTTCAGCAGCTATTAGTGGATTTCCATGTGTTTTTTAAAATCCAGATATTTTTAATACGATATTGTAACGACTAGAGAGTTTCGTATCTTGCATTCTAATAGGAGTTATTATGGAAATGCCTTGTTTATGTGTATCTCACCCGTTAAGCCAAGCAATATATTTTTTATCGTTCTTTCAGTAGTCGTTGCTCCACTTTTCAATGGCGAGATTTTTAATCCAGTATTGTTAAGATTTGCGATTTTCGAATCACAAATTTTAATAATCACTTTTTACTTTTTTTTTTCTTTTGCAGTTTTTTGCTATGTTTCCAAAATTCCAATATTTTTTAATTTTTATACGGTCCCGGTATTTTTATTACCATATTATTAATATTTGCGAGTTTCGAATCTCGCATTTTAATCATCACTTTAAACTTACTTTTTTCCCCCCCTTCAGTTATTGCTACTCATTTACAATTTTTTTTTTGTTTTTATTTTTAATTTTAGATATTTTTAATGAAATATTATTACAACAAGAGAAATTTGAACATGGGGTTTCGAACTGTTTTTCAACTTTGCTTCTAATTTTTTGCAGCTTAAAAACAGTTTAAGATTTAACACTCATAAAATATCTATAACAGTTTTTCTATTTTGATGACTATAAAAATTACTAAAATTCCCTATGTGTAAAATATTTAGTACGTTATGCAATAATTATTGTGAAATTTATATTATTTCCTAAAATCTACTAGTTTTTTTTCCTATCCATGTGGGCAGCTATGAAATTTTAACATCATTTTAAAGAGAATATATTTAAAAATTTAAGAATACAAAATCAGTCAAATAGTTTCTGAGTTATTCAATTTCAAAAACTTCTCCACTAATTTTGCTTTTATCTTCAAAATGATGTAAAAATTAGGATACTCAACTTATTTTTTATACCCTTATAAAATAAAAATAATTTTTTACATGGAATGAATTTGTTTATGTTATTTTATTATAGGAATTGCAGTTCAATGCAGCTCTTCGTCTTATTGGATGCATCATAAGTTTTTAGTGGCTGATGATGAAGTTTTAGTGAACGGTTCTTTCAACTGGACAAATCAAGCTGTCTTGGGAAACTTTGAGAACCTCATCGTAACCAGTGAAAGAGATCTTGTTCAACCATTTGTTACAGAATTTGAGAGATTGTGGGAAAAGCTTTCTTCCTCCACTGTTGAGGCAAATAATGTGTCTGTTCATTAAATCAATAAAAATTTAAGATCTGTTTCTATTTAATTCTTTTTTTCAACTCTCAGTGAACCACACTATCTAGCCATAAGTATACGGACACCCGGTTGTTATTGTGGTGGATGCATAATGGTGTGTCGGTCACCCGGTTGTTATTGTGGTGGAACTCTATGGCAATATTTTGGTCAATTTTTCTTCCAGCAGGATAACTGCTCCATTCACACATCGAGGCCGGCACAGACGTGGCCTTCTCGGAGCCCCGATCTAGATCCCATAGAGCACCTTTGCCACGAATTAGAGCACTTGTTGCATTACCAGCCAAAGCGACCCTCCTCACTGCAAGCACTCACTTCAACTGTGATGTAAGTCCTATGGCCACCTATTAAAAACAGATGAAAAGTCTTCCCAGATGTGTGCAGGCTGTCATGTTATTTTGTGCTTCAGGACACTCTAAATCCATATTACACTGAGTGTCCGGATACTTTTGGTTAGATAGTGTATGTGTGCAGAGGGAACCTTAACTCATATGTTGCATTTCTAAAGAAAAAAAAAAGAGGAAGAGAGAACAGAAATTTGTTTTTTAAATTTTTCTTCTTCTTTGAACTTAAAAATATTATTCAGTTTCATATGGGAGGCAGTTTGCAGTTGAAAATTTTTACAGTTTATGAGTTAATTTTAAAGCAATATGTGGCTAACTATATGAAGATGGGTACAAAACTTTCCTTTTTCAAACTCAGTCAGTAAAAAGCTGTGACTTTCAATTTATTACCATGATCGATGATGCCTCTGGAGCATACATATTGTTGAACCAATTTTTTTTTAATATTTTATTTTTCATCTTCTCTAATACACGCTTTATTTCACAGATTGGTCAAGGTGTAAAAATAAAATAAATTATCGAAATAGTGTTTCTTAGGAGCTCTATAACAACTCGGGGTCTGCTGATCCCATCCTTAAAATTGGCTCTGGGCGCCAATCATCATTATGATGGGCAAACAATGGATAAGACGACTGCATAATATAAAAACAGCTTAAGTATAAAACCACTCTATTAATATCAGAGTTTTCCAAGATTAAACCTTTTAAATAAATAGATTGAATTTGTGGTTTCCTAGTTTTAAATCAGTCAATGGGAGAAAAAAAAAAAAACTTTGCACCATTAGGGTATAAAATATATGGAAAGTTCTTGTGTTAATTATTCTTATGATCTTTTTAGAATAAATAATTTTAACTCAATTTATTATAAATACGTTGCATCTTATAAGAAAATGTAGTTGTAAAATTTCTTGAAGAATGGACAAAACTTTTCTTATTTATGTTTTGAACAGATGAATAAAAAGCATGCTATCAAGAAAACAACTTCCAAGCAGGAGCTTTTCATATGTGATTCTCAGAGTTGGCAAGGTTTAGGACAGATTAGAATATTCCACGGTTTAAACCTTCCTGTCCAAAACCCTTTTATTCAAATTTTGTCACAATTAAGAAAAAAATAATATTGTGAAAAATAAACGGTTAATTTTTGAACAAGAAACAGACAAGTTTTTGTTTCATTAAAAAAATTATAATATTTTTAATATTGCATTTATTTATCCTTATGCATTAACATAAACATAATTTATCAATATTAAAAGCATATTTATTCATATTTAAGGGATAAGGTATTCACTTTTGTTGATCAATGAATTATGGAGCTTCAAAATTAACAAATCTTTTCTTATTATATTATTTTATTATCCTTTAAGTTAAAGCAATAAAAAGTATTTGTGATTATTATATGTACAATGGTTGCACATATAGAATTCTTACCTTTTACCAATGTTCCAGGTTTTGGACACTTGTCTTCTTAAGACAGTTTAAGTCCATGTGCCCTTTCCAAAACCAGTTTAGGACGTTCAAAACCCCAACCCTGGGATTCTGAAATCGGATATGCTTCAACAACTACTCATGGACTTCTCTCACTATATTTAAACCTTCTACAAAATAAATATAAAAATAATAAAATGGGTTGACCTGGTGCTCAGTTTGGTTGGTATTTCTCTTCATCTGTTGTCAATAACTTTACAAAATGATTTAATTCGCAATAATGATGTCCTGTTAAACAATTAATGTGCCTTTTCTTTATATAGTTTTCATAATCTCTGACAATTTCATAATTTCTGACTAACCCATGATTCGAAAAATGTTTCCTTCATTAAACACCAGGAAAATATTGCTCGTTAAAAGAGTGCATTAAAATAAATTTATAGCATTGTACCAAAAACTAAACATATTTTGCTCATTAAAACTAGAATCTTGTTAAATGCAGACTGTTCTTCGTACTCAAAACAAATTAATGGGAATTTTTCAACTGGGAAAGCAAACCTGAAAGAGCTTCAAAAAAACTTTTATACGACATTTTTAAAAAATATTAAGTTAGTCATTCAATCTAATTTTAACCTATTTTTTATAGGTTAATTTACTTTTTAAAAGCTACTATTTTGTTTAAAAAAAATAAATGTAAAATTAATTTTGTTATAAAAATATAAATTTAATTTAAAGAATAAGTGAATTTCATATTTATATATATCTTGCTTGCTACACTTGTTCTGTAAAATCAAAAATAAGTAAATAAATGAAACATAGTTATAACAAATTTCTCTTTGATGAAATTTTTTCAGGTTTTTTTTTTCAAGCAGTGTAAATTATTATATGTACCAAAACATGATTTTCTATATTATTTCTATTACCATAATAACAAATTAATGTGGACCAAATTTATAAAAATGAATATAATTATTATAAATTATTTCTATATTAAATCGTTATTCTGCAGTGTAAATCATGTACGAATACATGTTTTCATTCTTTATTATTGATGTTGATAAAATATAACCAAAATAACAATTTGATGTAGACATAATTTATAAAAATAATAAATACATTTTTTCACTAAATTTTAAGTAAAATTTTGCCCGATACCTTCTTCCCTCTCTTAGCTAAGGTAACATTTAAAAAAAATCAGGTTAGAAAATATTGACAACATTTGATGGGTTAAAGAATCTGATTGTATGCACAATTTTGACCACCAGATTTTTAAATTTTTACTGCAAGATAAAGAAGTTAAAATATATTAAAGCATCTTATATAAATTTTTTATGCCCAGAATCAAGACTAGAAATGATTTCCACTCTAACTGATAGAAAACCAAATTTTTACTAGTAGTTTAAAACTGGTCAAATTAATCCCAGTTGACAATAGTTGTTGAAAACTGAAAGAATAATCACAAGAAATGTATATTTGATAATAAAAAAAAATTGAAGGTAGGAAAAGTCAACATGTTTTAAGTGCTCAAAAATGGGCATTCATTCTCAAGACTCGTCAGATATGAATGAAATGAACAAAGGAGTTTTTTTTTTCATTGAGAACTTAATGTTTTCTTTTTTATATATTTTTTCTTTTCATGTCTCGAGAATGAGCTCCTATTTTTAAGTGCTCAAAACATGTTGACTTTTTAAACATTCACTTTTTTCTTAAAAACAAATGAAGTTTTCATATTATCAAATTTAGTTAAACTTTAAAGTACATTTTCTACAAGCAAAAACAAGCACATATTTCTTTTATTGTTTATTTAATAATAATTAATCAATTAAAATTCAATACAAAAATAATAAATCAACAAAATTAGATAAAGATAAATTATGAAGACGCTGTTGCCCCTCCATCTCTAAACGCCAGGGCAGTGAGGGCCTTTGAATGTCCAGTGTAGTCTCTTTTCACTTCTCCTTTTGATATGCACCACAATCTTGCTAAATTATCTGATGAGGCTGTGTACATGATAAGATGCATTTTTAGTATGGGAATTCAAACTAAACTTTAAAATAATTCTACTATTTAGGAACGTCCTGTCTGCAAGCTTTAAATTCATATAACTTATATTAAAAAATTCAAATAATAATTTTTGTGAAAATAAGTCATGAGTCAGTTACACTTATTCCAATTTTCAGAAACTTTCATAAGTTTGAATTTTTTTTAAAAATAAAAACAGTTTCACAGACATAACGTTAAATCCACCACAGCCAGTTTTTAATTTTTAAAAAAACTTTTAATTTTCTAAAAGTTTTTAAATTTGGAATAAGTGTAAAAAACATACTTTCATAAAAATTATTAGAACTGCTCGGATTTTTTCCCCACCGAGTTATATGCTTTTAAAGTCTGTAAATATACCATTCTTAAATGTCAGAATAGCCTCATAGTAAAAAAACTAAATATATTTTTTTAAACTATCAACCTTGAATAGCAATTTAAATGAAATAAAAAATAATAAATTAATTTTTTTTTAAATTAATTAAAAAAATGTGGAACATTTAGCTACATTGAAAATATCTTAATGCACACAAAAATATAAAATTAACAGATAAAGTCAAACTATTGTCCTTTAATTTGTTTTTTAACTGAAAAGTAAAAGATTTCTTATGAAACATCCAAAAATATGCACTAAAATAAAAAAAAAGTATTTTGTACAAAAAAATAACACTAGTATTTTTTTCTTCAATTTTTGTTAAAAAAATCTCAAAGTCTGTATGAATCGTTGAAGGGAACATATATTAAAAAATAACTTCAAATTCAAATTAAAGTTAATTATGTATATATATGTTTTTAAATTTATAAAAAATAGTATAAATTCATCATTATGACAACAACTTTATTAAATTTATTTTGTGACAAAAAAATTTTATGTTTGTCAGTAAAGATAAATTTTATGTTGCATTATTGGATTAAAAAACTTTAATCCCAATTTTTATTAGTTTAAAATGTTAAATATAAAATTTAAAAAATTTATATAAACCTACTTTGAAAGTCTACATTTTGGAAATGATCCTTGTAATATTTAGCATTATTTGAGGAAAGTTTCAAAAGAAATAATTAATAATATTTTTTAATAGTTTAGGATTTCCAATTTGTAAAAAAGTGCCCACTGTTTAAACGATTATACTGGCTGGCAACAAAATTTTAAAATTTTGTTGCCAGCCAATTCAAAATTTTTGTTTAAAATCAACTTAAAATATTGCGTTAACTTCTGTCAAAAACAAGAATTCAAATATGCATTGTTCATTCTGAAACAGGGTGCGTACCCAGATTTTTCAACAAAAATTAAGTACTTTTTAAGCACTCAAAATATATTTCTAATAACTTTCCACAAAAAAAAATCAAAATTAGGATCTGTGCAGGAGTAAAAATTATTTTTTATATCCTTTAAAGTTCTTAATTTATAAACATAAAAATCAAAAACATTTTCAAAAACTCTACAAAAATAAGCGCTTTTTAAAAATGGTATGCACCCTATGAAAATAATGTAACTACATATTTTTAAAATTTATATTTTTTTGCATAATTGTATCACATAATAGAGGTGGAGCAACTTTAATAATTACATTAAAATCCTTTTGACGACAGTGATTAAATACATGTATTTGTTTTCCTAGACGTTTTCAAAAAGCTCGATATTTCAAAATTAATTTACAAGGTGATATTTCAAACTCTTACCAGTAAAAAGATACTGAGAATCTAAACTGAAAGCTAAGTCCCACACCCATCGCTGATTGGCATGTCTCAATTCAGTCATGGGTGCTGTTTTCTTCCATTCAAAATTGTTACTTGTATCTTGAGAGTCTTTCGGCACGCTACTAGGAAGGATGTTTAAATCTGCCGTTCTCCACAGTTTTGCTGAGCAATCTGCCGATGTTGTAGCTAGCAACCTTTTCCAGAAAAAAAAAAAACATAATATTTATTTGTAAAAGCCACTATTATGTAATTTCTTAAGTAAGTAAGACAGTTGTTGGTCTGGCTTCAGTTTTAATTAGTTTAAAAGTTTATTCTTTAAAAAATATTGAACAGATAAAAATAAATTGCAGTAAATCCGCAAAAGAAAACAGTAAAATAATTGAATTGCTTAATAAATTTCAAATTAGGAGTTCGAACAGAAACTACATTTTACTGTGAGTTATTAAAAAGTAATGAAAGACTGTGTTTTATTATTTTTCATTAGTCCATTTACAAAAAGAATCATCTTTTTACAAAGATGATTCCCATTTTGAAAAAATAAAAATAATTCAGAGACAAGATAGTTCTGCAAGCCATAATATAACATAAATACAGTAAAACCTCCAGGGAAGACCACCTCTGTGTAACGACCTCCTCTATTTGTGATCACTTCAGGGAGGTACAGAATTTTTTTTACAGACTTTGTGTTGAAGAAAACCTTTAGGAGAGACCATAAAAAAAACTCCCCTCAGCAATTGTGCAAACCTCTGCAACAAATGCGAAAAAGGTCAAACAAAAAATATTAATAAAACCAATAAGTAGATTCAAAATATTTGTGTAAGGCTCTCAGTTAGAGAGTTTTTTTAGGGTGATCTCTGAAAGATATCAACAATCTTATGTAGCAGTCACACTGCACTAAAAAGGATGCTATGAATGATTTATTTTCAGAATTGGAAGTTAAATTAGAAAAAAAATAGCCTTTTAAAAAAAAAAAACTAAGCAAATCTCTTCTCATTTTTAAAGCTAAAAAATTTTTATGATATAAAAGTTAAATGTAAACTTAAAATAAAAAACATAATTGTTTATTTATTTAAAATAGTTCTATCATTCATAATCGGTTTTCATGATGTCAACACAAGCGGCATTTCCGCTCCAAGAAAATGACACTGAGTAAAATTAAAATTGCTTGCAAAAAAACATCTCACTTCGATAACCATTTGAAGACGATGAAGGTAATCCTCAAGACAGCCAACCTCCCTTACTGACCATTTTATTGTAGAACAGAGAGTGGTCGCCCCCTAAAGGTTTCACCTTACATAGCTTTGAATCTGAAGTCAAAGTGGAGTGTTTATTGAGGGTTGCCACTCAAATCTGGAAAAAAAATTCCCTGTGTTTTCTTGATACATATTATACACAAAGAGGAAAAACACAATCACTGAGCTCTTTGAGCTGTATTGAATAACTGTACTAGTTATAATTGGAAAAAAAAAACTTAGGAAAAAAGAAACAGCTGAATATACTTAAAAAATAATAATGCTATAGCAAATGAACTAATTTAATATAGCTGAAATATCATCCTTGAATATCCCATAGATTGAACTTTGAGTGGTTACTATGTTTTAAAAGGCAAAAACAAGAAACAAAATACCCTGTATTTTCCAGGTTTTCCCTATGCTCCTTGTGGGGTGGCAACCCTGTTATTGAAGATAAGTTAACAGAGGAATATTTTAAAGTATACAGGAAGTATAAACAAATATGCCTCCCCACCCTATATATATATATATATATATACACCCANATATATATATATATGTAACATAAAAATCTTCTATTAATCTTTTTATGTTAGTTTCTATGTCATAAAGCAACTCCTAATTTATTATTTAAATCGAAACACTTTCTCATACTTTAAAAAAGCCACATCCTGTTCTTAAATCTATTTTTGGCTCAAGTAGGCACAATTAATTGTAAAGACATTTTTCCCTTTGTGAGAATCGTACGACCTTTTTCATAAAACAATAGTAATTTCTAAGATTTCCCTAAATAGAGACATTTTTGGATTTTTTGCAAGATTCTCCCTACCAGAAAGACTGATCGTCGATGGAATAAACTGCACTTTTTGCACGTCATCCATTTGAAAATAATTTAAATAAATTCCTGTGCTTTCATTAAAATCCTGTGTGTTTTCCTGCTCGGTCCAACTGCACCTTTTTACACACATACATATATATGCAAATTAGGATATAATGGGTGTTTGATTTTAAGTGATAACATGATTAAGAATAGATAACAGATGATTGCAAGACATAAAAATGCCAACTAACTATATAATTCCAACTAGTTTTAGATAAATAAAAAATGCAAAATTTCTGAAAGAATTTTCTAATTTTATTTTTTGGAACGATTTCTAATATCTGGCCCTTTTAAATAATTTTTTTAAATATGATGATAAACTATCCCACCAATATTTTTATGTACAATAAAATATAACTTTGGTAAAAAAAAATATAGAGTTTAAGTATGGATCATCACAAAAAAGAAAGAAAAAATAAAGGTTACTCAACTTATTAAAAAAATATTTAATAAAAAGATTAGGTATAATTATATTTTTGAAAATAGAATTTTCTATTTTAGTTCAAAATTCTAAACCATTTTTAAAAATCTTGAAAAAAGTATGTCATCCAAAGATTGATAAAATGCCTAAAAAAAGTGCCTACATTTTTAGCACACTAAAAAAGGTTTGTTTAAAATTAATAAATGTATTTTTGTTTCATACTTACGTTGAGTCAGGGCTAAATTTACATTTAAGTCCATACGTGTTGTGAGCGGAAAATTTTAAAAATCTCACTGGTTGAGAATGAGAGCTTTCCGTCTGATAACTAAGAAGAAATATGTAACAATTTCCCTGCAAAACAATTTTCCTCAAATATCATTTGATTTAAAAATAACAGTAATACTGTAAGTCAGAACAATAATGGGTAAAAATACAGGCAGTACAAAAAATAAAGAGAATATAAAAAATTAGCATCATGTATCTGACCTTCTATTATTATGTGTTTTCTTATCAAATAACAAATTATAATTACAAATTTTGGGTTAATTGGAAAGTAATTTTGTTTAAAATAAAAGACAATTTTCATGCAGTGAATAAATATTTTTTTTGAACTTTATATTGCCAATTCTGGTCAATTAACTCTTGCCATTTTTTTTATTGACAGTAGCATGATTCCTAGCTACTAAACTACAAAAAACTAAACCAGGTGATTTTTTACCTCATTGGTAGTAAAAGTAATATGGTCTAAAAATTCTTTATTGAGACCCATACAATTAAATGAATGGAGAATTTCTTAAGAATTTTAAGAATAGACTTTTTATTTGCTCAAACATAACTGTACATGCACAGACAAAACTACTATTAACATTTAAAAACATTTTTAACCCTCCAGTGTTAAGCCACTGAGTAAAATTGCAGTAAAACTTTTAGACTGCGTACTAGTTTCCTGTTAAACAGCGAAGAAAAAACTTTTTTTCTTTTCTAATGCAAGAAAGATTGTGTTTTTAAAGTTTTGAGAAAGCCGAGACTAACCTCCAGTTTATATTTGTCAAAAATCGGGCTTTCAATGAGTTAGAGAGAGTCAATAGGAATTTTAGGAAAACTCTGACTCTTATAAAATATGTCCCGTGGCAGAATCGCAGCGACATTATCGCAGAACATTACAGAGTTCTTGCAGAAAGACTTTTCTTTTGAAAAGTAAAAAAAAAAAATTCTTTTCTACAAAAATTTGCAGGTAATATTTGAATCATGCATTTAGATAATCACTTTTTGACACGCTTAATTTATGCAGAAAGTATCGTAAATCAATGTAATGCTTAGATTGTATTTTCGGCAGTTATTGATATTGATTTTCACGTGGATTTTAAATTTCGCGATACATTTCAAACAATGTGGAAAATTCAAAATGTGCATTTGAGTATTTACTTTTCAAGGCAATAATTCCATTTAATTATTGGCAGATATTGCTATTGATTTCTGCATAGTTTTTAAATCCGATATTTTTATACAATATTATTTATTACAACAACTTAATCTTGAAACAATCGACATTTGATGTGTAACTTCTTGAAGTAAGAGTAAGTTTGGTCATTCACTTTTAATGACAAGTAAATGGAGTAAAGAATTTAATAAGTAGATGCGTTAAAAAACTTCTTTCAAAAATTCTCTTTAAATAATTGTACACAGTCATAGTAAATAATGCGTAACTTACTTTATTATCAACAGCAGCCATATAAGTTCCTTCAGCATCAATATCTATACTTTGTATAGAAACATGAGGTTCACTGACCTAAAGATAAAACAAAAATTATATCAGAGGCTTTACTGATCGTTTATCTTACAAATCTTCCCCTTAACTAGTGTTATCAGGCAAAGTAAGGTCTAGACAGCATTTTTGTAACAATGGCAACCTTTTACAGAATTGAAATTTTTCAGCAATTAAAAAACTGCTGTAAAGCATTACTTTTGAAACATTTCTCAAAATATGATAAACATTATAGCATAAAGAGAAATTTCTGGAAGCAAATAAGAAATTAAGTAATTTTCAAAATATATAATATTCATAATACAGGGTTGCCACACAAATCTGGAAAAAAATTCCCCATGTTTTCCCTGTACATATTATACACGATATATTAAGAGGAAAAACACAATTACTATGCTCTTTTATGAGCTGTATTGGGCTAACTGTACTAGTTATAATTGCTGAAAAAAATGTAAGAGAAAAAAAGAACAGCTGAACATACTTAAAACAAATATTGTATAGTAAAGGAAATAGTTTAATATAGCTATATAGCTGAAATATCATCCTTAAATACCCCATAAATTGCACTTTGAGTGGTTACCCTTTTTTAAAACAGGAAAATAAGAAAATACTACCCTGTATTTTCCCAGTTTTTAAAGAAAAACTCAAAATTTCCTGTATTTTATCTATTATTTTAGATGATTTTTCAAGTCCCTATATTTTTCAATTTTCCCCTTTTCTTCATGTGGAGTGGCAACCCTATAATAATTCCATACTTATTAAAAAATAACAGAAATAAAATCCACATGGGGTGCATTTTCAACACAAAAAAATGGCAACCGGAAGACTGGTTATATTTAGAGAATGATTAAATATGCTATTTAATAATAAAAACCCTGACCAAACCATGAAACCAAAACAGTATACCATTTTAAATCTATACCTAGCCCGAAGGAATAGAAAAATTATTTTATGATGGCTTGAATCAAATTTTAGTGATCTTGAATCAAGAGACCACTGTAAATTTTGAGCCCAGATAATTATATTTACTTTCACAATAAATTTTATATAATACTTCAGTCAACATATGCAATAAAAATAACAAGTGAAAAATTACTGTTTAAAACTATAAAGCGGTAGTAGGAATTAACTTTTTGCACTATTACCCAAGAAAATGTGGCAAAAAGCATTTAACCTTTTTCAATAGACATCAAAAATTAAATAGATTTAAAAAACAAGTTTTTTTTTTATGAAGTAGTGATATAATGTTGGCCAAGCTACTTAATTGATGTTAGATTATAATAGTAAAACATGTATAATTTTTTTAAAATTATTTTTTACTGAAGATTTGTCACTTTCATATTTAAAACTGTTGAAACTCGACATGTCTAGGAAATAGATATTTCCAGATAATAGGTCTTTAATGTAAACAAGAATTAAAAAGTAATGCAAGCATAAGAAATTTATTTTATACTAATTAACTTTACTTCTTAGAAATAATTATTTTTAAGAAATAAAATAAAACGCTCCTATAGGAAATGGTTTGGTGCAAGTTTTTTTTTTTTTTTAAATACTAAAAACTAATCACAAAACGAACACAATTTAATATTTTATGATCCTTAATTTATGGTTCCTGAATTTTTCAAAATAAACTTTCAAAAAAAAAAAAGAGTGTCACTTAATTATTTTACTTATGCTAGTAATGCTAGTTCACAACTCAACTATAATATTAAAAACTTTTAATAAGGAAATATTTAGAAAATTGATTGCATCCTTTGAAAGCACCCTAATAAAAATGGTACAAAATTTCTCATCTAATTTAAACATTTCATCTGAATAAAAAATACTAAAATCAATATTTTACTGAGAACTAAACTTCAATAACAAAACAATAATAATTTTCATTTTGATTATTTCAGATTACAGAATTTTTTAAATATTTAAAACAATTATTTATTTTAAAGACTGATAATTTCTTTTTTTTGGGGGGGGGAGATAGAATATATAACATAAATTAAAGCTTTACTTTATGATATTTTTATTTTTGAGATTTTATTTAAGCCTCAAACTCTTTTTTTACTTTCCTAACAAAAACTTTTAAAAAAGAATTAAAGAAAAATGTTCGTAAAGAATAGATTTGATTGAAGAACAATAAGTACATAGAAAAAAAAAATCTTACTTTGAAGAAAGGTTTTTTGACTGTTGTTTGATCAGACACCCTGAGATCCCATAAATAAATGGCACCACTTTGATCCCCAATGAAGAGTTCAACTTGATTGGGATGAAGACACGTACAATTTACAGGAGCTGATGCATTAAAAAAACGTTGACACTGCAGCATTCTTGACCTGAAAATACCATTACCATTTATAACAGTGTATAAGTCATTATTTTGCATCTCTGAATTTTAGCGAAAATAAAGGGGGTGGACTTACGCACCCCTTTGATAAAAAAATTTGACACACATTGGTAATATTTGTAAGTAATAATATTAATTTTATAATTAAATTAATAAAATAATAATATATAAAATTTGTAATAAAATTTGACAATAATATTTGACAATCAAAATAAAATGAAAAACAGCAATTTTCTTTTTAAAATTTTAACTAATCAACTGTGTTTAAAAAAATAATTAAAAATAACACATCAGATATAAAACTTTGAGTACTTTGATTTATTATTGTAATAAAAAAAACATATTTCTGTAAATAAAATCGTTTTTTTTTTTTTTTTTAAATTATTCTTTTCTTTCTTTCTTATGTTGTTCAATTTTTGCACACTTCTTCCTTTTAAAATCTTGACAGATATTGTTTCTAGTACCATTTAGTTTTATTATATAGACTTATGCCTGATCGCGGACATGCGATATACATGCTGGTAAAATTTGTGAAATCCAAAGTTTCATGGTCAGTACCATTGGTACAGGGATCTGCAGAAAATTTCGTTCCCCTTCTGATCTATGTCTAAATTTATGAAGTGGCCTCACAAATAAGATCCCCTCTACAGAGGATCAAAAACTGTGATGGCATGCCTTCGGATCATCATCAGGGATGTTTCCCAGACCATCACCAATAGCCCATTGTTCAGTTCTAGTGCGACATATATAAAGTACCAACCTTACCTATATAGACTATGTAATTTTGAAACTTTCCATTTCGAATTTGGTGTAATTATGTAGTCATGTCTAGATCTTGAGACATTTAAACATTACATCAATTTTCAGATTACATACTTATTGCATACTAAAACATAGTGATGTTCTGAACAAACCAAAGTAATATAGCATGTAATATAGCAAAGTAATTTAGTCATTTGGGAAAGGGAAAACTTCATTACTTAGCAATCTACATTATTTTAAACTTTTTTCAAAGAAAGAAAAATCATACTTTAGTTCGATACTATAAAAGAAATTTGAAATGGATGCACCTTGAGAAGTAACAATCAAGATTTTCAAAATTATTAATTGAATGTGATTTTTTCTTCTTCAATATTTTATGAATTAATTTTTCTTTCAAATATACATGCCAACATGGATAGGAAAAAATCCAGTAGATTTTACAAAATAATCTAAATTTCATGATAATTGTTGGAAAATATAGTAAGTATTTCACACAAAGAGAATTTTAGGGATTTTTATAGTCATCAAAATAAAAATACTGCAATATTTTCCAGTAACGATTTCACATTAAATCATCTTGAAATGTTATATATTACATTTATTCATAATTTTGAATAGTAATAGGCATTTAATTCATCAAAGATAGTTAACTAAATTTTATAAATGAGGCTTGCCTTATTATGTATTAGTAACACTTATTTAAATATTCAAGCACAAGCAATAATCTGCATTAAATATTCTATTTCAATGGGGATTTTTTAAAGAAACTTGCGCAATTTTAGGTGATTTTCTAAAACATACAAGAACCAGGAGAATTTTTATTAAACCAGTACAAGAACTGGTAAATTCCAGTAGTCTACTGGAAAATTCAGTTGAGTTGGCAGCTACGAAAATATGTATGTTAGCAAGACAGCACTTCATCAGGAGACACACTGCTTACACAGGAGTCTCTCTGTTGTTAGTAGTAATACCAAAAACTGTCAGTTTTGGGTATTACCAAAACTGACAAAAATTATTATTTTTACAAAAATTAATTACTGGTAATTACCAAAGTTATTAGTTTGGTATTACCACTGACAACAGAGAGGCCCCTGTGTGTTAGCAAGCATGTGTGTCTCCTGATGAAGTGCTGTCTTGCCAACACACATAATTTATAATTTTTTTTTCGTTTTCTGCTAAAATAGTATTTCTGACTTTCTAAACCAAAATAAAACAAATTTGATTTTAGCTGCTATAAGCGCTTTTCCACTTTGATTTATTATTTTAAATGTTATTTACTTATTTTGTCTTTTTCTGAATTAGAAAATCAGTTTCATTTTTTGATTAGCTTTTGGACATGTTTAAAAGTTTTGTTTTGTTAAACACTTAATTCACAGAAAAGCTCCCACATAAATGCATGCAGGGTGACCCCTAAAGGAGTACTATAATTAAAGTCTAATCTCCTTCATTTTATTTCTATTCACTCTTATATTCCAATTAAATTATAGTTCTTTCATCTTATAAATATATTTAAAAAATATCAATCATACTTACACTTGTAAAATAAAACACTAAATACTTTTGTTCATAAAATGTGAAGCTCATTTTCAAGAAATTTTTGTGTTTATATCAAAGGAAGAAAAAAAAAAGCCAAAATTATTTACTTGAGATCCATACAAAACAAATGAAATAAAACAAAAATACGACCACCGAAGCCGACGTCTTCAGGGGGTACCGGCCCCGGTAGCCATTAAAAACAAAACCATTTCTATTTGAGGGAGAAGCAAAAGCTTAAAATATCTCCCTCAGTACCCCTATGGTTTTGTATAGAGGTCCAGGAAAAACAAGATACATTCAAAAGAATAAACAAATTACGAAAAGAAAATCAATAAAAATCATCAGAAAATTAAAAACTCACAGTCACAGGTCAAGAATCAACTTCAAAAGCGGAGGAAAAGAAAACACTAAAAACTGAAAAACAACGCCCCCTATAATAATGCGCAGTAAAAGTTTAAAAATGATATGAAAAGGTCAGGAGAAGGAGATACGTAGATAAATTAATAGAATGCTTAACTGGGGCTGCTCAGTTAAGACTAGAATTGCGCCCTGTTAAAAGAAAAAATATATAAAAACTTAAAAACCATCAATCATTTTTTTAATTAAAAAATTAACATTACAAAAATTAAAAGGAAAATCATTTTTACTCAAATTATTTAAAAAATTATCCACAGCTTCTCGAAAACTTTCAACATTATTACAAATTTTCTTGATCCTAACTAATTGCGAAAAAACAAGATTTTTGAATATTTTACTACACAAATTAGTTTTAAAGTTGCAGAAAAAAATAACATTAAAATTAAAGGCTTTTCTTTTATCAAACACACCAATTTTAATAAAATTGTTAACAATATCAATTTTAAAATCTAAATATTCAATATTAAAGCAATTTTCATTAGTTTTTTTCAGGACCAAATCACCAGGATAAATTGTATAAATAAAATTATAATCGTCACAATTAAACAAAATCAAATCATCAATGTATCGGAAAGCATTAAGTACTTTATGTTCAAGAAATTTAGCCTCAAAAAAGTGCAAAAAAATGTTGGCAAAAGCCCCAGAAAAGGAATTACCTTGTGGAATTCCAATAATTTGTTTATAAAAATCTAAACCATTAAAAAGAACATTCTCAAAAAGATTAAACTTGCATAAATCTAACCAGTTAAACCTATCAATTTTTTCATCAAATAAATACTTGTCATAAATACCTTCACAAATCTCAATAATTTTTTCATGTGGTATGCTGGTATACAAATTTTCAAAATCAAAAGTGTTAATGCTGGAAATATCATTACTTTTAATAAAATCCAAAACTTCAACATTACTTTCAATAATAATATTTTTCTCTTTTTTAATTTTAAGCAAAATAATTTTTAAAAAACAAAAAAACCTTTTACTAATATCAGAATTATAACTATTAGTACCACATGCTATAAACCTAAATTTAATCGGATTTTTATGAAATTTAACTATTGGAAATAAATATGGAAATGTAATCCTATTTAATTTAAATTTTAATATTCAAATTAAATTTTAATATTTAAATTTTAATATTTAAATTTTAATTTAAATTTTAAATTCAAAGAAGTTTTTTCCTTTTGATCTTAATTATTTGTGTTTTCTTTCAGTATTACTTGAGATCCCACATTTTTGCTGAACAATCTTCTGATCCTGTGTACATCCATCGGCTGTCTTCAGGAAAACCAACTGAAATAAAGTTTTTGGCTGCACCTTCATAGTTTACTACGGGGTTTGGGTTACTTGAAAAAATATCATACATGCGAATATGCTGAAAACCTGAAAATAAATGTTTCATGATAAATTTTGGAAAACAAATTATAACTACATTGATGAACCAAACTGTGCACCGTTGCATTAAGTAAATCACTGATGTATCAATAAATTTAAACACAATGGTATGGTGTATAATAACCATTTTTAGTGAAAGTTATAATATGCAGGGGTAACTGTGAGCCCTACTCAAAAATCCTGAAATTTTCTTGCGTAAAATCATTAATGTCGCATTTCAAAAAATTAATGTCTTTATAAATTTAAATCATTGATATTTTCAAAACATGAAATTCTAAATAAATTATATGTAGCATAATTTAAATGAATAATTGCGTATAAGTTGTATTTTATCTCCAATCACTTTTATTATGCTACCGGAAAAATTATTTACAAATGAAAGAGATGCAAAATATAAACATTAGTTCTAATGTTTTTAAGTAAAATATACAAGACTTTTTATACATAAATGTGATTGGTGATTTCTTTAAACTTCTGGACCTTATATTTCCGGAAACTTCCGGATCGCAATTAGCGAAAAATCTGGAAATCTGGATTTTATTTCGGAGCACAATCATCTTTGAATATAGAATTGAAAATGGCAGACATGTTTACACTGTAATTTAACAACCTTGAACATAATTCAGGATAAAGAAGATTAAAATTTTGTTGAAAATAAATAATTTGTAAACACTCAATTTATTTTGATATTATAATAAAGAAACATTCAGACCATACCCAAATGGAATAGTCAAAATTAAAAGATAGAAATTTCTAGAGAAACAAAAAAAAAATTTTTTTTTTAGCAAAACTAAGCACAACTAAAATATATAAGTATTTATTCATATTAATACAATACTCTTTCTATATTGTGAAATATCAATTATTTGATGCCTAGCTTTCTAAAATTTTTTTAGTATAACTGATTTTTCTTATAAATAATAATTAAAAATAAAACAATTAAAGGGATTAGCTCTCTGCACTAAACCGTAATAGTTGCTTTACAATTATTCTTAAACAGGTTTTGAACCCAATATGTTTCATAATTATTTTTCCTTGATAAACTGACATCAGGCCACATGCTGTGGAGGGGGAAAAAAAGCTTCATTTTAACTGCTGTCTTTGCTAATAAAATAATGCCTGATTTATGTTTAGAATACATTTATATTTGACACATAACATTAAAAAAATTAACAAAAAATTTTACCCAAAAAGGCACAATATCAATTTACAAAGGCTTTTCAAAAATGTATATTTTAACTGTCTAAAACAGAATTAAAAATTAAAGCAGACCATTTTTTTTTTTAAAGGAGAATTCGCCGTTTTTGTAAAAATATTGTTACAATGATTATAAAATTGGCTTAATGATGAGAAGTGTATTTATACAGCATGTGTACATTTTAATAAACAATAAATAGTACAAATTATCAAAGTCCAATGAAAACTGTTTAAAAGGCACAATACATATAACATGCTATGTAACTTAAATAAAAAATTAAATACCTGCCACAGCTAAAAGATTCATCTTGGGAGCAATTTCCATACTGTTTACTTGCTAGAATAATCCGTTAAGGTCCATGTACAATACAATGGAAATTTAAATGTTGATGAATAAACAATATAATTAGTAACATAGAGAAAGCATGGCTTCATAGAGTGAATAAAATAATATAAATTTTGTTATTACTAAATGTTGCAGCATCTACACTCACTTTTAGAATGCTGCAATGAAACATTTAAAACAGCATAATTTTGTTGATATTCTACTTGTTTCCAGAGAAAGCAATTTTGCTTTAAAGATAATTCAAACAAAGGACAATTTTAACTAACTTTTAAAAAAAGATAAAGTTATAAAGATAGTTATTTGAACTGGCTTCAATTATTTCATAAAAATCATTAACATTGTGGATTGGTAAAACATTAACATTCTGGATTTTGATATAATTTAATAGTTAAAAAAAAATTTTCTTCAAATAATATGAAATATTTGAAAATTGAAGTTTTTACTTGTAATGATATTCATTACATACTTTGTAAATGTTTGCCATAAATAACAGAAAAGGGATTCTTTTACATTATTAAGTTTGCCTTGAAAAATCAAGTCAAATATTGAGCCAAATACGGTCAAATTTGAAATATAATTTTTTAAATTTAGTTACCAAGTTATTGAGATGAAAAAAATAGTATTAAATAAATTCGTTGTTTGTATTAAACGATGTTTGGGAAGATTTCTAAGTCTTTGGACTAAAAATGTCATCATATTTTGGCGATAACCATGCAATGTCATGTGAGACATTTAAAAAAAAAAAAAAAACATCACAGAAGAGGACTAACTTGAAAGATATAACTTATCACCATCTTCAGACAAACCACTATAATTTTTTTTAAAATTTGGGCAAGCATAAAAATTCTTTGGTGCCTTGGAGATTGTGGTTGGTGCAGACAGGTGTCAGATATGGAAATATCCCTTAATGTTTAAAATATAATTAATGTTGATATTAATAAAAAGATGTGATGCTAACGATAATCTTGTATGCTGATTATTATTCATAGCCATCTAGCTAGGTTTAATCACTCTAATATAAAATTAATTTAAAAAAGTAAATAAGAATTGTTATATATTGTGAATTGTTATAAAAAATATGATAAATGATATATATTGTGAAAAAATATGATAATAATGAAATTTATCAAAGAAAGTAAAAATAATTAATGAATAAAAGAGCCACAAATAACTGTTAATATAAAGGACAGTAATAAGAGCAATAAATAACGAAAAATCCTGTAGCAATGTCACTTAGCTTTATATGATACAGAAAAACTAGAAAAAAAAAAGATTTTTCATATTCATATACATGAGCACTTAGACAAAATCATAATAATCCGAAAGGATACAGAACTTGGATGTTGTACAGATGATTGTCTCACACCAGTATGAGCTTGCCAAAAATGAATAGTATGGTCATATCCCCCAGTGGCCAAAATAACATTGTTATGTACTTCTTCTGCAGATGGCATATTGTTTGACATAACTAGAAACTAAAATAATAAAAAAAAATATATAAAATACCTAGTCACTTCTTTACCATTAAACATAATATCAGGGGAGCTGCAAACTTATATTTTTTGAGAGGGGAAAAAAACCCATTTTGCTAAATAAAATTCTGAATCATAAATGAGTGCCTGCAATTATTCTGATATATAATAAAGAAGCATCAAGAGTAACTCTTAAGAAGTTATATCATAAATGATATAGTTGATGATGAGCTAACTGGCGTACTAGCTCTCAATTTCTGAGAAACTGGCTCGTTCGAATCAGGAAATAGAAGTGCCATGATGAATGTTTGAAAAATGGGCCTTTCAATGGCAAGGATTTGATAAGGAAGACATAAGAATTGTGAAATGTATATTTGAAATGATACTTGTGCATTTTTTTTTCATCGCTGTTAAAAGTTTTTAATTAAATTATAATATTGTTTTATTAGTGTTTTCTAAAATAGAAAAAAAGCAAAATACCGAAAGGCCAGTCGAAATTTGCTGAATAGTGAAAACTGCATAATATTGAGAAAAAAATAAAGTTGAAATAAGAAAAAAAAACTATCTCATTTGCAAATGCGATTCTTTAACAATGTAAAATTGCCGAAGAGTTATTAAATAGAAGGAATCAATACAAAATAAAGTTTACATAATACTATATATCACTCAGTTTAATTAATAGGTTACAAATTTAGTAATCTATAATTTTTTTAATTAAATTTTAAAAGAGTATCCTAAGGAAACAGTTGAGTTAAAAAATTTAGTAATTCCTTATTTTTTAATAATGAATTTCTAAAAAATAATTTAACTCATTTACCCTCCGAAGTCTGGGGAACTGAAGCTGAAGATAAATAAACAGATCTTTTGAGAAAAAACATCGTTGTTAAAATACTTGCTGTTAGCTTTCATAGATTATCCGTACAAACAATTACTCTCGGCTGCTAAGCAACGACCTTGTGCGTAGAAGAAATAGGCAGGTTAAATCTTACAAATATAAACAAATGCAGAAGAGTAATTAATTTAGAGCAATTTACAATTTCTTTGTAACTAAATCGACATGATTGGGTCTGTTTGACATTTTGCTATTCAATTTTTCATATTTAAAAGTTATTAATTTGAAGTGCATAGGGTTTAACTGTGATTCTATTCCGGTTGATTTGATTCCGGTTCAGACCATTCCTCTGAAACCTTGGTGTTGGATGATGCAAGAAAATAAAACATTGTTTTATAATTATAGTTTTTAAATGCAATTGTTATTTTATCTGAAACTCCATAACTAAATCATAAAAAATAATGTACGGTTTAAACTTCTTGATATAATTAGTGCGATATTTTTCTGGAGAATTACACCGGTCTGATTATAATATATGTTACTTTGTGCACAGACTGTAGTCGAGTCCAAAGTTGTCAAAAAGACTAGTTAAAAAATTTTTATCTTATTTTATTTTTAAATATTTAATAAAATTATGAATTTATTTATTACCTATATCTACAAAACCAGAAATGACCAGACCTGAAATAAATTTTAAACCTTTAAATAAATTTTAACCTTAAAAAATTTATAAAAGATTAAAATTTTTCAACAAAGTAGGGGATATTTCCGAATCGTGATCTGTGGCAGTGTAATCGCCAAGTCTTTGACACTTCTGGGCAGTGAGTAATTAAAAAAAAAAAAAACCAAAAAGGTACAAAACTACTTTAAGCTACTAAGATTGATTTAAATAAAAGTATGTATGAGTAATTCAGATGCAAAATCTGTAGGAATTTCTTTGACAACTTAAAGTATTATGCTTATGAAAATTGAAATAAGAAAAGATTCACATTGAAGTTTGACACAATGATACTTTAAATTTTTTTATTTAAATGGGCCAGTTGGCAGATTTTATTTCTTAACAATTCACAGTTCAGATACTTAAAAATTAATAAATATGTATTACAGTTTCTTCAGTTGTCGTTCTTACCATACCACTAAGACAATCTTATCTGCTACTGCGGCCAAAAGTTCTTTGCTAGGAAAGTTGAGAAAATCTACTGGATTTTCAATATCAAATTGTAAGAAGGCATTGGAACAATTTCCTGAAGACTTGAATAAAGTAGGTTTTGTTGTTTCATTTTTGTATTTTAGATAAGTGTTGACTTTTTAATAGAAATGTTTAATTTTTCCTTTATATATATATAAATATATACTGAACAGATAACTTTAATTCGAACAAACCGTATATCCTGAAGAAATCATCGTAGGAAACAGTTACAAAATATTTAAAGAGTTTTTTTTTACTTTAAAATTATTTTTGTGTTAAAAACAAAAAATCATGTTCTTTTCATGCAAATATTTTTACACTTCCTGCAGAGTTTTCATGTACAGTGGAATAAACTTCCATATCTGAAATCGTTCGGAATCTGCTAGTCATAAAAATAGATTTTTCTAGATAGGAGGTCTTAAAAGCAAACGGAAATTAAAACGCATCATTCAATAAAAAAACGAAAAAAGGTAATAATTAATGTCAATATAAAATGCAAAAATGTTTTGTTATAGGTCAAATGACATTTAATTAGCTGAATGTTTAATTTAATTAAATTCATATCGCTGAAAAAATTTTAAAAGGTAAGATGAGTATAAGTTGAGCATTCTCTATGATTTAAGATATTTTTTCTTTTTATTTGAGCTGTAGAAGGTAGCTCTGCAATTATTTACAGAAAGTGTACGTTAGAAAAAAACTATCTCAAAATTTAAAAAAATTAAATTTACAGGCAGAAGAATGGTTACAGAAGGAAGCGAAGAAGATGGGTTGGTCAAAGTGGAACAAGATTCAAAATCGAGTGGCTGTCCAGGGACTCATTGGTGTATATGCTGAACACAATATTGGTGCCATGGTCGAAGTAAGCATCTAACAATCCCTTTCTACCCTGTCACAAATCTAGGATACTATGACAAGGTTCAATTTTAAGAGAAATTTGGGTTCTTTCGCGTATCTTTCACTAATCAATTCACTTTAGACTAAATCATTTAATCTTAAATACATATCCATCACTATATATTTTGTCTTAAAAGCAGAAATTTCACAATATTTTTCATTTTAAAAATAGATTCTTCTTAAAATTCTACTTTTAAAAAAATGATGAGAGTCTTCAATTTATCCTTTTATAACTATAAACTTCTCTAAAGGGATGGTTTTTGTGTTTTTCATGAAATAGGACCTTGGCAAAAAACAAGTTTGATTCTATTTAAGTTTTATATTCAGGAAATTGAGAGTATATGTTCTAAATTCAAAAAGAAAAAGGAAAGAAAAACAGGAGTTTTCCCAAAAGTCTAAACAGACAACGGTTTTGTAATTTTTCACAAAATTATGAGTAGAGAATTACATGAGTCAACTTTTCGTACAAACATGACCTTTCTTGGCAAAAAATGCTTGAATTATGCAATATAAGCTTATTTTAGATTTTGTATATTTAAATTTATGAATGAATAAATGTTTTAAATTTAGATATTAAATATCATAAGCGTTTCTTTTTATAATTTATGAAATTGTTCAGAAAATGTCTAATATTTCAATAAAATTCTTTGTAGTATCCCAGTCTTTCCTAATACTAGAAAATCTGTTTTATTTTAATAATGACTGCTTGGTATTCTCATCCAACCCCATCACACCTATTCCTTAACTTGTTTAATCTGTTTGTTTACCTTAACTTGTTCCTTATCCTCTATTGGTCAAATCACTCTTGTTATTAGTCTCCTAATGTCATTTTATGTTTCAAATCTGAAAAGGGTTCTTGATTATAGAACCAAAACTATAGGGTAATCTCACCATTTAAAAACACGTAACTCAGCTTAAATAATTTGCTTAGTTTTACTAATTTTTGTAGAAGTCTGAGTCTCATTTATACTTACTCTAATTTTTAGAAACTTTTGGAGATTTAAATGTTTTTTTTAAAAAAAAAAACTTGTTATGAATACAACATATTGTGTTACGTCCGTGAAACCCAGTTTTGAATTTTTGAATTTTTTTTTTTTAAACTTCTAAAAGTTGAAGTAAGTGTGAATGATACCAAGACTTATTTTAATAAGAATTATCAGAACTGATTGATTTCTTTTTTAACTGAGTAATTGGCTTTGGATGTCTGCAAATAGGACATTCCTAGATTGAGGAATTGCCTTATAGCATGTCAGTTTTGTGACATTATTTGTGCTTTATTCGCATTGTTTAGTCATATTTAAAAAGTTAAGTTTTTAAAACTTATAATCGTTATTTAAATGGTATTAATCATTCTAAATCGTTATTAAAATGGTAAAAAATAACAAATTATTGAAGTTTTGTTATTGAGCTTTTTCTAAAAATTATTTCAGAGCTATATTTGCTCACATCTAAATTACTTTTATATTTGTTTCTCTCTCACTATTAGAGATGTACCGAATATTTGGCCACTATTCAACATTCGACCTTATTGCCGAATATTCGGTTGGTGAAATATTTGGCAAAATATTATTAGAAATAGTTTTTTAATATATTTATTAAGTTCTAAAACTTGTTAGTTTATATTCTGAAAAACAAATGGTAAAGCCAAACTTGAAGAATTGAAGCTGGATTACTTTATACTGAACCATAAGTTTTGTACTACTGATTTCTTTTAATTATATTCAGGCAAGTCTATTTAGTCTTTTTTTTTTTTTTAAGAATTGAGAACATTTTTTGTTTGTTTAGTTTTTTTTTCCTGTTTTAATTATAGTGCAGTATTTTAATGAAATGCTTCTTATAGCCTTTATATATTGTGGCCCTTCTCTTTTACCGTAAAGCAGATAACTGGTTACCTATAAAAGTGTGATTCTCAATGTTAAAGTTACATTTCAGACCTAAGAACGATTTTTTTTCTTTATCAGTGTTTTTGTTATGTCACAGCATTTTTTAAAAAGTGATTTTAATGATCAGTGTTCTTATATGATAACTTTTTTCTAAAAATGTGACATTGTGAAAAAGTTAAATTAAGATTTTTAACGTTTAAGTTTTTTGTTTAAAAATAAAGAGCCATTTTTGTTTTGGTTTCTATCTGGCTTTTTTTTAAAAAAAAAAAAGTAATACATTTGTTTTTTTTTAAACGTTTTTATTATGATGTGGCAATTAAGAAAGTTTCTTTTAAATTTTACTTTAACCCTTTATTTTTAATAGAAAATACGGTAAATGGAAAACTGAGATGTTTAACTTTAAAATTTTCTTTCAAAAATTGAGATCGATTTATATTTTTTTCTATTTTGCTTTTGTATCTAATTTTTTATGGACGTTTTTATGACAACACTGCATTTTTAAAAGCGTTTCTGATATACCATATCTTTCTTAACTTTTTATGGATAATTTGTTTCCAGAAAAAATTATTTTTAGCATTGAAGTTTTATTTTAAGATTTAAGAGGATATTCCTTTTTTCCCTAATTTACTATTTTAGTTTTCTTTATAGCTATTTCTCAATTTTTTATTTACCTCAAATATTTTTAACTATCCTAATACCTAATTATCTTTATTATCTGAAATATTTCTATTATAGTTTTTTGACCTTGTGCCAATATCATAGCTAAGTTTTAATTATTTTTCAATGAGGATTCAACTTATTTATTTATGAAACTAATTGACAACACACAGTCCGTGGATAGGCGTGTATATATATATATATATTTTANTATATATATATAACTATTTATACTTATTTAAATATTATATATATGTAATCAATAATATTTATTAATGATTTATTTGCTATTTGGCTGCTAAATATTTGGAATTCGGCCGATATTTTCAGTCGAATATTAGGCTGAATCACTATTTGTTGCATGTATTATTTTAATTATTGAGACTTTTCATTCTAATAAATAACACAAGCTATAACATTTTATTTAGAAACTATTTTACATTTTTGTCTAATTTCAGGTAAACTGTGAAACTGATTTTGTTGCAAGAAATATAGAATTTCAGAACTTAGTTGGGAATGTTTTGCTTGGTTGCCTGGATAAAAGTAAAGAATATGAAATGCCTGAAAACAAAGAATTTCAAAAAGTAAGTGAAGATTGTGTATAGTTTAAGCAGATTGTCACAAAAATAAATATTAATAATTAAGTAGATTTTGAATGCATTTAATTTCATAAAAATTTTTTAATGTCATATCATATGAAAGTACGTTAAGTAAACCTCACTAGATGTTTGCTGAGAAGGTTACTGTTGTTTAAGATGTTAAAAAAGTGGGAGAAAATAAGGTAGAACACCAAACACTTAGTGGGCTGCTCAATAGGATGGAGCGAAAAATTAAATTTCGGCAATTTTAGCCTGAAAATTATTTAAAATTTCATTTCAATTTTTATTTCATTTATTACTTAAGCTTTCTAGTTCTTTCTGTTCCACTTGATGTAAAGTTACACTCAATATTTATTTTTAAGAAATAATTTTAAATAAACAATATGTTTAGGAGTATTTTTTTTCTCTCTGTTTTTAAAAACTGCTTTTTTTATTGTTTCAGAATTTATTGGGCGAAATCGATTTGATGAATCTTAACTGTAAGTCTTTGAACATGCAAGAACTTTTAAGTGCTGCCATTAGTAAATTTAATGAAAAGACTGTTTTTAAAAGAGCTGTTATTTTAAAAACAAATGGAAAATTGTCTGTTACTGGACTTAGCCACCCGAGTCAACATTGTCCTAATTTTCACCAATGTCAAATTGGTAAGTAACTGAATTATTTTCTTTAAATATATCCTTTTTTTCTTAAATATATCCTTAAATATATATATATATTTTAAATATATCCTTTTTTATTCGGTTTCAGAAATGTTATAAGGGGTATTATAAAGTATGGAGCTACTGAAATATTACAAAATATTAAAAATCTAAAAATAAGTTAAATGTATTCATAGTGATCCGCAATGGCTCAGGGAATAGAGCAGAGCGCTCAAATTGTACTGAGGTTATGCAGGCTGGAATGCTGACATAAAATATCCTCAGTGGTAGATGGTCGGGTAATCTTATTTCAGCTAAGAAAACCATGAGTAGCATTCCTCTCCATGTAATGTAAACACATGTTGGTTCCATCAAAAAGTACTCCATATAGGCTAGTCAGTCCCAATGCTTAATACAGAAGCTTGTTTGTCTTCTGGGTTGGTTGTGTGAACTCCATTTATTAAATAATAATAAAAGATGCATATTTAACTTAACCCCCAAAATCTGAGGACAAGTATAAAATCTTTATTATTGGGAACTTCTTTTCTTATTGCAGATTTAGATTCTTCAGAAAAAATGCCCCAATGATTGGAGTATAAGACCTGTTAATCAGATTGAATCTGATTTATGGTTTGTCTAAAGTAAGAAGACCTCTAGTCATTCACCTGGACCCGTGGCAGTGACTATGGCAACGAGGTTTAACTATTTCAAATAGGGGTGTGGGGTCATTATTTAAGACAGGTTTACACTCGGGTCAGCGTGAAAAGGGGAATCTTTTTCTTTGGTCTATTGTATTAGACCTTGAGTGAAGAGAAGCTACCTTTCATGAATGAGCTTTCTTGTTTCCATAGCAACAGACAGCCTCAGACTTTGTGGTGGGGGGAGTTGTACCATAGACAAATTATACATGTCTTATTGTTTTGGGTCACATATTGTATTGTTTGGTCTAAGAGCAAAATAAAATTGGGAAAAAAAATCATTCAACCTTTGCACAGAAAAGTAGGTTCTATTAAGAATCCCTCTTCAATTTTCTACTCATATTTCCTTAAAATATTTTATTTATAGTTGATCTTCTTAATGTGCATATTAATAATTGTATTTATTATTACAGTTCTGTGAAATATCATTACATTCCAAAAAAATATTTCTAAGTTTAAAACTTGTTTTAAGGTGGGACCCATTATGGATACCACTTTGCAATTTGTTTACTTTGTTATTTATCTTTTCTACTTAATTTCCTTTCCTTTGGTATGGATAATGATATTTCTTGGAATAGTAGAACTTACGGTTAATAACATATATAGGAAGGTCAACTCTTACAAATAATTGGAAACAATAAGAATAAAAAAAACTGGTGAAAGGTTCATTACATTGCAGATCTTACTTTGAGTGAGTCACAAAATTGTAAAACAAATCATTGCATCAAATTTACATGTAAAAATAAAAGTTAATAACTTTTAATTTTCCCTAAAATTAAACTTTAACTAATATTCAAAAAAAAATAATAAAGAAAGAAATAAAAAATTTTATTATTACTGTGTCAACTTTATGTGATAGTTGTGATTGGAGTTATATATTTACAAATTTTTCCAATTTTGGAAATTTTTTGTCCAATTTATACAAATTTGTGAGAAATCTACATTTTGCTATGAACACTGAACCAACTGCCATAAGCAAAACAAAATGGTTATTATCTGATACTCCAAAGAAGGCTGAATTATATCAATAACTTTAATGAATCAATAATTTCTGCTCCAACTTGTAACAGAGTACGATTGTGTAACCCCTTCCTTCTCGCTCCCTTGAAAACGACGGGGTGAGGTTTCGCCATCTATTACTCGTATTCCCGAGCTGGAGTGTTCAGTAGTAACACACCAAATAGAATAAAACTAATTCATTTCTTTTGCCTGGAAAACATTTTATTTCTCATTTTACACACCAGATGGCAGTATCAGGATAATTTTAAGGTAATTGTAGATAGTTTATATTAAGCTAGATGTCAGCACTAATCAAATATGTGTATTTAAAAAAATGGCACTTTTATGACCGTTTTCTTGAAAATTAACCAATTGTTAAGGGGTTTGTGGACACTTTTGGTATGCAGGCCGTAGGTTCCTTACTAGAAATATGTTTTAGAGGCTCATGAACGAAGTTTAAGAGCCTGGTAGTAAGATATACAGCTATATCTGTAGCATATTCAGGGTTGCCACTCCTCAGGAAGAATAGGGAAACCTGGAACATATGGGAAGTTTTTCCTCACAAACTGGGAAAATAGAAGTATGGAGAATTTTTTCTTATTTTAGTCTTTTAAAAAGTAATGGCCACTTTAAGCGTATTCTACAAGATATTTAAGGATGATCTTTCTGTTATACTAAACTATTTCATTTACTGTGGCATTATTTGTTATAAGTAGGTTAAGCTGTCCTTCATTTGTTTAAGTTTTTCCTGAAATTAAAACTAGTATATCTCATACAAGAGCACATTGATTGTGTTTATCCTATTAATATATTGTGTATAACATGTACAGGGAATTTTATTTTCAGACTTGAATAGCCACCCTGATATTTGTTGAAACTATCAAATAATCATAACTTTCTTTTTGTTTCAGGAAAGTTTGGTGCTTTAGTAATCCATCGATCAAAAGATCAACAAGAAGACACCACGTTAGGCACAAATATGTGCCAACATATTATTGGAATGAATCCTATATCTATTGGAGCTGAAGATTTGGCCGAATTAGAAAGGATGAAAAATGTAGATGATGTTGAGGTAAAAGATGCTGAGGAGGAAGAGGAGATTGAGCTGAAAGACTCAGATGAAACTAGACTTCTCTTTCAGCCATATCTATTAGATCCAAACTTAAACGTGTATAATTATACTAAGGAACAAGCTGATATTTTGGATTTTGTAAGATTTGAATGTGGTGGACAATAATAAAGTGTAATAGAATTTCTTTGATGAGTTTTAGAGACAATACAGAATTTCGAATACAAAAGATTCCCCAAGAATATTCTTCTCAGAATTATATAAAATGAATTAAAATGCAAATTTTGTTTTTCAGTCATTTTATTACTGCTGTAAAAGTCAAAGTAAAAACTGGATGATGGAAGAAAATTTGTGATTTGGTTGCTTTTGCCAACAAGGGGAGTGAAAAATATGCTTGTGTTAATATTAGAATGGGCCCTAGAACAGCAATTTCACTAACTCTAAAACAGATAAGAATAATTTTTACAGCACAAAAAAAAATGAATGAACAAATAAAAAGTTTGTTTTTATATGTTACAGCAATATAACAATAGTTTTGTTACTTGAACCTTTTTAAAAAATACTATTAAAAAAATAACGCTGCCTTTTTTATGTATGAATGAGTTTGAGTACTCCCACAATCTTTTTTTTTCTTTCCAGAGTAGGAAGATCTGTTACAGGGTTACCACTAAATTTTTTTAAAAATTCAAGGACCTAAAATCAAATTTTTCAAAGACCTATTCAGTATTAAAATTATATGCTAAATTACATGTCAACTAGATTTTACAATTACGTAGAAGCAGAAATTATATTTTTAAAGCACAATGCTTGTTTGACAACAACAAAAAATTTTTTATTAAATTTGTCATCTATAATACAAAAGGTTTATAGTTACATTACTGTTTCAAATCACTTTAAAAAATTCCAACTGGCTTAAAAAAAAAACAAAAAAAAAAAACTCCAAATTGACATAGGGTACTAGCCAACATTTAAAAGCTAGCAGTGAAACTTTTCTTGAAACATTCAATGAAGTTAATTAGAATTAGTGAAATTGAGGGAATGAATAATACATATTACATAAGACAAGCCTAGTAAATAATTGATAAAGTTTGTGTAATTGCACAGTTATTAAAATAAAAATAATTTTTTTTAATATGTTGGATCAAGTTTTAGGTTACAGAAATGTGTATAAATAGATAAAATATCAAAATATATCCATTTAGCATATATGTTTCAATTTTAACACGAAATTAACTCTTATTTATACGAATCTAGATATGTACATCAAAATTATAAGAAAGGTGAAGTGTAAGTCTCAAGGATTACGTAAATCACGTATCACAATGTGTAATTTGTAAATTGAATTGCGGTTTACGTTTCTTAAATCGGAACAATATGAGTAGCATATGCTACAAAACACACTAGCTAACAAGACGTAAATCACAATGTGTGATACATAAATCACTTCAACATGAATTTTGTTGCGTGATTAGCTAATAGTTTTCATATGAATTGTGATCATTATGATGCAATTTGTGATTCGGAAGGTGCTTTATATAGAACAGCTATGTATAATTCTTAAATAATTTTGATGAGAATTGCAAGTGGTAATTCTTAAATCTCTCTTTTGTGAATCGCAATGCGTGACTTGTAAACCACTAAAATGAAAATTGTTAGGCATGATTCGGAAATTACTTAAATACGTTTTGCGTTATAAGATTCAGAAATAACTTTAATTGAAATCATGATGTTGGGTAACGTTGCTCGCCTTCCGTGACTTTGGTTCACAGGTGCCCACTGGGTAACGATAAATGAGAAACACTTCCGGCATCTTGTATGGAGAAGAACGAAAGTTCAGTGCCTGCCGTTATTAAAAATAAAAAAAAATCATGATGCGTGAATCCTGATGAGTAATTTGCAAGTTATTTTAAAGTAACATTTGATATGTGATTCATTAATCACTTTCATTTAAATGCCAATTTGTAGAACATTTTATATGAATTCCGATCCGTAAATCAAGAATCAGTTTAATGTGAATCACGATGTTTATTCATAATCAATGAAACCTGTAAAACTAAATTTTATTTATTAGCAGTAAAAATTTGATTATCTTTCGTACGTAAATTAAAAGAAAAAATAGGATAACAATATTAACCTATCGTAATAACGAAGTTAACACATTGAACATAATTCTAAATCAATTAACACTTACATATCATCCAAAAACTATGACTACAAAACCTACACTTTGCTAAAAATTTCAGCTTTCAAAACATCAGAGAGATAAATTTAATTATCTGGTGTGAAAAGTGGTCACTTCAAGCATTAAAAATTGCATCTACCAGAAATTCTATAATTTTCTTTCTGAATTTATTTATTATTTTTTTACTGCTTTTTTGTAAGAAAGATCAGTATTATTTTAATTCCTAAAAAATCAAGTACTTTTCAAGTACCCTATGGCAGAATCCAAGGACTTTCAAGTACCGTGGGAACCCTGTGTTATATTTTATATTGCAGCTAGAAAGGTATTAATTTAAAATCAAAATTTTTTGAAATGAATTTTCAAACATAAACAGGGGTCTGTCCAGGCCAAATTAACTACCGTTTAGCGGTACCTTCACAAATTCAACTTCAGGAAATTTCACAAAAAAAATTTCTTAAAATTTTATTTTTGCTACCCATAGGAAATGATAAAGCCATATTTTCGTGTTGGTTTAATATAATTTTCACAACTTATGACTAAATTTTCACAAAATAGGTACCTCCCAGAAAAACCTAGTCAGACCCCTGTTAAAGATGCTAATTAAATGCAAAAATTGTATTATAAATTTACATGTATTTTCTTTGTTCAATATTTTAAATTTACATTAAAAAAAAATTAGTACATTTTTAGAGCTGTAATTGATTTAAAACAATGTTTTATTCAAATACCCTTAGACCTTGGGCTTTCGTGTTAAAAATCCCGATTATTTTGATATGAATAATAAGTCACACTCCTCCACTATCACAGACTTAAATAAGCATTTTATAAAAAGCATATCTGCCAACATTAGAGAAATAAAATAAGAGATTTTACTAGCGACACTTTTAAGTCTACAAGTGAAGTCTTGATATATCCTGCATAATCATGTAAGTCAAACAGAGGAATTCAAAATTGGAAATAATATAAGCACATAAATTTAGAAAAGTAAAAAATATGTGTATAAATTTTAATCTAAAGATTTTTTAAACCATTATTTATAATTACTTGAACTGATTTTTTTTTTTTTTTATAACTGGTGTTGAACAGTCGAATTTTGGGTTTACGACTACTAATGTTCAACTCCGTGGCCTTGTAATTTTGAACCCAACCCAGAAGAACAAGGGAACTCCTGGATCAAATATTGGGAGAAATTTGCCTTCTTGGAGGACTTTTTGATGGAACTAACCCACATTTGAGTTACAGTTGAGTGGAGAGGAAAACCACGAGAACCTCCCACAGGTAGTCTGACGGCAAGAGGATTCTAACCCCATGATCCGTCTACCACAGAGGATATTCTACATCAGCACTCTAGTTAGTTCAAGCCAGATGAGTAATTCGCATCGACTTGCCATTGCTGAGATAGGCAATAGCACCATCTGTTGAGGAATAAAAGAAGTATTTTTTGTCATCAGTGGATATTTTATCCCCAATTTTTTTTTTAAATTTCTTCAATGAATAAAGAAACTTGAGAATATACAGGACTATTTGTTAAAAAACAGGAGACTTGGCAGGTATGAAAAAGGTATCCAAACAAGCACGAAAAAATATTATGTCAAAGAAACTTAAAAATAAAAAAAGTACACAGCTTATTTTATATTTTTATTCAGGATCACATGATAAAGCTTCCAATACTCTATTAAAAACACAATTCTTTTATATGAAATTTATTGAACAAGCAACACTAAAATATTTTTGCACAAAAATAGAAAGTTTCTATGAATTAAAGATGTCGATGAAAAACACAGTACTAAATGCGCTAAAACTAGTGAAATAGAAAATAAATTTGTATAATTTAAAAATAAGCCGTTGAGATACTAAACAGTTTCCCAGTGTAAATAAGGTTTTAAAAAATGAACTAAATTGCTTTTCTTGTTTAGAAAAGTTCAGTTCTTTAACATTTCAGTTTTTTATTCAACAATATAGCTTCAATTTTAAAGTTGCCAATTTAAAAATAAAATGTGTAAAAAAAATATGACTTAAACCTGGGTTACATCAAAATTGGAGTGAGTTGCTCTTATGCATAGCTGCCAACATGGATAGGAAAAAGTCGTGCAGATTTTACGAAATAAAATATAAATTCCATAACTGTTGCATAATATACTAAATATTTAACAAAAAAAAAAAGAATTTCAGGAATTTTCATTGTCATCATAGTATTAAAACTTTATTACACTGATAACTATAAATGGTCTGCAATATTTTCCCTATATGATTGATATTAAATGTTTTTTTTTTATTATGTTCACTCATTGTTATGAATTACAATAGACAAGTAATTTACTGATAATTAAGATTTTGTAATTTGCTTAATATGGGAGATTAAATTGATTACACAACGCTCCCTTTAATATTAATAACTTATGATTTGGAGATAAATTTATGCGCAAAAATCAGTTATGTTGCTTCAAAAGAGCAAGGTAATTTTTGTTTTTCACCTAAATTTCGATTAAAGTGTTTGGTTAAGTGTGTCAAGAAGTTAACGAAATTCTCTTGTCCAGTGATTCTGCTGAAGCGTTATAAATCATAGGGAACATGCAAACTGAAAATATATTAATTAATTATGACGCGTCCTTTGGAGCATGTAATCTTCCCTAGGCTAGATCTAGAAATGAGTGCCTCCTGGTCATTACTTGAAACAAAATTTACTTACTGTTTAATCATAAAGTGTTATAAACTTATTAATAACTTAAGTAAATTACGCTATATTGGTAAGTTTGAGTCTACGTTTGACTAAATCTTTGTTAACTCACAATTCTTAAGGAAAAAATCAAAAAGAAATTATTTGTATTATTTAGGGGGCCTTAGGCACTGAATTCTCTAACAGGGGAGAAAAAATAATAGTATGCCAGCAGATGTATGTAGATCAAATTACACCATTGTTTTATTTGATGCAAGAGTTTGAGCTGTCTCAATTCTCCTAAATTATTTTTGTTTGAAATGTAGTATTTTTTCTACCCATGAAGAAGAATTTTGTGTATATTGATCAATAGATAAAGACAAGGTGCGTACCGTTGTTTTCAAAACTTCTGGCTTTTTTTTTCCAATATGTAATTTTCAAATTGACAATCAAACAGTCTAAAAATAAAATCAAGCAGAGAATGCAGCAATGAGTATCTGTGTTGCCATACAAAAGTAGCATACTTTCACATTTAAATACGACAACAATAATCAATTTTTATTAACATTACATGGAAGTATAATACCAGGCTGCACTGCTTACTGAAGCTTAATAACTCTAGGAATAAATTAGATAATATAATAAATTGTTTTGAGTAATTTCCACTTTCATTTCAATCTGCCCTTATTAACGTCAAAAAGTGCAAAATATAGATACATAGCTGCCAACATGGATGGGAAAAAACCCAGTAGATTTTATGAAATATAAATATCATAATTGTTGCAGAATGGACTAAATTTTTACAATTAGGTATTTTTATAGTCAGCAAAATAAAATAAAAAACAGCAGAATTTTCCAGTTATAATTGACATTAAAATCTTGAATCTATAATTGACTTGAAATGTTATGCATTATGTTTACTCATAATTTTGACTATTAATAGGCATTTAATTCATCAAACATAGCTAAAAGAATTTTTTAATTAATTTAAAAAGAGAGCTGTGAATAAAAATAAATTGAACATTTTAGAACAAAAAAAGTTTTGAACTGATTTTGATAAATGAGGTTCACTTCATTATGTATATTAGTATAACTTATTTATATATTCAAGCAAGCAATTAATAGTCTGTGCAAAAATTCTATTTCAGTAGAGATTTTTTTAGGTAACTTACTCAATTTTAGGGAATTTTTTAACCAGGAGAATTTTAAATAAACCAGTAGACCAGGAGAAACTGTCAGAATCACGTAGTCTACTGGAAAATCCAGTATAGTTGGCAGCTATGTAGATATATAAAAAGTAAATGAGTGTTTTCATATCTGAAAATAATGTTAAATGTGCAACAAATTTGCGATATACATTTTGACACATTAAGTCAGAATAACAACATCAATGAGTAAATTTATGTTCATATAAAATTAATATATTGATATATAGCAGAAGAAATATTTGGCTATATTGGAAGGAATAAGAAACCTGAATAGCACAAAGGAGAATAATAGCACAGACTTAAAATATCATACAGAAATTTAAGATTCATAATTTTTAAAAAATAAATAAATTTTATATAGTAAAATTACCCAACTTTTATTTTATAAACATGACATTTCGCTAGTCAGTAAAATTATTTATCAGAATAAGAAAAATCAGGAAATTATTAAAATAAAACCTGCTGTATTTTGCCTCCACATTCTGTTGTTCTTTCAGTTTTATATTACATATTTATATGTATTTTAAATTTATTTTATACTCCTGATTTGGTACATAAACATGACGACTCAAAAATAACAAGAGGTTGTTAATACATTATTAACCAAATTTTAAAAAAATGTGACAGACTTATTTGATGTAATAGGAAACAAATTTTTGGAACATGTATACATTAAACATTTTTGAAAATAAGAAAACTGTCTAAAAAGTTTTTTTTTTTTTTAACAAGTTGATCATTTTGTACATTCCGTATGTAATTTTGAATTAAGACTTTCATAGAAATTATTAATAGAAAAAATTGCAGAACTACAAACTTTAGGAGAAAAAAAATAATAGTGTAATGATTAGTTTGAACAAATAGAAATCAACACATTTAAAAGAAATTTTTTTTCTTCTAAATTCCATTTTTTTGGCCAAATTTATTATTAATTTTATAGCATTTAAAAGTTAATAATGTAGCTACCAACACAAAACTAAAAAAAAAAAGGCAGTGAATTTTAATAAATAAAATAAAATTACTATGCATTTTATAGATTACATGTATTGAGAATTTTAGGGACTTAAAAATCAATAAAGAAAGGGATAGAATAAAAATTTTAAAAAACTATATTACAAACTCAAACTAACTACATTATTTTTTGTTTCTTACAGGCAAGAAATGTTTATTTTATTTGCATTCTGAATTCTTCCCTCATTATTTAAAACATTTAAATCTTCAGTAACACAAATAAATGCTTTTTTTTTTTCAATGATACTTTGGGAAATTCTTTAAACATTTCTGGGAAATGTACAAAAACATAACTGCCAACAGGAAAAGTAACAAATCCAATTGATTTTACAAAATAAAATAAATTCCATGCTAGCTATAGCATAATACAGAAAGAGACACAAGGAATTTTAGGGATATTTATAGTCAATAAAATACAAAAACTACATTAAATAACTTCACATTTAATGCAATACTTTCATTTAAGATTGACATAAAATGGACTTGAATATGAAATGTTTTTATGTTAATTTTTTTATTTTCTTGCATTGAATAGTAATAAAAATTGAATTCATTTTAGATAGTTACAACACATTCTTTAATTAATTTAAAAATAGAGAGTTCTAAATATTAAAAAAAAAAAAACTAAAAATGATAGAATATATAAAATATTTCAACCTGTTTACTCTAAGTGATTATATTATTATCGACGTGATTATTTTATGATTATTTAAGGTTCTTACTGAAAGAAAGTTTTGAGAAGAAAAGTCGCACATGTTAGGGAAAATGCAAGATTATCGAAACTGACTAGAAGGAGGAAAATTTTACATAAAAATATAAAAATGCCGATAAGCACAAAATAACCCTTAAGAATATTTTTCTTCAGATTTCACAAAATGAATTGAAAAATAAATTTTGTTACAACTTTTATTTCAATATAATCTTAAACTGTAGAATTCCTTCCTTCTACAGGGAAAAAAAGGCCTTGAGGCTTTGGTCTCAATGCTTTAGTGCTCGCCAGTTCATGAGCCATAATACCTATCGACTCATCTTGTGGTGCTGTCTGTTGTACAAGACTCAAGGTCTTGTACCATTGAGTCTACAATTGCTTGGGCTTTCATCCTGTTGCAGCCATGGCAGAAATATGTGAATGGGCTTTTAGGACCTAGGGTGCTTAAATCAATTCTTATAGAATTACAGCCAAAATAAGTAGGGGTTCACGAGCTTTTTAAGTATGAGAAAAACAAAGAAAATTTGTGATTTAATGAAGGAAAATTAGCATTATCAGGGGTGTACAAGTAAATCCATTGGAGTTGGCAGCCATGGAAAAAAAAAATGAAGAGAATTTTTGATTTATCTCGAGAAAAGTGGTTAAACTCCAGAAATCTACTGGTTAATCCAGTAGAGAAGGCAGTTATGTACAACCAATTTTATTTATTTTAAGTTAAAATTTTTGAAAATAACAGAACCTATATCAACTGAGAGCGACAGATATTTCACATAAAATGAACTAACAAAAAAAAATAAAAAACAAATGCAGTTTTTAATAAATTGCACACAAATTACATACAGTGAAACCTCCAGGAAAGACCACCAGTGTGTAGCAACCCCCTCTATTTAAGACCACTTTTGGGAGGCATAGAATTTTTTCCGTAAACTTGGTGATGAAGAAACCTTTAAGGAGATACTACCAAAACCTCTCCCAGCGACCTGGCAAACATTCGCACCAAATGCGGAAAAGGTCAAATAAGAAAACTCAAAAAATTATCAAAATTTTTTTTTTTTTTTAAGAAAACAAATAGATTAAAATTTATTCAAAATATTTACGAGTGGCTCTATCTAGAGAGCTATTTTTGACGATTTCTGAACAGATTGACAATCTCATGTTACAGTTAGTGCCCTGAAGACAATGCTATCAATGATTTAGTTTTAGAGTTAAAAGTTAAATTAGGAAAAAGTTACTTTAGAAAAACTAAGCATGTTAAACAAAGAAAACTCTCATTTTTTAAAGCAAACTAATTTTTTTGATATAAAATTAAAGGCACACAAAAACATAATTGTTTACTTATTTAAAATAGTAAACAATTATTCAGAATTGGTAAATTTGTTTTTACGCATAATTACATCAGTAGGGGTCATTTTTATTGATGCTAAATTTATTCATCGATCCAGTTTTCATTACTCCAACTCAAGTTGCATTTCTGCACCAAGAAAATTAAAATCGCTTGAGAAAAATCATGTAACTTTGATAACATTTTGAAGGCAATTAAGTAACCCCCCAGAACGACCAACCTCCATTAACATCCATTTTACAGCGGAACAGAGAGTGGTTGCTCCCAAGAGGTTTCATTGCGTGTATATATATTGTAGACTTTTAAAAACTAAGAACACAAACTCGGTTTTAAAAAAAATACTAGTTTCAAGTACAATAAAAAGTCCCATATCAAAATTTTATTTTCAAGTCACTTCTAATCTTTAAAAAAAAAAAAAAAAATCTTTTTCTCCGAAAAACAAATGAGTAATAATCTTTTTTTTATTTTTTACACATTTGTGATCGTTTCTAAAATCTTATGTACCCATAAAAACATTTCTATCTGCTCATTCTGAATTAAGGATAGTTAACATTTATATTGCTTTAAGAAGCACACTTAAAGAGTCAGGACAAGAGCAGTTAAGGAAAAACTAACTTCAGTCAGAGGAATAAACTAAGAATAATAATAAAGCTAAATGTTTGAAGGGGAAAAAACACACCAATAAACAGGCTTTATTTGATTTATTATGTTTTCATTAATGAATTATTTCTATTCCATTCTTTGTCTTGTAATATTTCTTTTTAAATAGGACTGATTTTCTCTTTTAATTTGAAGCCCGTTTTTTAATATCAATATCTGCACTGCCAATCTTTCATATCAAGTGAAAAGAGAGAGAAAGAGGATGTCTTTATGAATGAAAGCTAAAGTTCAACTTATTGTCGACTTAATTTTTATTTTAAAAAAAAAACAATAATTAGTGAAATTCATTTTTCATCATACATACTAAATATTCTTTAGTTAATTAAATGTCATTTAACTACAAATAAAATCTTATTGCGTAAAAATAAATTATCATTTTTTTAAAAAATTTCCTTATTTTTTAAAAAAGTATTTTTGTTTACCAGATTGACATATTATCCTGAAAAGTCAACTTTCTGCATTTGCTGGGAAATTCCCGATCATTTTGGAAATGGGACTTTCCACTGCAGTTGGTACTTGCACTAAACCTTATTTCAATAAAGAAATATGTTGATTCAAGAGAAGTTTGATTAATAAAAAGGGAACAAAATACTATAGCAGTTCTAAACTTATGAATGAAATATATTAAAAAGAAAAGAAAAAAAAAAGGCTGTTTCAAAGTTCTTTCTTTACTGACACATTGAGAATGTCCACTGTGATTTAATTAACAATATATTGAACACATAAGTGAATGGTGTGTGTGACATTAGAAAGAAGGTCAGTGTGGATCCCAATGATTGTTGTTGCCCACCCACTCAGCGAGACCTCGCTCCACTAATTCCTTGTTGATAAAAGTACTCTGAAAAGAAAGAAAAAGAATACATCATACACAACATAATTGTTGAATGAAATGCAGTTTAAGTGTTTCCATTGAATTTTCCTGACATTTCCAGGCTATATAATAACAAAATTCCAGACATGTTTTTGCTATACAAAACAATAGAGGGCAGAATTAACTTTCACAAGGAGAAATATACCTGCCAGCAGGGCTCGAAAAACCGCCCGTCCTTGGTGGTCAAAAATTCCCCCGCGGACAACGAATTTCTCGAATCCGACGTCCGCGCGGACGGCCATTTTCCCATCTTGACCTTTGTCATTTAAATTCTTTCATAAAAGAAATAAATTATTTCATAAAAGAAATACTAGACCTAGTATTTCTGTTATTACTGTATAATGTAATCTTAGTATTTGTAATCCTAGTAACTACTAATTCATTGTGCAATTTATATAAATGTTTGTAATAAATAAGAGAAAATTATATTTTTATTTATTTAGAAGCTACGGGTAAGTTTCAAAGGAGGACAGGTACATTGTTGGGCAAGCCGTCCTCAGGGACGGGTAAAATTTTTGAGGTTTTTTTAGCCCTGCCTGCCAGTAATTTTTTCTTTGAAAACACACCCCACAGTGACCAAGAGCTGTGCTTTCTCTGGAACTGAGGCCGGATGTATACATTTTTCCTTACTTAAGAGTTCTAGCAATTTCATAGTACCCTATGCATATTCAAGGGGACTGCTGCATTGTGACAGCATTGACTGTTAACCAAATTGCTGCAGAACGAATAATCTCAGCAATAAAATACATTTATAATCATTTAAGATGAAATATGAACAAAGATAATAGGATAAAAAAATTTTCTTCATGAACAAATAACTTAACTGTTAATTAAATTAAATTTTTTGAGCTGATAATTGCTTTTTTTTTTTTTAATGTTTCTTCCAGGGTCCTACTGCATTGTAACAACATTGTCTGTTAGCCAAATTACTGTTGAACAAATACTCTCAGCAATAAAATACATTTATAATATAATTAAAATCAAATATGAATAAATATTTAATTTGGTAGGATTCTTCTATTTTCTTTCAGGGTCCTACTACATTGTAATAACATTGTCTGTTAGCCAAATTACTGTTGAGCAAATACTCTCAGCAATAAAATACATTTATAATATAATTAAAATCAAATATGAATAAAGATTTAATTTGGTAGGATTCTTCTATTTTTTTTTTCTTAATGAACAAATAACTTAACTGGTAATAAAATTAAATTTTTATTTTCAGTGTGAGCTGATAACTGTTATTATTTTAATGTTTCTTTTTATAATAAAAATGTCAAATTAAATTCAGAAATTCAAATGCATGCATAAATAGTTTAGCAAATTTGTTGGAGCTTTAGCTTAGTATTTAGGAGAGGAGCTGGTACATCAAAACTGTTTTTGCTCTAGGTCCTTGGCACACCATCTTCATTTCACTTTATTAAAAATTTTTACACAATGGAATTATGAGCATTGCTTTATTTTATGCTTGTTTTTTAAAACTTTTCTTCATTTTAGAAATAAATCTTGTAATGTTTATTATAAAGTTGACCCTCACTAACGCAAAATATTGCTTTACATGAAATGCATGTTTGGTCCCGTGAGTCAGCAATCAATTATTATTGCATTTTACATGTTTAACAGGAAACTGATTATTACTCAACATGAAAGGAAACAAGACACAGCACAGATAATAAGAATGTGAAGGGAGAAACCTTTCATGTTTCACCTCCATTGGTAATTTAAAGTTAAACAATAAGTAAGTTACCATGGTAAACCATGAACATTATACATTACTCATGTAAGTGAAAGCAGGGTTGCCACTGAAATCTAGAAAAAAAAATCCCTATGTTTCCCTGTACATATTATACGCAATATATTAAGAGGAAACACAATTACAGTGTGAGCTATATTGGGTTAACTATACTAGTTTTAATTGCTTAGGGGAAGAAAAGGAATTGCTGAACATACTTAAATCAGTGTTTTCACTACAGCGCGAGAACGCGAGAATCTCGCATATTTTTTTCTTTTCTCGCATTAAAAAATTATTACTGCGAGAAATTCGCGCATTCTATAAATCAATTTCAAAATTCGCGAATTTCTCACATTTTGGAAGAAGCTTCGAATTACGCTATTTAGAATAAAATCCGTTTCACTTTTCTTCCTGGATCTTTCATTATTTTCAACATTTGCTCCGTTATCTAGCTTCCCTATTTACCAGTATTGTTCAGAACCTTTTCGAACAACAGAACACAACCGAACCACGGAACCCCTTTCAGAACACATTTCTCTGCAACCACGTGTTTACCGTAGGTAAAGTTTTTTCATGTAAGACGTTCAAATTTTTTATGCACTAATGTAAGATGGACAAATACCTAGTAAAGGCAAAATCTTCTATGATGATGCAGCAAGAATATTCAATACTTTAAAAAATAGAAGACGTTAAAAATGTATTATAATAAAAGAAATGATTTTTTTTCCAAGTCTATTTGTGTTTTTTAAGTTTTTGGAAATCTCACTTAACTTTCTGAAATCTCACCCTGTTTTTGAGAAAGGGTGAGAAATTCTGACCCATTTTTTTTCTATGATGAAAACACTGCTTAAATAATGCTGTAGTAAATGAAATGGTTTAGTATAGCTGAAATATCCTTTAATCTTTGAGCAATCAACATTTTTTAAAAGTCGAATATAAGAAATTCCCTGCATTTTCCCAGTTTATATTTTAAAAAAAATTTTAAAAACTCACAATTTCCTGCATTATTTAGGTTTTCCCTATTAAGTGACAACCCTGTGAAAGAGAATTTGCCAGGATTAAAGGTTTGTTACAGTGAAGAAGGAAATAAAACTTACAGACACGCCTTGTACTCTGTATAAATAAACACAAGGAATGCCATCGTCAGCATATTCAACAAGCAGAGCCTGAAGTATCTGTCCTTGAGCTAGTTCTTCAAATACGGAAGTTGCTTCAGAAGACCAAGTATCACCACCTGTACATATACACACATTAAATATTTTCAGACAATCTTTTAACTTTCACATGTGACAGTATCTATCCTTCTTATTTTGTCAAAAAGTAAATCTGAATATTACTGGTCTGGACCCCAGTTAAACAAACAACTATTTACCGAATTACGCGATTTAAGGAATTTTTCTCTCCCCCAGATTAAAATTAAGGCAAATTCCTCGATTTAACGAATAAAAAACCCCAAACTAATGAATTATTCTGGCAGTCTAACAAAAAAAATTTTTTTTCTTCATTTGGGTAAGAAAAACTATGATTGCTTTTGAAATGCTTATAGTATCCGCCCTGTCGGAACATAAAACAACTTTTTTTGAATTAATAAGTTTTAGACATGGGTGATCTCAGTTCAGGCGTCAACTGAAGTTAAAGTAGATTCATCGGAAACACTGAATAGCAACTTACAAGTAGAAATCGATGATAATTAATCTCCAGTAAAAACTTACATAATGCAGCAAGATGTAAGTGACAGAGTATTTTCTTTTCCTCATGACGTTGAAAAAGAACTTTTTAAAGTAAGAAATCAAGGAAATAAGCAAACCTTACTGACAAAATACTTTAAAATTCAAATTAATCAGCATGTATTCTTTCACTGTATTTCAAATCTCCTGGAAAAAAAGTAAGATTTCTATTTACTGTATGTATTTGCTTTTTAGAGATGTTTGGATATTCCATAAGGCAAGTCTATCTTTTTTTTGTTCACGATATTAAGAATTACCCCCGATTTAGCAAATAATATTTTTTGTCCCTATGAATTCGGTAAATCAGAGTCCGACTGTATATATCTTTTTAAGAAAATAGTTTAAAACCAGATAATTAAAATTAGTATAACTCTCCATTAGTATAAGCACATTCCCATATAATCCCAATATAAGTATTACTAAAACAATGATAAAACCTACTAGGAATAAAACTTTTATACACAAAATAATGGATAACCGTTATTCTCATTACATGAATACACAGCCTTTTGAAAGAAAAATCTACTTACCAAGAGGTCTGACTTGTGCCAAATAACATTCAGATGCTTGGAAGGGTAAACTCATGAAGTCACTTCTGCAATATACAATACAAAACCAAATATTACGATCATATATAACCAAACAATATCCATACATCCGATCATAAAATTGTACGGAAAAAAATTATTTATTTATAAAATTATTTGGAGTCCTTTTCAGTGCCATGAGTAGTACTTATAGGTATGTGTAAAAAATCCAAAAATTGCAAATGGCAGGGTCTTATTGCTAGAAAACGAATGGAACTCAACCAGTTAAATAAAGGTGAAAAAACTTTATGAAAGTTTGATTGTAACACATTTTTGGAAAATAAAGGTACAAGATTGAATCGAGTTAGCGTGTGTTATACATACCTGTCAACATTGGAGAAATAAAATAATGGAGATTTTACAAGCGACATTTTTCAGGTTATGAGTAAAGTTTTGATACATCATGCTTAATCATGTAAGTCAAAAATCATATCAAAAATCATCTTAATCATGTAAGTCATTGAAATTCAAAATAGGAAATTATATGAGCATTTACATTTAACGAAGCAAAAACTATGTTTATAAATCTTAAGGTAAAGATCTCTTTAAACCATTATTTATAATTACTTAAACTATAAATATTCAACATACTGCAATACTGGCATAGTACCATCTGTTGAGGTATAAGAGAAATATTTTTGCCATTAGCGGGTGTTTTATTGACCAACTTTTTAAAAAAATTTCTTCAACAAATACGGAGAAATTTGAGTACAAGATAACAGGAGATAGACGTAAAATACAGGAGTCTTCGTTTAAAAAACGGAGACTTGGCAGGCATGCTTATATACTAATGAATTGATGTTTAATAATCGTAGTGGTAGTTACGCCATAACACTCCACCACCACAATTTCATCTGTGATAGAATTTGATGAACGGATACCACTAGTTGCCGTATCCACGAAAGGCCGAGAGAACTATGTTAAGTTCACCTGATTTTGAGCAAAGTGAAGTACACCAAGTTTTAAGCGTTTGACATGAGAGCTGTATTAAGTTCACAGTTGTGTGGTTTCTTATGTGTTGCTATTAGCAATCTAGTGTGTGCAGGATCCCGTAGTGCGTAAATGAGACGGAGAGGAGGGCAATGACACAGTCACTAATAGCAAGTCACCTATTCAATGTGTGTCATCCATTGAAGTAGGCATATTCACGTCTGCAGGTCACCAATGTGGGGTTAGGCTACTGATAACGTCTATCGTCATCTATCTCAAGATTAAATCGAGTTAGCCTGATACTAGCGAATGATAGATGTTTAATAATTGTAGTAGCATTTACACCACAGATACATTAAGTATTAATTTCATAAATGAAGAGGGAATGAAAAACATAAGTTTATTTTTTGGCAGAAAACTGCAACATGAATACTCTAATATAAGATTTTTTTTTCTTTTATGTGTTCATAGAAAAAATAAAATTTTCTGAAAATAATGATTTATTTAAATATTACACACAAATTTAAGAAAATAAAATGTTTAAAGGGCTTTTCATTAGTGTTACTAAACAAAATTACCTTATCTGACGTAAAGACGAAATAGGGACTTGGGAAAAACCACCATAATCTACAAACTTGATTCCACAATCAGATGAATTATCACATATGTAAACAACTTGAGCTCTGTACCATCCTCGATAGACTGGAGCAGCACATATTACGCCAGCTGAAACAAAAACGTGTATTGAATGTTTACTTTTATTAATAAAATTGTACACATATTCAGATTTTTTCTTCTTTTTTTTTGATTAGGGTTACCAATAGTAAGGTATATAAATAAGAAAGTATATGAAACTTTTTTTTTATAAAATCAAAACTACTTTCAGCCTGCATCATAAACAGCATTAAATGTTCAACAAGCACCTACTCCTTTTTTTTTTATTATTCCGAGTTCTTATGCCCATATTAGAAACTACACTTTTCTTTTATCCTTAACAGAACAAACAAAGAGAGCTGGTGTTCCTTTTTACTGAACTGCATGTACATTAAGACAGACACTTCTGGGCATGCCAAACATATCAACTTTCTGAGACTATAGTCTCCAAACCAACATTCGCTCAATTTTTTAATTCCTGTGTAATGGGTTAATGAAACATATTCAAATGAAATTTAATTGGCTACTTCTTTTAAATAAAAATTAAACACGACTAGAAATCTCTAATCTAAACTCTCAGGCTGTCGTGGCAATGATCATGATTAAGTTATGTTGAGACGACACAAATTTTTATTTCTCTTCGAAAATTAATGTTTGGAAAGCCAATAGTAAGATTTTGACCTAAGCAAAAAATTACAAGGAAAGAAAAAATAGTTTATACCTCAGGTTTATTTTAAGTGGGTCCAACTATTGAAATAACTTTTTTATGCATTTCTCTGCTGCCACAGAGTTAGGGGTTACCTACTGGTAACAAGAAGGTCACATTTTAGACAGGAGAGCTTTTGATACTCCCTCCTGCCAAAACTTGTTCTATGTGCTTACCTCTACTTGAAATAGTTAAGTCTCATCTCAGACTGCGCTCCAGATTGCCAATGAGAGTTTTTTAGATAGACTACAGTAACTATATATATTTGTTTAATGGAATAAAGATATAATTTTTGCAATTTTAACAAAGGGCAATATTTTTGATAATCATATGGGTATAAGCAAATACTTTATAAAGGAGCAAAACTATTTGCTTTCTAAAATTTCTTGAAGCTTAAAAGATTATAAATAATATTGTTAAAAAGAATTATGTGCAGATTTGGACAGACAAAATTTATACTGTATATATCTACTTAAAATTTTTTCTGCCAGTGTGTTTAAATTTTTTCTGCTGTGTGTTTTCTGCCAATATGAAATGATGGCATAGGTAGCTCAACAACCTGAGCATGAAGTCAAGCACTTCACGGTTGAACAGATTAAGGAGGTTCAATACCGCATGCCCCAATTTCCATCAGAAGCTGATCAAAGTGGTCATCCACCCAGTCTGATTGATCACTGCCAATGAAGCTGGACTTCAGTGTTATCAGCATTACAGAGAACCGTCTCTTCCCAATCAGTCTACTGCAAGCCATGGTGGCTTAGGAGGGTGCATTCACCTTTCAACGAGGTGAACTGGGTTCAATCCCAGCGACGGCTGGTCAATACGATGGTTCGCACTCACCACAGTGCCAATGTAAAATATCAGTGCAGAGTATTTTTTACAATGGAGTCTTTAAATGGAGCCATAATGGCTGAAGGGATAGAGCGTTTGCCTTCCAATGAGGTGAACTGGTTTCGAATCCGCACCCGGTTCACACTGACCATAGTGCCAATGTAAAATATCAGAATTAGTGCAGAATATTTTTTACAATGGAGTACTTAAATGGAGCTGTGATGGCTGAGGGTATAGAGCATTCGCCTTCAACTGCGGCGAACCGGTTGCGAATCTCAGTGATGGCTGGTTAATACGAATTGCGTATCTGGCTTGAATTAACCACAGTGCTGATGTAAAATATCCTCAATGGTAGACCAATTATGGGGTTTAGAGTCCTCTTGCCGTCAGACTTACTATGGGAGGTCCTCATGGTTTTCCTCTCCATGCAACTCAAAAGCGGGTTAGTTCCAACAAAAAAGTCCTCCACAAAGTCACATTTCTCCCAATCCAGGAGTTCCCATTTCTTCTGGATAGGGTTCGAAATTTCAAGACTACAGAGTTGAACATCAGTAGTCGTAAACCCGAAATTGGGTTGGTTGCTTAACAACGGTTATAAAATAAAATCAGTCCGAAGTGGAAAAAGGTGGTGTAAAATTTACCTTCAATGGGCTGAGGCAGGAGAGGAGTATCCATTTGAGAATATAGATTTATCATACATTGGTCCAGAGTGCTAAGAGAAGGATAGGTCGGATGAGTGGGCTGTTGGAGGAAGAAGTGTCCAGCAGATACCAGACTAGACAATATAACATCACAGGAAGCACCTTCGGGTAGATGAAGCTGTAAAAAGCAAACACATTCATTACTCACAAGAAGATTTAGAAACACATTAATTTTCAGATACAGGCAATAACGTGAAAGAGTGCGTGTCAAAGGTAATATTCTCCAATAAAATAGAACCCACAATTGTATCATATACATGAGCAAGAACTTCATACTTTATAATCATCATTATTTTGTAAATATTTAAATAAAAACAGATTTTAATGGCTTTCACTTTCTAACTTAAAGCATTATCAACAGTTTTATGAAAAGTTATAAATGAAAAGTACAAAGAAATGACAAAGGTGCCTTTACGTAGCTTGATAAACTGTAAGATGAAATTAAGAACCAGAAATGAAAAATGAGATCTTTAAAACAGTTTTAGAAATCAAGAACTTTTTTTCAGGACGGCCACTAAAAATCAGGTTTTGAATTCCCTGATTTTCCCAGTTAAAAATCTTAAAATTTCAGCAATTCTTTTTTTATTAAGTGTAGAGTAGGTCCGAGAAAACAGTCTATATTATAAAGTATTTCCTTTAAAATGTTATTTATATAAAATTTATATAAAATGCAATTTATTTAAAATGTAATTTATTTAAAATGTTATTCTTCGAATATGTTATCTTGAAAGAATAATTAGACTTAATTTATTTTAACAACTTAGTAAGATTTCGTTTTTTATTTTTTTATGTTTTGGTATGACATCAATTTTCAAAAAATTAAGACAGATGTGGAGAAAAAAATATGTTTAGCTTGTAGGATATATTGTTTTTATTGAATAAAAAATATTTTTATGTGTTAAGTAGTTTTTTCACAAAGTGTACTAAAGGGTATATACATAGTGATCAAAAACCTTTTATTTTTTTAATATATTTTCATTAAGTAAAAGAAAACAATCCTAGAGGATTATAAATCAATAAATTTCTACATTTACAATGGCACTCAAAAATTTTAGTACACTTATGACTTTTATTGAAATATGGCTCTATTCATTAATTAAAATTAATATTTCAGAATGGGTATATTTAATTATAAGATATGTAATCTATTCTTAGCAAAACTACAAGAAGAATATTTTAAAAACAAAGCAAAACTTCATTTTTAAGAAATCAATAATCAAAAAGTAACAAAAATTTTACTTCACAAAAGTCATTGTATACTTAAATATTTTCGGATTTCAGAACTAAAACTATTGCCCATTTCTTTAAAAAAAAATTTATTTAATTACTTTTCTTTCAATTATTTACTTAAATAATTGCAATTTAGTATCAAACTTAAGATAGCAAAATTATACATACAAAAAAATTTACCCCTGCATAGAGTTTATTGCAGGCATCATAAAAATTTCAAAATGTATTTTTGATATTCTAAATACGAAAAATATTATGGAAGAAGAAAACATTGTTAATATTCTCAGATATGTGAGCAGAGAAGGAGAGAGACGAAGAGATATGTCTGAAATATGTCAATGGCATATTTCAGTATTGTGACCGCAAATACTCAGGTGTGCAATTTGAATTTCATACACAGAATAGGACTTGTAAAAATAGAATAATATAGAGTACTCAAATTAAGTTTACTAGAAATTAAAAATTATCTTTGAAATTAAGCTTTTTCACTTCTGATTGGAAACTTGTACAAAGAAATGGATCACAAAACTAAACATTGCAGCTGTATATGGACTGCTGCTTGCAACTTTTAAATCCTATATTCAGACTATTCATTGTTATTGAAAAACAAATTGAACAAGCTGAGTTATTTAAATTTCTTAGGCATTTTTCGCCGTGGAAAAAAGAGAGTAAGAGCACAAGAGGATGGAGTTAAACATTTCAAGGAAAGGTAGATGACTGATTATTTATTGCTAGTAAAAAATAAAAAAAATGGGGATAATTTGTTATAAATGTTGAATATCAAAATCAAAAAATGCATGTTATGGGAAGAAATAAACATATTATAAATTTTAAACCGAAAGATTTACTTATTTGAAAAACTTCCTACAAACAGAATAAAAAACTACGAATGAAATAAATATTTGAACTCACACAAAATCACGATATTTTTAAACTTAATTGCAACCATAAGCTTGCCCAAACACTTTCAGAAGACTGGGTCACTACTGCTATAAATGTTTTCACAATTCAAATAGAGAAAGAAAAAAAAAAGACAAGAGTTTTTCCAAACTATTCCTGAGAACAGAGCATTTGCCTCTCAAAGATGTGACCCAGGTTCGAAGCCCATCAATAGTTGTTGATACAAATTCTGCTCCCCGGCTCGCATTGACCACAGTGCTGACGTAAAATATCCCCAGTGGTAATAAATCATGGGTTCGAATCACCTAACCGTGGGAGGTTTTTGTGGTTTATTTTCATGTTCAATGTTAGTTCCATCGAAAAGTCCTCCATGAAGGCTAGTTAGTCCCAATGCTTCTCTCGTTTTATGGGTTGAGTTCAAAATTACAAGGCTATGGAGTTGACAATTAAAGTCATTAACTCAAAATTGGAACAACTGTTCAAAGTTGGCTATAAAATAAAATTATCTTTGGAAAATACAGTAAATTTCGATATTAAGAATATTTTGAAAGCAGAAAACATAACTCCTAATTCATTTCGGTATAGTGTTGAATTTTTTCGATTTCAAACATTTTAACTATAATTTATTTCTAACCCATTTTTTTAGAGATTCTTTTGTTTGACTATGAAAACATATTTTTGAACAATAAAAAAAAGAAAAAAAGAAAATATTTTACGTAAGAACAAAAAGCTACGTATAGCAGCTCTAGTTAATAATTATTGCATAGAAACTACAAGAGAAAAGTACAAGCAAAAAAAAAAATTTTTTATAAAAACTGAATATTTTGAAAAAAAGTATTTTTTTTAAAAAAAACTTATAACATATTTTGCTTGGAAAATACAAACATCCTTCGCAGCCATTCAACTTTGAATTTAAAACATCAATAAACTCCAGTTTTACCCCAGACAAAGGAGATATATAGCAAATATATAGGTAAAAATAGCCATTTCAAAAAGAAAGTTTAAAAATATGAAATAAAAAAATTTAAAAATGTTTTATGCCAAGATATTTATGTAGCTATAATTACAATTTAAATAAACAACTTTTTTTCCTACTTTAAGTATCACAGAAGTTGACTACAAAACTATGCATTATATTTTTTCTCAAACAAACGTTTCCTTTAATCATAGTTTTACTCATAACATATTATATAATAGCATGCTGGCCAATAAATAAATTTATAAAATATTGTTCACAGTCTTCTTTATTTTTAAAACTCATCTTATTACGTCAAATGTTTTATTTTGTTATGATATATTTTTTTCATATGAAATTAAGAAATGATTTTATGAAATGAAGATTTTTTGATGATGAAAATTTAGAATTGTTTCCCATTTATAGATATATTCAATAAGACCTTTCAATGAAACAATTTAGATGCAGAATTTTTGAAAATGAAAAACTTTCACTTTTCATTTTTGAAACAGAATTTATCAGAAATGCATTGAAAAAAAGAGAGCCCCGAAAAACTGTTTTCCCTCCTTCATATATTAAATATAAATCCTTACATGAAACAAAAAAATAATAATTATTTCAATTTGAAAGCATGACTAGTTTATTCTGAGAAAGGGGTAACCTCACTCATAAGATAGATATTATCAATGTTTTCCAATTACCGGGACTAATAAATGACCATAGGCTGATATTTACTTTGCATCTGCTTTTCCCGACATCTGTTATCAACACCTATCTGTTGAAGCAGATGAATACTAAGTCAGAAATTTATAATATCTAAATAAGTAGAGGGGGGAAAAGTAGGAATTCTTTTTCTTTTATTTTTGTGCAACTAAATGATAAATAAAAGTCCTTTTTGCTCAAAATAGTTCACTCTATTTCAAATTAGTTATTATAGTTGTCAGTGACATCTCTGTATGAACTTTTTCAATGCATGCAACTGTAACAGAAAATAAAATTTTAAAAGAGAAAGAAAATCTATTTGAACACATGTATTATAAAATATTAAAAAAGTTAATGCAATGTGAAAAAGCACAAATAATGTCACATAAAAGAGATAAAAGGATCTTTATGCAGCATTGGTGCTTATTCATGCTTTTTTAACTTATGCAGCTCAAAATCAGCCCCTTTTTAACAACAGAGCAAATAGCGAGAGATTAACTTGAGAAAAATTGCAAGAGCATAAACCCCTGAAACTTCATAATGTTGGTGCAGACATGCAGAAGCAAATTTTTTTTAAAATATAGTATATATAGGGATGCCAAACTACAAGTATGCTTTTGCTTTTCTTTTCGATTTAAGCTATTTTTCTATAGAATGAAATAGAAATAATTTTCCATATTAACATAGTAAGATAAAAAAAGTATCTCAGAGCACAATCTAAAACTATCTGCAAGCTTTTTTTTTTTTTAAAGTACAGAACGATTTTATTACAAAAAACATTTAATTAATTGACATATTTATTTTTTCCGCAAAAAAAAAATATATATATATATATACATGCATGTTAACATTAAGAGAATATCAGAGAAAGATTAATATAAATAAAAATGGAATCAAAGAACAGCATTCATAAAGTAATTATTATCATATTAAGAATGAAGTAATATTAATAATTTTGCTCCCGTAATTCTTCGCTATGAAATCCATATTTCACTTTTCGCATGAAACTTGAGCAGCTATTCCTTTTTTTTCAGAAGTTGTCTCTAGGATTGTGTTAATAATATGACGGAACATAATAAATATATTTGAAAGTTCGAAAAAAATAAATAAATAAAGTATAATGGCAGCTAAAGAAAACATATCAGCTGGGGGTTGGTAAGAGGAGGAGTGGTCTAAAACTACTTCTAAAAGGTGTAGTGCATCTACATCAACTACTACTTCAATATGAAAAAGGTCAATCACCCACCTGTTGCACACAGATGGACAATAACTCAGCAAAATTTACAACACAGCTATTAACAATATAAGAACATGGAGAAGGCAACAAGTAAGAGAAATATAATCGGGACCACTAGAATGGAAAGAAAGAATAAAAAAAGATTTGATAAAGAAAAGACTTCTACGGATGCCATTTAAATTCATGAAGAAAAGCTTAGAAATTAAGTTCAGACACAATAAAATAAAGATTAAATAATTAACTAAAAAAAATTTCTGTTGCACTTTACATTCAGTCACGACACTGCTGTCATTAAACATAATCCTAAAATTGGCAGATAAAGAAACAAAAAGGTGGCATTATCTGAATTTTATTCTTTCCTATAAAATTTCCTATGAAAATATTCTTTCCTATGAAAGATTTCTTTTTCCCCATGAAATATAGTCTTGTTTTAATTCTTTTGTCATTAATTTTTGAATTTCTCGTGGAAAATTCTTTTAAAAAAATATTTCACTGGTTCAAGGGGTCAATAAAATAAAAGATGCAATAGTTCAAAGCTATTTTCTTCACTAAAAATTTAGGAATTTATTTTTTTTATTGAGAAAAATACACAAAACTTAGTTTATAGACAGAGAAAAGATATAAAATGTAATTATAATAGTACACCTGCCAAATGACAAAACAATGTTGCCAAATATATAAACATTCTATTTTATTTTTCTTCTGTGAGTTTATAAACTTTTTCAAAGACACAGGGAAAATAAACATGACATATTTATAATGTTACACTTACCAAATGCTTTGCAGTAGGAAAAAAAAACAATTATTTAGTTTTCATAATAAAATTTAAAATTTTAATTTGTCTTAATGAAAACAAATAATTATTTCAGACAAAGAAAATATTAAAATTAATAAAAAAAAATTCATGCATCCTGTTTGGTAAGATAAACTAACTTTAAAAAATAATAAATAAATAATGCTTATTCTTCAATTAATGTTAAGTTAAACTATTTTTAACAAATTCTACAAATTAATATTAATAAACATTAACACTAGAACTTAAAATTTCACACTAAAAATAAAGCTTTTTTTTAATATATGAACTTTAAATATAAAAAAAACTTTTTCAGTATTAAGAAATGAAAATAAAAACCTATCTTCAGCTGAAATAAAACATGCGTCTTTACAAAACCTACTCAAATGCAATTAGTTTTTTCATTTTATTATTATTTTTTTTATTATAATTTTATTTCATTATTTAATGAACTTAAACTTTGAGAAGTCATATCTTTATTTCTATCCCATCTTATATTTTAGACCAGGATCTTTAAGTTTGGTTTTGTTTCAATAAGAATTTTACAGAAGTGTACTTCCTTCGTTCCTGCATGCGTTGGGTAATCGCAGATTGTTGATTATTTTAAATAGTCAATATCAGGGGTATCCAACTGGCGGCCCGGGGGCCGCATTCGGCCCGCGAACTAAAGTATATTAGTTGTCATTTTTCTGCGGACAATTTCCGTAAAAAATCTATATGGGTTCAAAATACTTTTCTCGTCAATAAAAATCTAATTTCTTAGTTTTTGTGAAATTTAACATACCAACGGTGTCTGCTCAGAATTGTTATGAAAGGTCTGTTTTTAAGGAATTGAGAAAAATCTTATATTAATCATGCGAATGTGAAAATAAATTTCTGTTTTTACAAAGCAAAAAAAAATATGCCTTTAAAGAAGTTTGAGCTTTAAAAATATAAATAAGAAAGACAGCATTGACTCAGTTTTTCGAAATAAAAGTAGTGAAGGATCCATTTTTACTATAAGATATTTTGGAAAGATCTTAGCACTGCTCAAAATTTCTCTTAAAATGCCATAAAACTAAATATAAAAGTATTAGTATCAAGCCATTTTTAAATTTACAGCTTCCTCTACAAATAAACTTAACAAAATGTGGGCCAATATAAAATTTTGCACTATCAAAAAATAAATTTGTCACAAGCAGAAATCTGAAGGAAAAAAAAAACTGCCATATTATTTTTTTATTGGAAAATATTAGTGAACAGAAATAAGAATATTTTTAGAAAATATATTGATATACTACCTGCAAAGATTCAGGCATTGGTACACCAGTTGAACTTAGAACATTGGTTTGGACTAATGTAACAGAAGGAAACATAGAAGGAGGATACTTTCGCCGAATTATTTCCAATGCTTCATTAACATCTGCCCGATGACCTAATGAAGAAAAGCAGTACATAAATTCAATTCACAGTAGCAAAAATAAATGAAGAGTAAAATATAAATTTAAAAATATTAATATTTAAATTAAAGCAAACACAAATAAAGCAAAAGCTAAATTTATAATATAAAAATAAGTCTGCAAACAGAACGACTTGCTTCTAAATAAGTCAACTTAAAAATGTTTAGGTTCTGGAAACTGCAGTATTTTTGAGAATGTAAAATAAATATACATAAAATCATGTTTGAGCCAACTGTAACATTTTTACTGTGCATAATGGTTTATTTATAGAAGATTCCCGGGAAATTAAAAATATGTCCGTATTGAGTGACGTCCGTTTTGTAGGAGTGCCTATAACAGGAGGTTTCACTATATATATATATAAAACTATCTAATGCCGTGGAATCAAAATGGAATATTCAAGAATTGCACATTGTAATAATGTAGCATTAAAAATATGGGAGTTCGATAAAACAAGTGAAAAGAACTGAAAAAATTATTAATAAGTGTCCAAAAGGCAGAAAAAGGAGGAAAATGTTACTTTATATATAAATCCGGAAATCAGGCAAAAAGGCGGAAAAATCTCATCCCTGCATTTAACTTTTTAAAGTCTAGATGAAAAATATTTTGTTAAAAATTATTGTTTTATAATATTTAGATTCAGAATTTGAGACTTTTCCAAGCCTTTGTTATAGTACACAGATATATACAATTTAAGTATAGTGGGCAACAAAAAAAAAACCCAGAATAACTTTTGATACATTGATCGGATCTTCATGTTCTAAGATTCAATCTTAATAGTTTGAGGGGGTGACAACTTTTCTCTGAATAAACATGCCATTTTTTTCCTCGAGAGATAATAATTTCTGTGCCCCTGAATGTTAATTTCATTATTTGCATATTTCACAAACTTTTTAATGAATTGAAAATTTTTGTACACAATTTTAAAACTCGTTTATCTTAAAAGAATTCCAAGTAAAAAAAAAAATTTTTTTTTAATTTTATTTAATAATAGTCAAAAGAATTTGAACTGTAAGTCATACAATTTTAGGCATAATTTTACTTAAAGTTCCCGAGAAATAGAACTTTGCAGAGAAATTTATTTCTTTTGCACCCTGTACGGTTCATGCATCTAACCACTACTGGTGTCTAAACTCTCGCGATTAAAAATCTTGATTTTTCTCATAAATTTTTTTTTAAGCATAGTAGGATATGGTTGGTGAATTAAAAATAAGAATTTAATATTTGGCAACAAAAAGTTTCAGTATTAGTTTAAAAATTTTTATAGTCTTAAATTGAAACACCGTTTTTATGAATAAGCATATTAAGGTTATAGCTATGTTATCTAAAATTATCTGTGATGGTTAAATAAAGTATTCATTTCATCTTTGATAACTTATAAATTACATATTTGTTTCTAACATGTTTTCTATTTCAACAATTTAACTATGAGCTTAGCAAGCTTAAATTAGGTATTTAATTTTTCAAGATAACTTTTCTTTTTTTTAAAAAAAAGAAAAAAACTTTTTGCGACTAAGCTGTTTTTATAAGAGCACAACATTGAAACAATGGGGGGGGGACATTATTTCATGCAAACAATTCAACACAGAGAGATTGAAAATATTGCAAATTGATCCAAAAAAATAAATTTAAGTTATCTGTAAGATAAAATTCGCGCCCTAATTGGAGAAGCGGTTCAAAAGGTATGAATGTTTAATCTGTAACAATGTGTTTCAACAATGAAATTTTGTCTGAATTACATGACGCCTGAAAGTGAAAGTGGTCATTGTTTACAACTTACCCCATAAGAATTTGCAAACGGCAGAAAAAAAATACAATTCAAATCAGTGCTCTCGTTCTCAAGTTATTAGAGGGCATACTTACCGCCAGACTTTCACTTTTTTTTTAAAAAAAGATACAAGGTTTTGTTAAAAAATTGCAAAAGGGATCTCTTTACATTTCATACTCTTACATGAGCTTTCAAAATTTACTAATATAAACACCTGTTGCATTGTGATATATATTATAGAAAATATAATTTTTCAACAAATAATTTCTTTAAAAAAAAAGCTGCATGTTGTAAATCAGCGGTTCTTAACCTATGGGTCGAACCAAAAAAGTTAGTAATACACCATATAATAAGTATTACCAACAGCGTTTGGATGCCCCAAGTAGTAGTGGTTTTATAAATTCTACCAAACAAGCTACACTTGCTTCTTTTCATGTGGCTTGGCATATTGCAAGACAAAAGAAACCCCATAATATTGCTGAAAAACTCTCCGCACATGATACGTGCCATTGACATGACACGTATCATGTGCGGAGATGAAAGTTCAAAGAAATTGCAAAAGATATTATCAAATTATACAATTTGTTTACGAATTAATATGTCATTCGATATTAAGAATCAACTTATTTCTGCTATAAAAATTGCTGGTTTATTTAGTATTAAACTGGATGAAACGACAGATGTAAGTAAAGATGCTCAACTCATGGTTTACGTGCGGTATCCAGGTTTAACAGATATACAGGAGGACATTTTATTTTGCAAACCTATGTCAATAACAACTAGAGGTGAAGATATTTTTCTTATGTTCGATTCGTTTTTTAAAGAAGAAGGAAGTGGAATCAGTGTTTCAGTATTTGCACCGACGGTGCGGCTGACATGACAGCATCTCAAAAGGGATTTTCGACAAGAGCAAAACAAATGAATCCACAAATTATATCGATTCATTGTTTGTTACATAGACAAAATCTTGCTTCAAAAAAATTATCTCCCGAATTATGTATCGTTTTGGATGAAATTGTTGCGGTAGTCAATTTTATCAAATCAAGAGCTCTTAACTTAGATGGCTGTCCCGCAGCAAAGTTGTTCAAAGAGTATTATCATTACGGACAGAAGTCGAATTATTTTTGAGAGAAAAGAAACACCCATTAGCATCTAAATTCTCCGAGTTGAAGTGGATTACTCAAGTTGCTTATTTGTCAGATATTTAATTTGAAATAAATAATCTAAATATGTCTATGCAAGGACGTAATCATACTATTATTGAATTAACTGAAAAAATTACATGTTTTAATAATAAACTCAAATTATGGAGGAATAAGGTTGAAGTAAGGAAACTTGCTTCATTCCCGACTCTTAATTTACTTGTTGAAGACAATAATATTGATATCACAGATTTTGAAATGCAGAAAATTATTATTAATCATTTAGAAAAACTAATAGCAGACTTTGATCGATATTTCCCTGCAGACGATGTTTTCAAATATAATTGGGTTCGAATGCCATTTAATTTTAATGTAAGTGATTTGCATGAGGAATTTGTTAATATTAATCAATTTCAAGAACAATTAATAGAAATACAAAGTGACCAAGCACTTCGATACAATTTCTACAAAAACACTGAATCTTTATGTGCTTTCTGGTTAAAATTAAATACCGAAAAGCCAATAATTGTTAAAGAAGCCCTAAAAGTATTATTGCCCTTTTCAACAACATATATGTGTGAGGCTGGTTTTTCGGCTCTGTGTGTAATCAAAAACAATTACCGGAACAAGTTAAATCCTGAAATAGATATAAGGTGCTCCTTGACAAGCATTCAACCGAGGTTTGAAGATCTTTCAAAATGTATTCAAGCACAAGGTTCTCATTAAAACTGTATGACTTGCATTTAAAATTTAAAAGACTTAACATATGTATTGATATTTCTTTTTTTTAGGAATAAGTTAAAATGTCAATTAATTTCAAAAAGTTATAAATATATTTTAATTTGGTCAATAAAAATTATTAAAAACACTTGATTATTAATTAAATTTTCCTTGGATCGAAAAGTACTTTTGTTTATCCTTATTATTAAAAAAATAAATAAAAAATTTGTAAGTTAAAAAAAATCATCATCCTAGGATTGAAGATTTTTTAAAAATACGATCTAAAATAAAGCAATGAAAAAATTTTGACTTTTTTTTGGGTCGCGGCTTAAAAAGGTTAAGAACCACTGTTGTAAATGGTTAATAAGTGTGGTCAAAATAATGACCTGGCGGTAAGGCAAGTTAACGGTTAGATGGAAACCTGGCAATCTACCCACCTGTCCCAAAAAACCTGGGTGTTTTTTTTTTTTTTTTTTAAAAACTCATCTAAAAAAAACCAAACAAATAAAACCCTTATTTAAGTGGGCTTTTTTAAGAAATGACACAAAAAGTTGGTTTGCCAATCTTTTTTTCCCCTGTTATTATTACAACTATTATAATTCACACATTTTAAATATTTCTCTCAAATTATTTAATCATTTTTAACCAAATATTCTTGATTACATGCTAAAAAGTTGAGAAAAATTTTTTAATACATTTTTGAAATTTTCCTTTTATGAAATTATATTTAACAGAATGAAAAATATTTTAACATAGCAGAAATGGATCACTCTTCATGTTTTACCAAAATCTTTTAATCTAAATTAAATCACATAATTTTATAAGAAAATTCGGTAATTTACATTAATTAATGACGCATAGGCAAAGTAAAAATAAAATGAATGCCACGTTTAGTTAAAAGTTTTGCAATAGTCTCTTCTATGGAATAGGTTCTGTTTGACTGGTTAAATATCTTAACTTCAACAAGTTTTTAGCTTTTTCCAGACCTAAACTATTTCGCAGTTTGGACCAAACAAGTCCATATGTAGAAAACCTACACTCAAAAGCCGCTGAGCTAACTGTACCACAAAATGGGCAAATTATTTTGTATTCTCCACATAATGTTATTCTGAAACACAGAACTAGAATTAGCCATTCAGCATATTTCTTAGAAACCCAATACTCTGCCTCTTTCCTCATGTATTTAGAAATTTTTTTTTGAATTCAGCTTACTAGCTAAAAAATGAAAAGGAGTAAAGGCTTTATGGAACCTCTTTTCAATAATTTTTTCGTATGGACTTAGATTCTCATTGCCTGGTAGTGTTAAGTTCTAACATTCCCTTTTTGATTTAAAAGTTTTGTGCGATTGATAAGCAACAATCAAAGGTCATCTCAACTTTTCAATTCCTACTATTAGTTCACACTCGCCCTATATATACTTATACGTCTTGTTCAAATTTTCGATCGTTAATAAAATACTTTTTATTCATCCACTCAAGTTCAAATGCATTTTTTTTAAACTTTTTGTGGATGACATTTGATGTTAATAGTTTTTTTTTTCAATTAAATTTAATTAATTTTAGTTTTATATGAGAAGAAAAATTTCTTAGGCTGAGCACAGACAGCTTTTTCCTTCCTCAATGAAATAGATACCCTATAAAAACAAATTGAAAAAAATGTAATCAATAACAAATTGTTAAAATAAGGCTTTCTGCATTCTAATTCTTCATAAATCTATCAATCTTTATCTCCCCCTCTGCTGACCCAACCCAGAGTGGTCTTATCGCTGTTCCAAACCCCATCTTCTAGCTTCCACCATGTAAAAAAAGGCAACCACAAACAATTTTAAGTTCCAAATTTTGTGGTGGCGTTAAATTTCCTCGAGGAATGAAAAAGCTGTTTGTGCTCAGCATTATTCTCTGTTAACCTAAGTAGGAATTGATTTAAAAAAAAAAAAAATTTATATTACTTGTTGTACGCTGATAATGGCCAAACCTAAATTATGAAGGAAAAAAAAGCAAATGGAAGAGTTACTGGGTTGAAAAGAATATTGAGTGTTTTTTGGAAGCATTGTCTTTTAGTTATCACCAAACTATATTTTAAAATATCTAGTAGGGAACAGAGTTTGAATAAAATAAGATCAATTGAAATTGAAAAACATTTTTGGCATATCTCATCTAATAATAAAGAATAATGAAGTATAAATCTTTCTCTCTCTCCTATAAAAATTTTCGTTCAATTTTTTCATGCAGTTATTACTACTGATTTCCATATAGCTTTTAGAACCCAATACTTCTAATTCGATACTATTTATTACAACAACTGAGTCGTGAAATGAAAACACACATTTAGTAACCTCTTTTATAAGTTTGACTCGCATGATTTTGCCATCTATCTTTTTTTCGGCAGTTACTGCTGCAGATTTCCCGATTATTATTTTTTTAATGTGACGATGAATTACGAAATGCAAAAAAGAAAATAATTAGTGTGCCATCTTCCTACAAAATACGAGACTATGCCCATAACATTAGAATTTTTTAAAAAATACATATCCAATTAAACAAATTCTCTTATTTGATCCAATTTCTTATTTATTTGAAGTTAACGCTTCTGTTACTTTAAATTAGTAACATGTATATTTGTTATTTTTAAGTATCTTGCAGAAAGATATTAGAAAAAGAGAGACATGCCGCAGAAAACCCAAAAAATATTCTACCACAGGGCCCCTATTTAGCTTTTCTAAATATATTCCCGGATGTGTTATTTCAGCGCAGTTGCAATACACATTTCTGAACCTTTGTAATAGTGCCAACCTTTAGGCACCCCCCTTTTTTAAATTACAGCTTGTATTTGAAATTTAGATAATTCGAATTCTAGTTTGTTTGTTTTTTTTCCTCATTTGAGTTTGAAAAAAAAGAGCATTTCCATTTCAATAATGCAAAATCTAAATGAATACTTATGTTGCTTATTTTTTCATTTAGCTGAGTCTATTTGAAAACTCTTTAAATAAAATGTTACCAAAAAAAAATGAATTTTCTTCATTTTTCTCAAAAATATAGTTCCTACTAAATATATCTACAGTTAATTATATCTTTATATATTAGTATAAATTAATTAGAAATTATTTACATATACTCATGCATTAATTTAATATTTAAATTATAAGCTTCCTTTGCATAATACTTTCCTAACTATTATCTTGATTTTTTTAGCGTTTGTAGGTTTAAACCAGTTTTTAGTATCTAATTCTACATCTAATATTAGTTTATTTTTTTCTTTGCTGTATGTGAGTAGAGTGGTATGGATTAAATGGAATTAACATGACACTAATATTTTCACCTTTTAAAAGCTATCACACTAAAGATATATAGGTAATTCCTCAATAACCCTTGAATTCCACACAAATTACAGATTAATAATCCTTACATTATTTATCCGCATCAAAAACCTTACTGTTCATCTTTTAAGAGCTATGAAAATCAAAATTTGCCACAATCAAATTTTAGAGAAAAATGGGAAAAACTTCAGCATTTTAATTTTGATTAACTTTACTTATTATAAAGTTTTAAAACACATATTATTATCACAATTACCAAGAAAAAGAAACACAAGCTTTCCATAACACCCAATGAAGTCATCTTTTCACCTTATCAAGCTATTTTAAAACAATAAATTATATTTAAATGGATAAATGATCCCTTGTTCTGAATCAAATTAAGATTTTATAATAGATTAATGATTATATATTGATTATTATCATTTACTAGTCAGTAATAAAGTTTAACAAGACTTACAAACATAATTTTTATTTATTTATTAATTTTTTTTTTTTTTTTTTTTGCCTTTACGGACACTTTACCCAATTAGAATTTTAAGGAGAAATTAAAAATAATATTGAAATAGCAATGCAATGGTAATTTGTCAACATATACAATCAAACATATATTTTTCGAAATTGCTAAAAACTCTGACTTCCTAATGTTTTTTTATATGGATAATAGGAAGAAGAAAAAAAACTCTTGATACATTTTTTGGTAACTCTTTATTTAACAAAACATTTTTGATTGCGAAAATTTTTTCTTTCTTCTTTCTGAATAATTTAAAATGCCCTTGAGGATAAAGATTAGAGAGAGATCACTCAAAGATTCGATTAAAGAAGATTAGAGATATCTTAACAAATTTTCTCTTTAATAATTTTATGCATCAGTTTTATAGATGGTAAAATATTATTACAGGAAAAACAGTTTAATTATGTCAATGTTGAATTTTTGGTTAAAATATGATTATTTTAAGAATATTTTCTGAGATTGGTCATTTTCCTCTGCAAAACTAAGTAAAAGAAAAAAATTTCAAGCCTGCTAGTTTCTTTTTATGCAACGTAGGGTGAAATAACCAACACTAATTCAAAGAATTCGAAATTACTTTTTATTGGTTGCAGAGCCAGACAAACACAAATAGTTTTCAAAGAAGCAATCTTAAGCTGCACAAAACACAATGATGAAGTTGACATGACAATGCAAAAGCCCTATGCTCATTATAATTATCTTAACAGAAGATTTATTGAAAAAAGGAAATAAATGAAAAAAAAATGATTTTGGTGCTGCAGACAATAGCATTACCAGTTAGTGATAAGTAAAAAACTACAATGAGTAGTCAACAAGATCGACTATGTCTAAACAAGCACAATTTAATCAGCAATATCAGGGGATAGACATGTTTTTATGCAGGTGGAAATGCACCCATCTACCAGAATTAAAATTCCAAAGACTTATGAACAATAAATTATTTATGCATATTTATATATAATTATTTATATTTTAAAAATTGATGGAAAAAACTTTGATCAGAATGTGCTTTGGGTATTGAAACGAGTGTTTAATAAAAAGTCTTTTTGTGGAAAGATCCTCAGCATCAAAATTCACTGCTTATGAAGTTGTCGTTAAAGTCTTAAATTTATATTCATAGCTGCCAATATGGATAGGAAAAAAATCCAGTAGATTTTACTAAAAAATATAAATTTCATGATAACTGTTGCATAATATACATAATTATACAAATAAGGAAATTATTATAAGGAAGGAGATTATAAAATTATCTCCTAGTCGCTACTACATAATTTTTTTTTTCAATAAAAATGCACAACACGTGTATTTTATTATTTTTTTCAATAATCATGAAAAAGATTTCTAGAAAAACTTACAATTTTTGGAAAAAGTAGCAACTGTAAAGATATAGTCAGGAATAAAATTTCCTAATTTTGCCTTATAGTAAAACAGTAATTGACAATATACATCACCAAAAATTAGATTTAAAAAAAGAAACTTGTAACTAGTTAAACGATTATCCACAAGAAAATACCGGGTTGAAATTTCTTAGACTAGAAAAAATTGTGTCACAGATTCCTACGAAAGAAAGATAAAACGAATTTCTTGAAACGAGGTATAATAGTTAAGACAGTGTTAATAAAAAGACATTCCATTAAGGTCTTAAGACTCTTACGAAAGAAAGATAAAACAAATTTCTTGAAATGAGATAAAATTATGATAGTTAAGACAGCATTAATAAAAAGACATTTCATTAAGTTCTTAAAAGTGAAGAAACTCGTTATACCTTCGACCACAACAACCTTTAGTAATGGATCATACGGATGGTGCTTAATGAAGACATTTGCATTGGAGTGCTCCATTATACTTTTGACATTCCTGCCGTGCTTTCCGATGAGACGGCCACACAGCTCTTGTGGCAACTCAAACTCATAGACAAATTCTTTTGATGATTGTGTGGAAGTCTTTGGGTCTAAAAATCCATTACATTCCAGTTTGCATTGTTTTACAGTCTGCAAAAAGAAACAATATTAATGAGAAAGTACATTAACATATTTTCTACATTTAGGGTCTATACATGGTTAATATACTATGGTCTTTTGACTGTCTGTTTGCCCCTTTGGGTGCTTCTCTAACTTTTATTTCTATTTATTGTACAATTTCTGCTTGATGTAAACCCTACACAAATATGGTGGGTCGTGTCACTATTCAAATTATACATGGTTAATAACCTAAATCAAAACTTTGCAATTTAATAAAAAGCATTAATTATTTTAAATTAAATTGAAAATGTAAGATAAATATTGTACCAAGTGGTTTAAATATATATTTCGTCATTAATTGTTTGAAAAACAGCATATGTATAAGAATATACGACAAAGCGGTACAAAATAAATGGCAAAGAAGTATAAAATATTTTTAGAGAAATCATTTATATCAGGATTAGAAAGGATTGTAAACACAACGGTAAAATTTGTAGCGAAAACAATAGTTTTTAATGCGAAATTTTAATTTTAAATTGTTACTTTAACTCTGTTTTTCTGCCTTATATTAAACAAAAATATAAATATATATATGTTTACTGATTTAAAAATAAGAGAATTTCAGTTTTTAATATTTTTCTTCTATAAATTATACATTCAAAACAAAAATAATAAACCAGAGAGACAGGGGGGGGGGGATCCCAAATTATAATTTAAAAAAATATTCTACTTTAAGTCCCTTTTTTGAAATTCTCTATAAAATTAATAAAGATATTTAATCAAATTAATAAAGGTATTTAATCAAATTAATAAAGGTATTTAATCAAATTAATTAAATGTCTATGATAAAATTTTCAAGCATCCTGTTTCTAATTGAGTGAATTGAATCTAATTTGGAATTGAACCTACAATAACAATTTTTACATAATGTAAATTAATATTATTAACACTTAACACTATTGTTTTTGTTTGGATTCCAGTTTTTTATCTTTTTTTTTAATCTACTTATTACAGCTCTTATAACAATACAATTAGAAAGTATCACAGTTAGAAATTTTTAAAAGTTTGTATCAATATATATTTTGAAAACCAAAATCTTTTAATAATTTATAGAGACCATTGGTTCACATTTTAAATATATTTTATTATAATTATTGCCAAGCAATTTTTTCCTTCTCAGCAAAATTTTGCTAAACTTGCATCAATGCATAGTTATAGAAATGTATCATGCTAAGAATATTAAAAGAGTTAAAATAGGACAAAATTTTGTTAATTGTTTATTTATAATTAATTTTTTTAAAGGCCAATTTAAATTTTTAATTGTAAAGTGGCCAGTGATCCAAAAAAGGTTGGGAACCTATTTTAAAAAAAAAAATAATAAACACAAAAAAGCTAAATAACAAACTTAAAATACTAAGATCCTTTTTGCTTTTGCGGACTTAGTTGAAAAAAAGATCATAGCTGTACCACGATTAATTTTTTTTTTTTACATAAATAAGCAAATAAATTATAAAAGCACAAATATAAATTTTCATAATTCAAAAACTAATTTAAATTTTAACCAAAGAGAAAAATTTTCAGTGTTGCACATTTTCAAAGATAAAAATATGTGGGTGCAATAAATAATTCAAATCATTTTTGTTGAACTAAATCTTATAACCTCCCTCTCCTCAAAAAAAAGTAGAAAAAAATACCAATGACAGCTTTAAGAACATTTTTACTTTAGTTCCTTGTACCAGTGTTTCTAAGAACCATTAATATATTTTTGAGCTTTATCACAAACCAGTAAAGTCAATAATTTGAAATATTGGCACAATATTTACAAAATTATCCAAAATTAATTGTTACATACATAAAAACAATTTTTAAACTGTATTTTAGAAAAAATGTGTAAGAACAAGATGCTTTCATCATCAGTTTTCTCTGATTTTGCATTAAAACCTGTTTTATACAATCAATCAATAATTGAAATCCGATTCAAGCTTTTAAACTTAACATGAAATTAGATAAGTAAGTAAATAGTATTTAAAATTCAACTGAGATAGCCATTTTTCCAATTTTTAAATTTAATGCAAAGTTAAGCTGCAAAATACTTTTTGTTTGTCATTTACACATTACATTAATTTTTTTTTTTTTTTTTTTTTTCATTTTGGACTTATAATTCTTCAAAAATAGTAGATGGGATAATATTTAGAGTACTACCTGTGTGTAGAAATTTAAAGAGATAGCTTGCATTTTATTTGCAAGATATTTTGTGAAGGGTCCGTTAACGGACCCAAATTTCTTCTAAACAGACCCCTGCATTGTATATTTGACTAATGTTAAAAAATTAGTTATTATATGTTAAATATTTAACAAAGTTAGTTATTTTATTTTGATTTGAAGAGCAATGAAAAATGCTATTGCAATTTTTTTAAGCCTGTCTTTTTCATAATTTCTTCAATACATTATTACAAGAAAGACACATTATTTCTCCTTGGCACTTTACTTACAAACAATACTTACTTACTTGGCACTTTACTTACAAACAATAAGGTGTTCATAATTTTTAATGTTTTTATTTTTACTTTGAATGAATCCAGATGTTATTAATTGCCAATTGGTCCTTTATTTTTTTGTTTACCTTCATGCTGGGATTGATTCTGACCAATAAAGAATTTGGTCTGTTTTATGATTTGCTAGACTAATTATTTCCTTTATCGCATTTTACAAATCATCATTACATTAAAGAAAATAATTAACTATCATGAAATCTGTAGCAGTATAGCATTACCGAAAAACAGATTGACGAAATCACGGGAACGGGAAAGGGGTTACTCAAATGCATGTTTTGTGATAAATAATATTGCATAGAAAATATTGGGTTTTAAAACTAAGTGGAAATCGAAAGCAATGACTGCGGGGGGGGGNGGGGGGGGGGGGGGGGATCGATAAAATCATTACATTAAAAAATAAATGATCAAAAGCGCGATTCGAATTTCCCATATCGACTGAAACATATCGGGATATCTAAAACCCAAGCGAAAATCTGTGTCAATAACTGACAAAAATACAATCAATATGGATTTACAATATCGGTATAAATTAAGCGCTTCAAAAAGTGATTATTTAAATGAGAGACTCAAATTTTACATGTAAATTTTTTCAGAAAAGCAAACCAAAATGTTTTATTCTCCAAAAGCAAAATATTTCTGCAAGAACTCTGTAAAGTTCTACTGCAACGTTGCTGCAATTTTATTTATTAATTTCATTCTTAAATAATACTAAAAGAATTTTACATTTTAGAAATAAGCAATATAACTTACAAACAGCTGTGACAGAAATTATTTGTTTTCCAATTGCAACTAAATAAATCATTATAATATATTCAAACTTTAATTTTAAACAAAAATGTAACCATACTAAATAGTGAATGTATTAAATTTATTCAGCTCTCATAAAAAGAAGAAAAATTCATGTTACTTCTTGCTATTGCAGGGGTCTGTCCAGACATTTTGTGAAAGGTCCGTTTTTGTATAATTGTGAAAAAATTACTCGTAATTTGTGAATATAAAATAAACGTTAAATCACATTCTTTCAACCAGGGTCCGCTTTTGTGAATTTGTGCAAACAGGGTCCGTTATTGCAAAAAAACTTTTTCAAGAAGTTTTTAAATTGTAAAGACATACAAGATTATGCTCAACACTGTAAAGTTATAATTAAAAAAATTAAATTTTTAAAAATAAACAGCAATTGCAGATACTAAATTAGCAATGCAACATACAAATATTTTGTATTTAGCCTATACTGCCGAACGCAGAATATTCATTTCGGACGAATAAAGGAAGAAACGTCTGTCAAAGACAAAATTTAATTTGTTACACGTCTTTCCACCCCACCCCCCTTCTTGGGAAGGTTTTATTCGATTAACAAAACAATAATGAAGATAAACAAATTTGTGAAGGGTCCGATTAAAAGATAAATTAATTTGTGAAGGGTCCGTTTTTAAGTTAAAATATTTTGTGAAGGGTCCGTTTTTATGAAAAGATATTTTGTGAAGGGTCCATTAATGGACCCAAATTTCTTCTAAACAGAACCCTGTATTGTATACTTGACTAATGTTAAAAAATTAGTTATATGCTAAATATTTAACAAAGTTATTTTATTTTGATTTGAAGAGCAATGAAAAAAGCTATTGCAATTTTTTTAATCCTGTCTTTTTCATAATTTCTTCAATATTACAAGAAAGATACATTATTTCTCCTTGGCACTTTACTTCAAATAATTTCATAAAAGCAAAGTATTAAGTAAATAATAGCATTACTAGGTGGATATAAATGTAATTGCAGGTTTCTAAAATGTTAAGAAAATCGGTTTAAAAGAAATATTAAGTCATGGAACCCCTTTCACTTTGCAATAGAACCCAAGGATTCTCCAGAACACCATTTGGGAACCGTTACTCGAGGGATTGATTTCAATTCTTATCAAAAGTTTAAGTTGTGTTTGCTTTTCTCAAAAGGTAACAAACCTACCTTGAGTTCTCAAAGAAATAAATTGGAAAAGGTAACTCTTTTCTTTGATATACTGGTTTCACAAGACAGAAAGGTATAAGCATAGCTGCCAACATAGATCAGGAAATATCCGCTAGATATTTTGAAAAATAAATTTCAAGATAATTCTTGCATAATTCACTAAATACTTTACAAATAGGGAATTTTAGGTTTTTTTTTTATAGACATTAAAATAGGAATGCTGTAATATTTTCTGGTCATGATTGGCATCAAATATGCTTAAGTTATGAATTGTGTTTAGTCACAATTTTGAATAGCAATAGCCATTTAATTCATAAGAAATAATTAAGATTTTTCTAATTAATTTAGAAAGGGAGTTCAGTTTAAAACTTTTTTTTGTTCTAAAATGTATAGTTTATTTTCATCAATAAGCTGAACATTTTAGAACCAAAAAAAAAATGAGGTTTGCTTTATTATATATTAGTAATACTTATTTAAATATTTCAGCAAGCAATTATCGGGGCAAAAAATCTATTTCGATAAGGATTTTTCTAGGAAACTTACTTGGGGAATGTTCTAAAATGCACAAAAATCAGCAGAATTTTTATTAAATCAGTAGACCAGGAGAAACGAGCAAAATCCAGTAGTCTACTGGAAAATCCAATAGAGTTGGCAGCTACGTTGCTACGTATAAGTATAAAAAAAAATTTCTAAGTAGGTACTATTTTTGAAGGTGCCCCTTGATTCTCAACAAGTTGTGATTGCGGTTCATCGCCAAGCTGGGCCATAGTGTTTTATTTATGTTAACGTCCATAGTTTTCTTTGGAAACCCAATCGTGATTCTGATTGGTTTAGATTTGAACGTTATTTTTTAATGTTTAACGGAATATGTAATTTCAGAGGTCAGTTAGTTCTATGCTAGATGTCAGATGGTAAGGTTAATTCTGCCTTTGGTCCTAATTCTGTGTACCTAAAAGTGAGGATATTCAAGCTATATAAAGTGAGCCTATTTTTTTTCTGTGTTTACTTTATTAATTTTTGTTTCGATTCAAAATGCATTTTATTGGGTTTATTAATTTTGCTTATATTGTGTCTATTGCAATTTTATTAAGTTTTGGCCGATGTTTTATTGAAATTTCATTATGTTTTGGCAGCCATTCCAGTGTTCCACGCAAACAGAAATGGAGCCAAACAAAAAGTGCCAATTTCGCCAAGGGGCACCCTTTAATATATTTTTACCTTTTTTTCTTCTTTCTATTCTTATTAAAAGCAACAATTAAAAAAATTATAAGAAATAAACAAAAAAATTTACTTTATATCCTTCTTCAGTCGATAATTCTAAGTGGCTATCTTTGTGAGATGAACTAGTTGAATTTTTATCAGCAACAGTCAAATCTATGTTAGTTTTTATTTCACAATACCTTCCTAATGGCAGAATTTCATTACTTGCATTGAGCAACTGCTTTGAATCACTACACAAACTAGTTGCACTCAAGTTAGTTGATTTTGAAACTGCTTTATCAGTCCAGTTTGAACTAGAGAAATTATTAACAGAATCATTACAATTTAATGTCAGTGAATTTAAGTCTGGTGAAATTTGTTGCAGTATACAAGTTGCTGCACCTGAACTAGAATTATTTTTATTCATATTCAAAATGGAAGCATATGTCTCAGATTTGACACCATTACCGTGCCCATTCTCTGTAGAACTGCTAACACTAGAGCCTTCTGCTACAACTGCATCTATATTTAGAGTCTTACTATCACAAGTAAATTTATCATTAGAAGTTAAGGATAAATCTTTAATGGCAGACAAATTATTTTGTACAAGATCATCATCACTCTCTTTAGGATTAAAGGATCTCTCATCCGAGTGGTCTAAATTCTTTATAATCGATTCGACTTCAGAACTAAAAGACTTTTCTGTTCCAAAAATATTCATATCTGGACAAATAGAATTATTATCTTCATTGGGTGGAACTTCTAAATGCTTACCAAGATTGGATTCTTTCAAACTTTCAGTATACGAATCGGTGTAGTTTTGAATGTTTATTAAGGATTCGTTAAAAGATAGCAAATTCAGAACATCTTTCGGAGAACTAGAGCCATCGTTTTTGATGAGATTTGATGCAATAGCAGTTGGACTGTTGCTAGCGGAACTTTTATCTAATTCATCGCAAAAACTACTCAATAAGCTGCTTTCATCTAAAACGCTAGATAGACTATCTTTATTTGTGGACTCAGCAAATAGCTTGCCTTCAGAATCATCACTAACATAGCTTAAACTATTTTCATCAAATGCACTCGAATGGCAATCTGTTTCGATAATCTTCTCGCACTCGACGGGTGACGAGGCTGTTAAATTGTCTAAATTTTCACACTCAACAATGTTCTTTTGTAAACAACCTTCGGGGTTATTATTCCCGATTTCAAAACTGCTATTCAAATCTAAGGTTTGGTCATTTGGACTACTCAGGTCGTCCTTATTTGCTTCGGATAAAAACAAATCCTCGCTTTTGAAGAAGTCTATATCTTGTTTAATCAAATTTTTGTACTTTGAACTCTGCTGCAACGCAGAATCGTTTTCGAATTTGACAATCCCTGATTCAAAAACTTGCTCAGAATCTTCTACACTATTTTTTATATCCTCAATTCTTAAAAAATCTTTGTTCTCACTACCATAAGACACATGAGAGTTTTCAACGCAGTTGGGTAAAACTAAGTTACAATGGGGGTGTCCATCGCTTACATGTAAAGGTGAATCAAATAATGGGCAGTCGGACTCAGAGGATTTCTCAGACCTTATTGGAGAAGTAAAACTGCAGGCGTCAGAGAAGGTGTTATCTATATCTGATGACGATGTAGACTCCAAACAGGACTTATTTTCTTCCTGTATTTCACACACACTGTCGGAAGGCAGCTCACTGATAGATTTTGTTTTCTTCCTTCTTTTAAGCCAATAAATAGCAAGAAAAGTAAGAACTGTAGGAACCAAACATATCACTAAGTTTCTTGTCATGATGATTCAACTCAACTGATTTCAACTAAAATAAAATAATTATTCGTTATTTTTACAACAAAATATATTTTCGTAATTATTGAGAATAAATCTAACAGTTTCACAGAAAATTCCTGATTAAAAAAATTTTTTTAGCTAATTTTTGATAAAATTATATTTAAAACTAAAATTAAGAACACATAAAAACTATGGATAAAAAAAAACATAGAAATTGAAGGTTAGACTCAATAAATTAATAATAAAATTTACATCTTAAAAGGAATAATAAAATCTTACTACTTTATTAAATAAAATAAATTTATGATCCAAGTTACTAGGACTTGATAAAATATTACATCTTCATCACAAAAATTTTCAACTTGGGAATTTCAAAGCCAACGAAGGCTGGCTTGCTTGGACTTTTACCAAAATAGGCTGACTTTTCAGCAATTGTGTTAAAAACACTCTAATAATATTTGCATAGCATTTAACATTCATTAAATCAGTTATTTAACATTCAAAATTCACTAAATATAAATATCCAAAACTTGAAAAATATTTCTAACTAAATGTTGAATTTAAACAGTGAACCCCATAAATTATTTCTCGTTTCTTCCAACCAAAGTGGAGGAAACTTTTTCACAAAGAAATATTTTTAAACGAAGATTATTTTCACAAAGAAATATAATATCTATTTTTAAACAGAAATTCCTAATTTTTGATTTCTTCTTTTACTAAAAGTGGTTACCTATTTGAAATATGAATCTTATACCCCTTTATACATCTATTAATATAGACCAGTGTTTCCCAAAATGTGGTATGTGTACCCCCAGGGCCCCAGAAGCAGAAAGTGCCTAAAACTGTGACGTACGTCGCAGAACAAACGAAATCCTGCAGAACAATTTGTATCTTGAATAGAATTCTCTTTAGCTTTGACCACTTGCTGTTTCCCTGGAATGATGTTGCTTTAAAAGAGGAACATTTATCAGTATTCTCCCTCTCCCATATCTTTGCCATTCTGAGGAGGAAATTAAAGAATAAGCTTTTGGCTATAACATTTTTATAAAATGGATATATCAGTGCTTAGCAGACAGCAGGAGAAATCGATCACCTATTTTATCAAGAAAGCTTCTAAATCAAGCCGTAAAAGATTTAAATTCCGAGATTTCCAATTTCATAAAGTTTATGACTTTTTTATTTTCCATTCCCATTTCAGAAGCAATTTGTGAATCGTGGGGATCCACGATTGACAGAATTGTTTCTGAAAGACCAAATGCTTTTGATGGAGATGAAGAAGTTGTTGGAACAACAGCCAGCGAATGTTTGTGTTTGCAAATGGTGCACCATTTGGGCACTTGTCCCTTCGAAAGATTTTTAAGGCAGCCCTTATTTTAATGTTCGGACCTTCATATCATAGGTATTTTATTAATAATTCATCATCGTTGTCATTAACAAAATTTGTACTTCAAAAGTGATTGAAAAAGTAACAAATCTAGAATGTTTGCCTTGGTTTAAAAAATAATGTAGTGTATTTGTGTATGATCCTGTATTTTAATAAGTGAAAATATAGTATTTTAACTTAAAGTTGACTTTTTTTCGCAGTGAAATGCTTGCAGAACATTTGTATAAATTAATGAGTCCTGTTGCAGAACATTTGAAAATATTCTGCTTATGGGCCCAGGGGTACGGGAACAGTTTAGAGGGGGTACATGTTCCTATGCGAAATATCTTGCAACAAACAGAAATTTCATACAATTTTATTTAAAAACAAAGCTAGCCATGAAAATTTACGATTACGTATTTTTCTATTGGCTAATTTTTGCAGAGTTAACAGTAATAATTAGAGGTATCAACAACCAGTAGTGATTTTTAACTTTTGGGCAATTTTTTTACAGTGAAAAATACATTCATTTTGTATTAGTGATACACAGCTTTATGAAAAATTTAGAAAGGGTACACGAAAGTCATAAGTTTGGGAAACACTGATATAGACTATAAGCATTCACCCTATGGCAGAATTTTTTCAAGCTAACTGCGACAAAACGCACTAATTTCTTTCTGCAAGCTACTTTTAAACATAACAAACATATATGTTACTAATTTAAAATAACAAAAAAATTTATAATTTTTTTTAATTGAACATGTAACAATTTTTATCCTAATAATAGGGGTGATACCCTCGAATTTTTTTTTGGGGGGGGCACACTTTTTCCCTCTTCGCATTTAGTAATTAATCATCACTAAAAAAAATAATTAAAAATCCTGCAAAGCGTTGCCGGAAAAAAGATCCACGGTGAAATCACTCGTAGCAGACTCTATAAAGAATATCGGATTTAAAATCTATGGAGAAATTAATAGCAATAACTGCTAAAAATTTGACAGAATCATAAGCATGAAATAACTCTAATTAGCATGAAATAACACTCCCGCCTTAAAAAGTAAATACTCAAATGCACAATTTGAGTTTTCCATATTGTTTGAAATATATCGGGATATTTTAAAACCATGTAAAAATTGATATATCAATAACTGCCGAAAATTCAATCGAAACATTACATCGATTTGCAATACTATCGGCGTAAATTGAGCGAGTCAAATGCGTGATTATGTATGATTCAAATATTGCATGTAAATTTCTGTATAAAAGAAAACAAACGTTTTTTACTTTTCAAAAGAAAATATTTCTGCAAGAACTCTGTAACGTTCTGCTACAATGTCGCCATGTTGCTGCGATTCTGCCACAGGGAGCATTCATAATTATCCTATCTATTGATGGACACACAAAGAATACACAATAAAGGGGTGTCATATTAGGACAATCAAGGCTTTTAAAAAATCAGAACTCATCAAACACCAGCTTCAAGAAAAAGCAAAGCAATTTGATACTCAACATTTTACTAGTTATTTTTAATAAATTGAAGAAAAAAAACATGCCTGATAGTCAAAGTTAGGCATGATGAGGCATCTTATAAATGATAAATTATAGGTTCTTGTAGCAAATAATCCACTATCGGTTAACAACTAAATAAAGAAAAAGTTGGTGCTTACCCATCTTTAATGTAGGATGATGCAATATTTTTTATGTTTGCATACACATAAGTTTGAATCGTTGCTTAATGCCAGTCTAGCACAACATTTTGCACATCGAGCGAAATACTAGCAACTAATTAAGAAACAAAATACTTTATGTCCAAAGGGAAATAAAGGTAAACTTGGAATCTACACTGCAACTCATTATATAATGTTAGATAGCGTTATAATTAATTTTTAAACACATTCAATTACATTCTTCCTGTTTAAATGCATAAAAAAGCTTCATCTAGACAAATTATAAAAATCTGAAATTCAATAAATGAATTAACTTTTAAAGGTGACCCCTTAACGCAAGGATTTCATGTAATAGTTAAACTATAATTGATAAATCAAATAAGCCATACCAAGCAATAAAATATAAAACGAGATGAAAAACGCTTTTCAAACGAAATGTTTAAATATCTAAAGAAGGCACTGAGTTCAATACTTACATGGAACAGTAAACAGCATGGACATCGTTAAACATATTGAATGATCAAATACTTTATTTCAAACGAGTAAATGTTTAATACAGTAATAGAAAGAATTTTCTGCGCTAGTTAAGAAATACATACAATTTCCACAGAGAGTACTGCCATAGTAAATCTAGTTAGATATTCATTTAAAAACTAATAACTACAACATAAACACAGCACGCACTCAAACATGCAACCATGGATGCTTCGAAGGATCCAGCGAAAAGTTAGCATAGAATTTTTTCAACTTTTGAGTTTAATCAATCGGCATCTCTTATTGAAACAGTTTGCGCCTTTTACGAAGCAAAACGGTAAAAACTTTTTAGTGCAGTTTGCACACATTAGATTTCAAATCACCCCATCAATATAATACTAAAGTGTTGCCAATAATTGATCTAATATATAAAATAATTAGAAAAATTTCCTCTCGCAGAAGCAAAGAGACAAGACAAGGATCCTTTATGGAACATTTTCACTGCACTCCCATATGCGATCGCATGATGCCGTCATTTTAACGTCACATTTCTACACCTAGGGAAAACCTGTAACCTAACGGACTGCGATCTTCATTTTCCCTCCCAACATGGATGTGTTTCACTCCTAACAATTTGCTGGTGAAAGCGATTTGAAGGTTCGAAGTCTCACAGAAGACTGATCGTTAAGACACGCTTCCCAACAGATCACCGAAGTCAAGCATCACTGGCTGCAGTCAATGTGCGGGTGGGTGACCACTTGGATCAGTCTGCGTAGGTACCGAGAGTGTGCGGTATGGGTCCTCGTTAAACTGCTCTACCGTAAAAAGCTTGACTTCGCGTGTAGGTCGTCGGGCTACCGAAGCGGGGGTGCCATCCCCTCTGCAGAGGATCAAAATTATGATGGCATGTCTTCGGATGTTTCGCAGACCGTCGCCAACAGCCCATTGAACTACTACTACTACTACTCGAATGTTCGAATAGGATGTGTTTAACTCTGGGTTAAAATTAGATTTCTGATTTCAAAGATAATTTTTACCCAGATATCTTATGATTTTTTTGAATAATTTTCCTGGATACTTTATGAATATATTTAACAGACATAATTTTTTCTGTCCCAAATTTATTGTTTCATATAATAAATCGATTAAATAAAATAGTTCCTTGCACAACTTATTTGGAAATAAAACGTTAAGTTTTTTTCTTCAAATTTTTGCGTATTCTTGGTCATAATATGTTTAGTATAATTATTGCCGTATTTTTATTAAATATATTACCTACCTTGCTTTCAAAATATTTAAATTAAAAAAAATACTTGTTTTTTAATAAAATTTAGATTTTTTTTTTTTTTTTTTTTTTTTTTTTTTTTTTTTTTTTTTTTTTTNTTTTTTTTTTTTTTTTTTTGTAAGAAAAATAAGAAAATTGGTGAGTTATAAAGATCTGAGATTGGTACATAATGAATAAATAAGATTTCTGTAATAACTTTATCGTATATAACATAAATAAGAATTACCATAAATTGTATACTTGTTTTTCATCCACTGTACAATTTTTTGTAAGAGATTTGTAAAAATGGGAGCTTTAACAATGTAATCGTTTTTGAAATTATTATACAGTTGTTAATGACTTTAGATGCATTATTAAGAAACATAATTTCATTTATTTTCTTCATTTTTCTGTTCTTACGAATTTTGCATTTGCGAAAAACATAAGTGCAAAATAACAAGTCAAAAAATATTTTTACTCTTGCAGCTATAAAACAGAAATAAACTGGATAACTAGTTTTTATAAAAAAATTATGTGATATTTTAGGAACGAAATCTCTTAAGATTAACAGTTAAAAATTTTCAAAATCCCTATTCTAAATTTTTCGTTAGAAATTGTATTAACAAAATATGCTTGAATTGTAAAATGTATTAAGTTTGCAATTGAGAAAAAAAAGAAGGGAAAAGTAATAACAAACAAGAAAGAGAGAAAAATAGAAAAAGCAGTTTTTTTTTCATTGTAATGCAAATTTTTTTTCTTCAGATTATTCAAACTAACAATTATTTAAAAAATTGCTATTACATAAATTAACGTCTACTTAACAAAAAAAATCTAAGTTAGCAAGCTTAAAGTTTATTTCGCACTTTACCTTTATTAAAGCCTTATTAATTACAGATTATTTTGATACTTATTGTACCTTTACAACTAAAAGATTTTAGTATTATAAATTTACGCATTTTATTAATTGCAAATATAAAATAAATAATAGAAAATAATAAAATAATCATAAATATAGTAATAAAATTTTCATAAATAATAAAATCGTTAAAAATAGAAAGTTATAAAATTTTGACAAATATAAACAACCCTTCTTAACTATTAGTTCATTAAAGCTCTCGATAAAATATTTATAATTTCAAAGTTTCATAATCTTATGATGAAATTTCGGAATAAATCAATTGCACTTCTTTTAAAAACATTCAAATTATGATTTTTAGGAAATTTTATAAATAAAGATGTATTTGATTTTTAATCTGTTGTTTATTTAAAGAGTATTTATGTTTTTCGCAAACTATTAGTAAATAGTTATAAGTGAATCACTTCATTTATAATAAATACAATAATGAAAACAAATTTAATAAAAATATTACAAATTAAATGCTTGAAGAAAGATCAATCAAGATTGAAATAAATAGATATTTTATTTCAGACTACGTAATTGTCAAAATGAAAGGAGAATTCAAGCCCACCCCCTTTCAGAAACAAAGCGCCCCTCTATGAACTCCGAGAAAGATGTCACTACCCTCAGCTAAGGGAGAACGATTATTAAAAGATAAACAAAAGCCATTTTGGTCACTTTCTAATGACTAACGGTACACAACGTCACTTCCTAAGCGGAGGGCCCAAACCTTGGTTCGAATTCCCTTCACCACTCTGTTCGGGGGTTGCGAGTTTAGGATTTTGCTTTTCTATCTGACGGGGGTATAAAATAGACTCCAGTGAATAGTGACGTCACTGTCCGCGTTCGAAGTCTGCGAGTTTAGACGTCCAAGAGATCCCGGAAATGGCTGATCAATTTTTTTACATCTCTCTGTTCACACTGGCCACAGTGTTGCATCCACAGGGGTAAATAGATAATGGGTAAGAATACTCTTGCAGTTGGGCAGACCGTGAGAGATCTTCATGGTTTTCCTCTCCATGAAACGTAAGTGTAGGCTTCCTTCATCAGAAAATTTTGCACTTAGGCAAGTTTGTATTGTTACAAGTTATTGTTTACTGTGTGTAAAGATACGTCCCCAGTCTACTTTGGGCAAGGAACGTCCTGTGGGGGGAGGAGTTATCGCCAATGCCAACCTTCATCTATCAAAAGGTACCTCGTGATTGAATCAAGTTAGCATGTCGTATATACCAGTGAATTGATGTTTAATAATCGTAGTGGTATTTAGGCCACAATACTCTCCCACCAGAATTTTATCAGGAATAGAATTCAATGAACGGATACCGCTAGTTGCAGTACTTGTGAAAATACCAGGAGAGCTGAATTAAGGTCACCGGGTTTTTCTTTCTTTTTAGTGCTGAATGAGAGAGGTGTATTAACTTCACGGTCGTAGTCGCTGCTGTGTTGCCTTAGCAGTCGAGTGTATGCAAGCTGACGTTGTGTATGATCGAGACGAGACGAGACTGAGCAGCAACAGTGCGAGGAGGGGGTTAATGTCGCAGTCACAAGTAGCAAGTCAACTGTTCAATGTGGACCATCCATCGAAGTGGGCGTGACTGTCAAGATCGTCGTGTTCATATCACGTCCGGGTCACCAATGTGGGGGGAGGAGTTATCAACAATGCCAGCCTTCATCTATCAAAAGGTACCTCCTGATTGAATCAAGTTAGCATGTCTTATATACCAGTGAATTGATGTTTAATAATCATAGTGGTAGCTACGCCACAGTCCGAAGTTTACTGTGTGTAGCGAAATGTCCCCAGTTTACTGTGTGAAACGAAAAGTCTCCAATTTACTGTATATCAGCAATGTGCCCAGTTTACTGGGTGTCACAAGATCTTCGCTTTACGGTATGGTAACAAGGGTACCCGAAGTCTTCTGTGAATCGTGAATAAATTTATCATAAAAAAAAATCTAATCATAATAAAGCAATAACTAACTTTCAATCATTAACTTTAGTAAATCATTAAAAAATTTTAAGAGCTCTATTTCGATAAGAATTATGAACTGAAAAATAATTTATTGAAACCATAAAGTAATTCTAAACATTTAAATATCTATAACTGAATTTATTCATACTTAAAATAAATATTAAATCTAATGAGTCACTGACATGAATATATATATAATGAATTTTCCAAATAAGTCAATAGAGAGGAAAGCGGTACTGTTGAGAGGAGGTATATACAAAAATAATAATAATAAATAAATAAAATTTCAATATCTTGAGGCAAACCAACTGGTTTTGATGTTTCTTAATCCGTCTTCTCTAGTGGTTCGAAAAATTTCAATAACGTTTTGGATTCTCCATACTTTAAGTATTTGCTTACAGCCCTTAATGTATATTCTTTTTGACTTCATTCTTGATAACGGTTCTAAAAATGTATATTTAGAGCAGGCATTACTGAACACCTCGCAAATTATAAATTCATTAAATCAAGTCATTAATTTACAATAAACAGAAATTTATTTTCTGTAGTTAACATTAAATTTTAGTCCTGTTTAATAAATGATTAACATTTTATTTTCATGAATTAATGATTTTTTTCTTCAAATATTTAAAGGAAAAGAATCAATTGGTTGTTTTTAAAAATTTTAACAACTATATATTAAATAAACTGTAAGTCAAAATATCACACCTGGAAGAATTAAACACAAAAAAAAGAATAGTTTTTACTGTAAAATTAAGAAGGTCCCTGGTTTGCGAGTGTGAATGAGGTCCTCAGTTGCACTGAAAAAATACATGTTGTGAAAAAAATTAAAATTTTAGGTCATATCTTTCATCAAGGTGGTATTAGGTTCAAAATTTTATTCAAATCGCATTACTCCTTTATGACATCTCCAATCATATTAAAGAGGGCGTTTAGAGTGGGTGGCAAACAGTGGCGGAACAAGCGGGGGGAGGGTCATGACCAAAAAAAAAATTTTTTGTAAAGAAAAATTCTTATTACGAAAGAAATAAAATATTTTAAAAATTATTTAAGGGGGCATATTCACTTAGGTAGGTCGGAAAAATCAATTTTTTCCCCATATAATTATGTTCTTCACTGTTTCAAGAATCATAATCCAAAAGATTAAAACGAAATTCGCATTATTAAACATTCATTGAGAAATTGATTTGGATGTTGAAAAAATAATTTACAGATTTGTCAAAGTTTCTAAAAAAAGCATTACATTTATTATTTAAAGACGAATACTTGAATTATTTATGTATTATTCATTACGAAAAAAATAAATGAGAACACTAGCATTAAAAACCCGTTTTTTTTTCTTCAAAAAAAAAAAAAAATATATATTAAAAAAATAATATAAAAAAAAAGAAAAAATTTGAATGTTNTGGGGGGGGGGGGGGTAATCTGAGTCTATGACCCTCCCCAGGAAAAATTATGATTGGCGATCGAAATGGGCTACAAGTGGCGTAGAGTAGAACTCTCTCCTCTAAGGCCGGATTTACGTATAAACTATAAGCTGTAGCTGATATTCTCCGTGCGACGAAGGGGGCACACGTGGAAGTTCATTGACAAGGGTCATGAAACTTTTTGAGTCTATCTAACCATTTATGTTATTAATTTTAATCAATCTTTATTATTTTATGAGTTATTAAACATCAAAATGGGTCCAGGACTTTATAAACACCCTGTATTATCAAATTTTTTTAATAATATAATGTTAATACCCAGCAATAAAAAATAATGACAGTTTACTTTAGGTGTATAGAAATGGAATTGAACTTATAAGGGCCCCATCATTTTCAGTAGCTTAGTGCCCCACCAAGCTTAAATCCGGCCATGCCTATGTCAACACTTCCTTCCATCATAAGCGTGTGGAGAGTCTTTGAAGAAGGAAGTACGTTAGTTTCTGACTTGATTTTCATATAGATTAAAATAGTTTAGTTTGGAAACTATATGGAAATTTTAAAAAAAATATTTTTATTAATTGAAGAATATTAAGATAAGGGAAAATGTAGTACATTCCTATGGATGGTGTTTTCAGTAGAAATGTAAACAATACCTGCTCTAGTTCCAGTTAGAAAGTTTGCAGCTGATTACTACATGTTATTCTGCGAGGCGATATTTTCAAACGGATAATTTTGTTTTCAATAAAATAAATAAATTAGATAATTTCTGAGCTCAAATCTGCCGTATTTCATAAGATATTAATGTTATTATGTAATTTTGGTGAGTTTGAAGTGAAAATTTGTTTTGGTTATTTAGAGATATATTGTTAAAAAGGGTGACATGGTTGCTAGATTTGGAATCACTCGCTTTTTTTGGCATTTATATGGCCTCTTTCCATAAGTTTATTACTGTTTGTGCTTATTGCAAGCTGTGCACCATCTTACGTTAGGGTTAAAACTTTTAGCATTGTAAACACAGGTAATTTAAATCAAATACATTGTTTGCAAGAATCTTAAAATACAAAGTTTTTTGTTTATAATTTTCTGATAAATATTGTTGTTAAAATAATTTTTCACGGCAACTACAGATTTGGCGGTTTTTAAGTGCAGCTAATCTACATATAAAATGTTTTGGGACAAATCATAAAATATAACACTTTATGTAAATTGGTACATTTTCGTTTTTTCGGTAAAATATTTCGCTCCTGAAAAAATAAAATTGCATCTTGTTTCGTTTTTGGCAAATCCCAAAGACGCATTTTCGTAGCACTAAAAAATGACGCCAAAAAAGAATTGTTTTGTTTTGTAAGCATTCTTTATTTTACGTCTTTTAGTTTCTAAATAATGATTTTTATTGAAACTTGAAATTTTTTGATATAAATTGTTGTCAAAAAACTTTGTTCAAAATTTAAATTACATAAAATTATGAGGCTTTATGTCCTACTTTTTGTTCATTTTAATGTTTGAAGAAATATGATTCTTAAAGCTATGGAATGTAAAGTTTAAATGGGCCTTTCATGTCATATCATTAAAGTTAGTAAAACTATTTCTAAGGCATTAGGTTTTAACTCTTAGAAAAACATACATATTTTTTTCTGTTTATTTACAAATATTTTTCCTATGTGTTTTGGATGTTCCTTCTCTAAAAAAAAAAGGAGATACCATTTTGTTTTCATTTGCAGAAGAAAGAATATCAAACATTTTACTTTTTTAAATTTAATAAATCACAATAAAGAAGGAACGTTACAATGCTGCATTGAAGCCGTCTCCAGAGTAACTGAATGACTGTTCATATAGAAATCACAGGTATTCGTCTCATACAACAACGCCCCCTATAGTTCGTTGCAATCGCGAATTATTATTATTTTTTATTGACCGGGAGACTTTATTTACTTCACCATATTTCTTTTTTTATTTTATTTACTTTTTCTTTGAGCAGTAATTTTAAGCAAATCAACTGTTTAATGTGAACCATCCATCATGTTGCCAAGTTCATATCATGTTCGGAGGTCACCAATGTGGGGAATTAATCTTAGACTATGTCAACCTTCATCTATCAAAAGGTACCTCATGATAAAAACAAGTTAACATGTCTTATATACTAGGGCAGTGATTCTCAACCACTGTGCCGCGGCACTTTTGTGTGCCGCCAAATTCTTAAAATGTGCCGCCTAATATTAGAAATGATACAAAAAAAATTTTAATACTTTTTTTTATTATGAGTAAAGTTTAAATTAAAGAAAAGTGTATATATATATGTACATATACTTTTTATAATTTTTTCCAGGCTTTAACCACGTGAACATTTTTGTCGGCGATTGTCTTGTCTCTGGCAATTAAAAAAAATAATGAAATTAGTAGAAAATTTATTGACTATTAAAATTATTAATTAACAAAAGAAAGAAAGCTAAATATTAACTATTCAATATAAACTAATCATTAAAGCAAGCTATGCAATTAATAGTTATAAAAGCAAATTAACAAAGGATAACTAACAAAAAAATAAGCTAACAATTTGATAATTAGCAAAAAAAAACTAGTTGACAAGAAATCACAAAAAAATAACAGTTAATAACTATAGAAAACAAGTTAACAATTAATAACTAGAAAAAAAAAATAACTGTTACTAACTAATAAAAAATTAGTCGGAAGAAATAATTAATCTCTAAATAAATAAGCTTTTGTAGTACATATTATTTTATTTCACATTCAAAATTATTATCACAAACTATTTAACACAGTGTATTATAGGTTAGTAAACAACTCTTAAACTAATTTTCTTCATTGTGTGCCGTCAAATTTCGAAATCGTTAAAAGTGTGCCGCCACAAAAAAAAGGTTGAGAACCACTGTACTAGGGAATTGATATTTAACATTTATAGTGGTAGTTATGCCACAAGTCAATAAATTCAAAAATAATTAAGCTAAATTCTTTAGTACTGATTTTTTACAATTCCTAGGTTATATCACAGTGAAAAATTTAATAAAAAATGAAATAAAAGAGAAAATATAGCATGTTCTTTTTCGTTTTTACAAGCTATCCGATACATGCAATGAATTACTGAGGTCGTTAAACTCCACCAGGGAAGATCTTTTCGTGGAATAACCCCATTCTCTTGCACAAGAGAGGACCTTGCCAAGTCTTTCTGAGAGCTCTTCACGTTTAGCTTCTGGAAAGTGGAGTGACATTGTAGCTAATAAAAATAAGAGGAAAAAAGTAAAGTGAACAACTTACAAAAAAAAAAAAAAAAAACATTTTTAATTTTTAAATAAATAGTTGATATAAATTTTGCAATAAAAAATTACTTTTTATTTTACTTTGAAGAAAAAAAAGCTCATTAAAAACTGGCTTTTTAATGATGAAGATAGACTACATTCACTTCCCACTACTTCACTGACTAATAGTTTGAGATCAGGTTAAAACCCAAAAATTGAAGGACAAACAGACTAGTACATTCAGGGTATCTGCCACATTTCAGATTTTCAAATTCATGACTTTCCATGACTAATTCCAAGAAATTTTCATGACTTAATGAACAGGGTGTAAATGATTTTAATCAAATGATTAAAATCATTGATTAAAATCATGATTTAAATCAAATGATTTTTTTAAAAAAATCACTGATTTTNGATTAATGAAGCATAAGATTGGGTGAGTATCACTGCGAAAATTTTCTAACTGGTTCAAAACGCTCTTACTATCGGAGTATATAAAATACTTTCGTTCGATATATTTCTCAGATCTCACTCATATAATTCAACATTTCTACTTCGTACTGGATTAATTCGGCCAACTGAAGTGCGCTGGAATTCTATGTGTGATTCATTAGAAAGCTACATCAAGAATTGGTCAACTTTCATGCAAGCTTGTGAGGATAATAGGGATGATATCGACACCAATATCAGGTCAAAAGTCATGAATATGGCAATTAAAAGAAATGCAGAAGATATGCTTTTAATGTTAAAACCCATTTCTGTAGCATTAGATAAAATGCAAAAAGATAATTGTAGTTTATCAAATGTTGTCAACATCTGGAAAAATTTAAAGGAAACTCTGAAAGATTCTAATAATAATTGCTGCAAAAATTTTTTTACTAAACGATATGAACAAGCGTTAACACCAGCTCATTTCCTAGCTTACCTCTTGGATCCTAATTCTGAAGTACAATGTTTAACACTAAATGAAAAAGATCAAGCTGTAAACTTTGTTAAAGAAAAGTATGGAGAAACCTCCTTATTAAGTATTTTGCTAAAATTCATTGTACGCTCTCCTCCGTTTAATGGAACTTTGTTTGATAAAGAATCTCTAGAATCTTTAAACATCTTGGAATGGTGGAAATCAATTGCGCTTCTAAAGAACTGTGTAGGTCAAAAAGAGTTTGATGCAATACAGTTGTTATGTACTGCAAAAGGAACAACTGCAGGGATAGAGAGGATGTTTTCCACTTTTGGACTTGTACATACTAAACTACGGAATCAATTGGGTGTAGAAAAGGCAGCTAAATTAGTCCTTATGTTTAAATCTTTAAATAAAACTAATTAAATGATTGTTTAAATAATTTGATATTGTAGATGTAGAATTAATAATTATCACATATTGTTTGATAAACAATTTCTTTCTTGATTTGTAGTTTGAAATCACTTTGTTATTGTTTATTTCTTATTTCACCTTTTGCTTTTAAATTATTAAGAAATATTTTGTTGATAATGGTTAGTAATGTTTATTTCCAATGTATACCATAAGTAACAATAGTAATACAATACAACTTTAAATCTATGGTACACAAAATTGATTATATTCCATAGAATTGAAATTATAAAAAAATCATGATTAAAATCAAAAAAATCCGATTAAAATCAAAAAAATCCGATTTTTTTGATTTTTTAAAAAAAATCATGATTTTTATACACCCTGTTAATGAAGCATTATAATCAGGGTTGCAAAAAACCCACCTGCCCAATAAAACCCGCCCAGGTTTTACTGGGTAAAACCCACTCTAAAGTGGGTTTTACTGGGTTTTTCTAAGATTGATTTCTTTTTTTATCCTCTGTTATATTAAAGAGCTATTCTATTGAAATATTTATGTAGTCTAGCCTAAAAAAAATTAACCTATAGTGAAAAAACTAATTGTGTTGGAGACAGGAAAGTCAAATTGCTGACTAGATTTGACTGTATGGTCATTGATTATTCAATGCCATTTATTCGCTTTCTATGCCAATAAAGAATGTTCCTCAAATATTTTTTAAGATTAAAATATAAATAAAAAGTAATCCTGTGTTAAAATAAGTTTCAAATGTGTGATGTATGTGAGTACATATAACATTTTGTATCGTGATGTCAGAAGAAACTTTTTTCTGACTTTCACATCAATTTATTTGTATTAATTATCTATATGAAGTCAATTTATAAAATTAAACTTAATTATTAATATTAAAATAAGCTTTTTTAAAATAAGGTACTTATCCCTGCCTCTCTTTTGAAAAAGCCCCCATGAAAAACCCAGAAAAGTCCAATAGAACCCAGAAAAGCCCTATAAAACCCACCCAGGTTGGGTTTTTCTACAAAAACCCGGGTTTTTTGCAACCCTGATTATAATAGCAAAATTGAAATGATAGGTATAATCAAAACTGTTATACTCTTCATCTTCATATGTATTGATTTTAAATTTGAAAAACAGAGTAAAGAAAGAGTTGAAGCAATGAAATAGCTGAAAAAATAAGCTGAGCAAATAATTTTTTTCTTCTTTTTTTCTGCAGAATTATATTCTAAAGATACTTTTCTTGTTCATCAGAAAGAAAAGAAGTACTCCTGATTTTCCTGCCTGTTTCAGCTATAATTTTAAATTGATAAAATAAAAATAATAATAATTCTGAAATTACAGAAGTTTAAAAGATACTTCACTCTAGAAATGATGTTTTTTCTTTCATTTTTTAAAATAACACCATAATTTTTAAAGAACATGATAAAAACATTTTATATTTTAATAAAATATGATTCTGAGTGGGGATTTTGTTACAAATTCAGATATTCGAAACACCATGAAATTGGGGGGGGGGGTTCCATTTTAAAAATAAAATTCTTTGGTGACCTAAATCCACGACTTTCCATGATGTTTTTTTAAAAGATAGTTAAAATCATGACAAATTTTGCTCAATACCGAAATTCATGACTTTTCAGGTGCGCGGATATCCTGTACATTAAGGCATGGTGACTGTGCAGGCAAAAGCCAGGCTTAGAAGAAAGTTCTTCATAAAAAAGAAAAGAAAGTTTTGATATTCTATTTTATTTCTGGCAATTCTCGGACACACATATAGATATATATTTAAATGTTTTATTCTTTTATCATAATTTGACTATTTTCAAGCAATGTAATTTACAGCAGTGGAGCATGTATGGGTATCACATGTTTTTTTTAAATCAAACATTTTAACTTAAATGTTATTTTTAAGAAGACTTCTTTTTATTTCAAACTATTCTCTTAAATTTAAATCTATCTTTTCCTTTAGAATGTAATTATTGCTTTTTAATTTTTTTCCACAAATAAGCTGTATAGTAAGAGATGGTAAACTATGGATGGTGTTTTCTACACTAGGGAACGCTGCAAGCTCCATACTGCCTATACTTCCGGGTTACTGCTTCAGGTGTATTTTAAAGCCATTTGGTGCTCACAATACTTTTGTTTACAATGCTAAAGGTGCTAACACAAAAGTAAGATGGTGCACAGCTTGCAACAAGAACTTACAGTAATAAACAATTGGAAAGAGGGCAAATCAGGATTGCCAAAAAAGCGAGTTATTCAAAATCTAGCAACCATGTCACCTTTTTTAACAATATATCTATAAATAACTAAAACAAATTTTCACTTCAAACTCACCAGAATTACTTAATATCATTAATATTTTATTAAATACTGCAGATTTGAACTCAGAAATGATCTATTTACTTCCTTTATTGAAAACAAAATTATCTGTTTGAAAATATCGCCTCGCGGAATAAGCTGTAGTAAGCAGTTGCAAACTTTCTAACCAGAACTAGAGCAGGTATTGAGCTTGAGATTGTTATTATTTACATTTGTATTGAAAACAGCATCCATAGTTTCAACAACTCAATGACTAAAATCCTAAGCAATTAACTTTAAATATCCATTCTCTTTTTCACCAACATAGAACAAATGCCTCTTCATTTTCCATAAAACACACTCAATATAACCCTGGTCATGAAGCTTGGAAAAATTTAAAAAAAATTTAAATTCATTCTATTCATTGTTTAGAAATAAAAAATGCATACCCAAAAGCACATGATATATTTCCCTCAAGTCTTCAAGAGATTTCTTTCCCTTTCTCCCAAGTCTACTGTATTGCAGAGCAACATCTTTCGCAATAAATTTTTTTAATAAGTTAGTGGTAAAGAAGGACAATTGTTTGCCATAACATATATTTGAAAGGTAGCTAACCTAAAAGAAAAATAAAAGCAAAAAATTATTATTGAAGCAAAATAGACAGAAAAATTTTAAGGAACCAGTTTAAGCATAATTTAGTATTTATTGCTGTAAGACAAATTGCAATAAAATGTAAAGTAAAAGAGCAAGGCAAAGCTAACTAAATATACAAATAAATTTTACTAAAGTAAAAACTTTTTAAAAATTTATTTTTATTTGAGAAATTTAAGTAAGTTTAACTCACTTATTGTATGATTAACAAACAATTATTATGATGGTTATTTTACAAAATGTTTGGAATTAGTAAAATAATAAAAACTAAACTTTTTTTTTATTTTAATTTCCTTTTTTAAAAAATTTAATTTGAAATGAGTTTTGTTTTAGTCCCCCCCCCCTAAAAGATTATATTTTAAATAACATCTAAATGGTATAAGCTAGCTAAATATTTTTTCCCTTTTTTTTTTTTTTTTTTTTTTTNTTTTTTTTTTTTTTTTGTCCAGCACCAAAATATATCTAAATGATTAAAATTTAAGAAATGTTTTAATATATTTAAAAGAGATTTAACCCTTACTGGACTAACACCACATAAGTTTTTGACACCACTTTTGTACTCTATATTTCATTTATTTTAGATAATATATATGCTGAATATATTATTTTTAAAATATTAAATGACATTAAAAGAAAGGATTTATGTCTTCATTATATAAGGAATCAACATTTTGTCAAAAATAAATAAGAAACTGCTTGTACCTTTCTAAATTTAAGTGGCTACAATAAATTGATTTGCTTTTAAAAGTGTCTGCAAAAAATTAAATATAGCACACGAAAAAAAAAATTTCTTTGAAATATTATGTCAATAATTATTTATAACAGGGTTGGCAAGGTTTAGAACAGAATGGATTAATACACGGTTTAAACCGTCCTGTCAAAAACCCTTTTACTCAAATTATGTCACAATTTTATCTGAACAATATTTAAAAGGTAAAATAAGCATAGAACTAATAACATATTTATAATTAAATCTACTGGAGAATATTTGTTTTTTAAAGTATAATGTTTTATTAATATTGTTTGACTCTTCAATTTAAACATTAAACAAAGGAGATTAATCAGTAATCAAGTTCAATTGGTCCTCTTTAAATTCAATAGCACATAACTGAAGTTTGACCTTGCCAATCAGGTTAAGCTATTAGGGACTAAGTGTTTGGTTAGTCATAAACAGGTTTATTTATCTATAGTACTGTTCAAGAATATTGTTATTTCATTCATGTTCAATTCGTTTAGCATAGTGGTGATACATCACCAGTGTCAGTAACTGAAACTGATGTTATGCCCTTTAAAACAGTTAATACATTTTTCAGTTATTTTGTATTTCCAATTTAAACTAATATATTTATATTTAAAAACAATTTTTTACTTAAATAGATTTTTTTTTATCATCCAGTAATGCAGAATTTATAACATTTTTTTTTTTAAATATTGTGAAAAATAAAAGGTTGATTTTTAAACAAATTTAGTATTTTTTTTAAAAAAAAAATTTTTTTTAATAGTGCATTATTTATTCTTATGTAAAAGCATAATTTATCAGTATTAAAAGCATATTTATATTTAAAGGATAAGACATTCACTTTTGTCTGTCAATGAATTGTGGACCTTCAAAAATTATAAACCTTTTCCTATTATATAATATTATTTTCCTTTAATAAGTTAAAGTAAATTGCATAAAAAATATAAAATATTTATAGATACATGTAATTATTATGTGTACAATGGTTACATATATAGAATTTTTACCTTTAACCAAAGTTCAAGGTTTTGGACACTTTAAGACAGTTTTACTCAGTTTACGACAGTAAAACCCATGTGTCCTGTCCAAAACTAGTTTAGGACGTCCAAAACCCCAACCCTGATTTATAAGTTAATCAATTAAAAAATACTTTAAAAATGTTATAATTACCAAAATTGAAGACAATTTAGTATCTTCTGATAACTTTTGATTTAAACAAACTAAATCTTCATCTGTTTGGATTGGCAAATCAAGGTTCGGAATAGGATTGGAAGTAATGGGACTGGCAACCTTTTTTCCAGCATCAATTTGTAACCCTACTAATGTGGCATTCATTCGGGCATGCTCCTGCGCCAATTTTTTCATCTCCAGCCTCAACCGCTCCAATTCACAAAACAAACGTTTCACTAAATAAAAGATAAAATCAAATTTTAATATTTGCACTTGCAGTTAACAAAATAAAGACTAATAAAGATAATTTGTATTGGATCTTAAAGAGACACCTTTTTTCTGCCATACTTGACACTATAGGGACTGCATCGTTCCCTGGAGTGACAAATGTACATAATAATTACTAGGGCACTTAAGCTAATTCCGTGACCTTAATGGTAGATTCCACACAATGCGTAACTATCATTGTAACATCAAAAAAAGACAACTTTAAGATGCAAATAAATATGATGATGTATGACAACATGGTGACAGAAACATACATTAGCTACAGTGTGATAGCTTTAGCAATAGGACATAAGCACTGAATAATAAGTGATTGCTAAGCATTGAGGTACAGACAAGAGCTCCATTTATGCTCGTAGAATTGACTTTCTATAGATGCCAACAACTACATGTCTAATATGAACTATTGAAATCATTAAAAATTATAAATATATTAGAATCCATAATTATGACATAAAAAGACATGCTGTTGTTGTTACTTAATCCACTTGGCCCAGAACAAGGCTAGACCAAGAAGACCGTTCACCGACAGAAAATCATATACCATCGCCGGACCCTCCAAGATAAAAATTCTTCTCTAGTCCCATACAGGACAGCAAATGATCAGGTGTAGCCTGGTGCACATTACATTTTAGGCATACAGGGAAAGTTCATGGGGAAGGAGAAGTGTGCAGCTTCTGTTGGTACTAGAACCGTGGAAGAAGACTGACTTTGCCCATTGTCTTTATGCTTTAGCTCGGTATAGTGGAATGGCCTACCCGCCTTGGGTGACCCAACCAGGAGTATAAAACTCCGGACGTACTTCACCCATTCCACCACCAAGAGGCAGCATAATAGGACTGGGGGGGGGAGAGAGATATGATACGATGAATCGAGCGACATCTCTACCCCTAGGTGACGAACTGCAGGTTCATCGGAATAGGTGTGAACAAACGTCATAATTTAGTTAAGAACGTTTGTTCATTGGTGCAGTTGATCAATCTACAAAACGTTACATGGCTTTGTAAAATTTGTCAAAAAATAGTTTACAATATTATGTAAAAAAAATATTTAAATGTTATAAGCAGGGTTGGCAGGTTTTTGACATGTGACAGTTTTTGACAGTTTAAACCATGGTTTAAACCGTCACGTCAAAAACCTCACTGTCAAAAATGTCAAAAACCTATATTCATATGTGAAATTTAATTAATACATAAAATTTATATATTTTTTATAAAGGATAGTGTTTCTAAATATGTTCTAGAAAAAATAAATTTAAAATTTTGAAGAAACACTTATATTTTGAATAGTAACCAAAATCTTGTACTTTTGAAAGCTCACATCTTTTGTAATATTATGTATTCATTTTCATGTGTTATTGAAAATCTGCAGTGATATTATTAAGAAATTTATTTATAACCAAATTTAGTGTATAGTATAGATTATACTAAAAATTAGACATTTTTAAAGATAAACATTAGCAGTTTTGTACATTAGACATCTTTTAAAGAAAAATCTTTTTAATATTCTTTTAAATCTTCTTAATAATCTTTTTAACATAAGACAATACAAATTTAAGTGCTTTCTGTTAAATACACAGAGTAGTTAGTGTCGATTTACAGTATATTCAGCCTATTCATTTACTATGCTGAAAATTTAGTTTATCCAAATACTTGTGAATTTCATTTTGCTGAATACGATATAGTTTTGTTGAATATCTAAATATTCAGCTGTTGAATAATTACTTCTTGCTTTCAAGATATGCATTATTTGTATTCTTAATACAAGTGGAGAAAAAAAAATTAAGAGATAAAAATTGTTTTAAAATGATAAGTGTAATAATTATAAATAAATATAATAAACAATATGAATTATATTTATCATTATTCATAAATATAACTACTTTTAAATTCAAATTAACATACTGGATAATAAAGATATTCGGTATAACATTAAAAAAAATTTTTTATACACTTGTATCTTATATCAAGTTTGTATTTATACAACATAACTTGTAAGTTCCTTATAAATATTAGTTATATGTTCCTTATATGTCAAAAATGCATAGTAATAAACTTTTATTTTTCTTAAGTATCAAAAAAAAATTTTTTTGATACTTAAGATATTGAAATTTAATTATACTATAGGTAATAAGCAGGTTTTAAAATATTTTTTAATTAAAATTAAGGTAAAATAACAGATTTAAAATCTCAGAAATGTATATTCAAATGCATGTGCAGAAAAATTTTGCACAAAATTTTTTTAAATATTCAAAATATAAATATTTAAAAAAAATTTGTGCAAAATTTTTCTGCACATGCATTTGAATATAAATTTCTGAGATTTTAAATCTGTTATTTTACTTTAATTTTAATTAAAAAATATTTTAAAACCTGCTTATTACCTATAGTATAATTAAATTTCAATATAATGCATGGCAACTGTTGGTAGTTTTGAAGTTTATATATTTTTTTTGGCAAACTTTAGTTTTTGACATTTTTGACGGTTTAAACCAGTATTATACCCTTGTCATGTCAAAAACCACTTTCTGACGTCAAAAACCCAACCCTGGTTATAAGTTTATAAAAGACTATATATTAAGACAACTTTTATTTAATCATTATCAATAAATAATGATAGAAATAATTGAAATAACAACTCACTCATTCCAAATAATGAGGCAGCATTGGCTCCAACAACACCAATAATTTCTGGCACTGGAACTGCAACAGAGGTTTCTGGATACAAATTATTCAGCTCTGGCATTGCTGGAAACATCTCTGGGACTTCGCTGGAAGTCTGCGGAACTTCATCAAGGTTAATGGGAATTGATGGGGCCCCTACAAAAATGATAAATAGCAAACTAATCTTAGGAGTAAGCAAAAATTTAATAATACTTTAAAACAAGCCGAAAAAGTTAACTAATAATTTTATGAAAAATTTAAAAAAATTTCTAAAAAAACTATAACTAATACTTATTATACAGGCAGGGTAAAAGAATACAAAATATTTAATTCTAAATTGACAAAACTATCTTTGAAAGAAACGAGCTTAAAAGCAGCAGAATTTTCAAAAGAAAGAATAAATATAGCAATGAAGGAAACAAAAATATGACCACCGAAGCTGACGTCTTCAGGGGGTACCGGCCTCGGAAGCCATAAAATAAAACCTTTTCTACTGAGAGAGAGGCCAAATTAAATGCCGAAATTAACTCTCTCAGTACCCCGAAGGTTTTGTAGAAGTCCAGGAAAAAATACATGTAATACATAAAACCAATTCAGAAAAGAAATTCAAACAAAATCTTGGAGACAATAAATACTCACATTAAACCGGTCAAACAGCAACTTCACAAACAAATCAAATGTAAAGGAAACACTTAAAACAAAAGAAAACAACGCCCTCTATTAAAATGTGCAGAATGAAAAAAAAAAGAAGAGAAGAAAAAGAAAAGATTACATAACAAATTAATATAATGCATAACTGGGGCTGCTCAGTTAAGACTTGAATTGCGCCCTGTTAAAAGAAATAAAAAACTACTATTCTTCAATCATTTTCTTAATCAAAAAGTTAACATTACAAAAGTTAAAAGGAAAATCATTATTTCTCAAATTATTAAAAAAATTATTCACAACCTCCTGAAAACTTTCAACGGTACTAAGAGAATCTGAGTACCATACTGAGGGTACTGAGAAAATCCTAACCAATTGTGAAAAAACTAAATTTTTTAAAATTTTATTACACAGATTAGTATTAAAGTTGCAGAAAAAAATAACTTTAAATTTAAAAGATTTTCTTTTATCAAAAGCACCAATTTTAATTATTTTATCAACAATATCAATTTTAAAATCTAAATATTCAACATTTAAGCAATTCTCATTAGTTTTCTTCAAAACCAAATCTTTAGGTTAAATACTCTATATAAAATTATAATTCACAATTAACAAAATCAAATTATCAATATATCGAAAAGCATTAAATTCATTATACTCAAGAATTTCTAGCATTAATACTTTTGATTTTGAAAATTTGTAGTGGAATATTTGTTAGGCATTTATTTAATGAGAAAATTGGTACCTAAGTCTTATTGGTTGGATTTATGTAGCTTTAATCTTTTTGAGAATGTTCTTTTTAATGGTTTAGATTTTTATAAACAATTTATAGAAATTCCCCAAGGTAATTCCTTTTCTGGTGCTTTTGCTAATATTTTTTTGCGTTTTTTTTTTAATGCTAAATTTCTTGAGTATAATGAATTTAATGCTTTTAGATATATTGATGATTTCATTTTGTTTAATTGTGATAATTATAATTTTATTTACAGTACTTATCCTAAAGATTTAGTTTTGAAGAAAACTAATGAGAATTGCTTAAATGTTGAATATTTAGATTTTAAAATTGATATTCTTAATAAAATAATTAAAATTGGTGTTTTTGATAAAAGAAAAGCTTTTAAATTTAAAGTTATTTTTTTCTGCAACTTTAATACTAATCTGTGTAATTTTTAAAAATTTAGTTTTTTCACAATTGGTTAGGATTAAAAATATTTGCAATAATGTTGAAAGTTTTCAGGAGGCTGTGAATAATTTTTTGAATATATTTTATTGCTATATTTATTATACAGACAGGGGTCTGTTTAGAAGAAATTTGGGTCTGTTCACAGACCCTTCACAAAATATCTTTTCATAAAAACGAACCCTTCACAAAATATTTTAACTTAAAAACGGACCCTTCACAAAATAATTTATCTCTTAATCGGACCCTTCACAAATTTGTTTATCTTCAGTATTGTTTTATTAATCGAATAAACCCTTCACAGGGGGGGGGGGAGAGAAAGACAGAAGTAAATGAACTAAGTTTTGTCTTCGGCAGACGCTTCTTCCTTTATTCTTCCGAAATGAATATTCTGCGTTCAGCAGTATTGACTAAATACCAAATATTTGTATGTTGCATCTCTTATTTATTAGCAGCAATTGCTGTTTATCTTTCAAAATTTAATTTTTTTTAATTACAATTTTACAGTGTTGAGCATAATCTTGTATCTCTTTACAATTTAAAAATTCCTTGAAAATGTTTTTTGCAATAACAGGACCCTATTTGCACAAATTCACAAAAGCAGAACTGAAAGAATGTGACTTAACGTTTATTTTATATTCACAAATTACGAGTAATTTTTTCACAATTTTACAAAAACGAGCCTTTCACAAAATGTCTGGACAGACCCCTGACAAAAATCTATAATTGCCAATCTGGCTAGATAAAATGAATATAGTAGAATTTTGCAATTTTTAATATTTTTTATTAAAGCACACTGTATATTATAGCATTAAAATTAAATCAAATTTGAACATATACAGACATCGAGAGTAATCTCAATGTCACTCTCTGCCAACATAGATTCCGAATAGCTTTGGGATGACTGCGCAACAGCCGGGATTTCAGTGGTAACTGTATAAAGTGAAATAAATCTTATATTTATAATGTTGACTTTAAAAGTGAAGATAAATAAAAATTAAAAAATATACTCACAACTTAAAGAGGGTGGGGTGTGTGCCTTAAACCTTTTCTTTCTAGATTTCTTAGAATTTGAAAAATTTTCCAGATCATCATCTGTACTGGAATCCTGCCTAAATCGTACAGGTATTTGCCGTTTCCTTTTTGTATTAGTTGTCTCATCTTCAGACGCAGATGACTCAAGATTTGATGTTTCTTGCGCTTCTTGAGCTTTAATGTGAGCACTTTTAAAACAATCTAAAATTAAATTTTTTTCTTTTTTAATCTTCGTAAAATCCTAATGAAAAAAATAATAAAAAGAAGAAAAAATACTAACTGGAAGAGCAAAGAACTTTAACTTTAAAATTCTCCCATTGGTCATCAGCAGGCAAGTTGTCCTGCAGATACTTAGTAATTTTACAAGTGGGCAACTTGCTGGGCCACTTCGCCACACCTTTGCCCAATAACCACTTAGTCGGTATGACTTCGACAGTGTCACTTTCTGTGAAATTCACAACAGCATACTTTTTTCCTTTGAAATAGATTTTTACATACAATAAAATTAAACATTTATATACACAGTACAAAAATTATGATGAAGGTATGAAGTATAACAATATACTTATAACAGTGTTTTCATTACAGAAAAAAAATGAGAGAGAATTTCTCACCCTTTCTCAAAAACAGGGTGAGATCTCAAAAAGTTAAGTGAGATTTCTAAAAATTAAAGAAACGCGAATAGACTTGGGGAAAAAAAAAATTTCCTTAATTATAATACATTTTTAACATCTTCTAATTTTTAAAGCATTGAATATTTTTGCTGCATCATCATATGGAAAACGTTCTATATCTACTTTTTCATCAGCTTTTCTCATTAGGTTGCTCAAATGTTTATCAGTCATTTGTATACGATATTTTGTCTTAATTCGGTTTTGAGTGCTAAATGACCTTGCAACAGATGCTGAACAATTCGGAATCACTTAGTAAATTTGTAGCATTGAAAAAAATTTAAACGTCTTACATGAAGAAATCTTACACGTGGTTGTAGAAAAATTTGTTCTGAAAGGTGTTCCGTCATTCGGGAGGGGGGGGGAGCATTGTGTTCTGCTGTTCGCACCGGTTCTGAACTATACTGGTAAATAGGGAAGCTAGATAACAGGGATCCATGTCGAAAATAATGAAAGATCAAGGAAGAAAAGTTAAACGGATTTTATTCAAAATAGCAGAAGACGAATTTTTTTCCAAAATTCGCTAATTTTGAAATTGATTAATAGAGTGCGCAATCTTCTCACGTTAATAATTTTTTAATGCAAGAAAAGAAAAAAATAAGCGAGATTCTCGCGCTGTAGTGAAAACACTGTTATAATGTAAGATGTCGAATTAAGTGCATAAGCATATTTACATGATGAAACAAATTAGCACAATATTTCTCTAACTATTTCAGCTCTGCAAGCTGTTAAGTTCAAAGACAAAAAAAAATTTGGCGACATCCTTCCCAAAACTGTTTAGAAAGAGTGCAAAAAAAAAGTATAAATGTTTTGAAGAGAAAATAAAAACTATAATTTATTATAACTTTATAGCTCAAAAAATGCATTTATAAACATTTTAGACAAGTTTTGGCTAGCCTGTCAAGGTGAAAAGAGGTCGTTATTTTATTACTCAAAATAAAAAAATGAATAATTATTCAAAGTAATAATTTTCCATTTAGAATAATTGTAAATAGTAAAATTACAATGCAATTGAAAAAAAAAAAAAAAAACCCCATGTACTTCACAATAGATTTTTAAAAAACTGAATCACAACTATTTTCTTTCCGTTGCTAACACTATCAACATTAGAACAGAATCTGCAAAAATAATTTTTAAAAAAAATTTATATTTGATCAAAAAATTTTTTTTTCGATATGTGGGATACTGATTTTTCATCTGCACACTTAAACTGTATCACATAATTTACTTGCTTTACGATCAACAAAGAGGCAACATCCATTTGAATTATACTGGCGTGCAATAGAAAAATCAAAAGTGACAAGAAATTCGCAAATGAGATTTTCACATATATTTAATATTTTTATATAGAAAGCTTCACATTACAAAAAAAAAAAAAAAATTCACAACTAAATTTTTTTTAAATCAGTTTTCCGAAAATTTATTTTAGCCTTGTTAACATTATCAAGGAAAGAGAATAGTCGTCAAACCACTTCTCTCAAAATCTTTTGTAGGGCAATATAAAAATGGTAAAATATTCAGAGTTTAATATTTCAAAAGTGAAAAACGGTTGAGCAAATAGGTAATTCCATGGTTTTGCAAATATAAATATTTTGTATTTGTTTTTATTTATTTATTTTTTGGATAATATGTGTCTAGGCCAGGAATAATTAGTAATTTTTTACCGAATATGAACACATGAAAATAATTTTACTAAATGTGCAAGAAATATACAAATATATTTACAAAAAGTATGCAAAATAATAATTTCTAAATGTCCCTACACCATGGAATTGCCCAAATGTACAGTGAGAGTGCTTTTTCTAAGACCATACAAAATATGCAATGCTTCTTGCCCCTCAATTTGGTACATCACATTTTGAAGGAAAAAAAATTCATACAATAGCAAATAAACACCTACATAAGAAAAATTTACAAATTTATGAATAAAGACTATAATTGTTTAACTCCCAGATACAAATACATTTTGCAAACACTTCACTAAATTTGACTGAAATGGGTTCATTTCCCAAAAGATCAAATTTAAACATAGCTGTAAGCTCTGAGTCGCATGGTTAGTTGTAAAAATAATCTAAGGTTGAAAACTGGTCACAGAGAAATATGCATTCGCCTGAAGATTTTCTTAAAATATGTCTTATTTTCATTAGCTTTTTATTGTTGAATTGTATACATGAATCTTTACATTTGATTATTGAAAATCTTCTATTATCAAACAAAACTGCACCATATTCACATTCAGATGTGCCATTGCAATAAGCATTCCCTACTAAGGGATGCAGCCATGTTACTTTAATGGCAAGTTCTGGGTTGAGAAAAGAAGTATCCTCTGACAAACATTTACTGATTTGAGCCAAATGCTTTGTTTTTGTTCTAAGAAGTTGCTTCAACTGGCCAAGATAGTTTTCAAATTTATACGCAGAAAAATTAGGCAAGCTTCTGTGTTGCCTAACATCATCAGCTAAATGCAGCAAATTATGAACATTATATACAATAGAAGCATCACCATAATATTTCTGCATGTCTTCAACAAAGGAGTATAACAATTGCTCAGCAAAGGTTAATGTAAATTTCATTATTGCACAATAAAGGATTCGACAAAACAGATATGGCTGTAGAACATAGAAAATGTATATACAATGGTTCAGGCAAAATATTTTTCATAACAATGGGACCGGTGTATAATAAAAATGTACGATATTCAGTGGCCTTCCATCTAGCCACCTCTTTTAGAGATCTCGGCTGACGATTGAATTCAGAAGGCAGACATTCTTTTAATGAAGCAAGCTCTTTTGAGAAGCTTCTGTAGACTATATAAATACAGCAATGAAGAAAACGAAGGAAATAAAAATATGACCACTGAAGCCAACGTCTTCAGGGGGTACCGGCCTCGGAAGCCATGAAACAAAACCTTTTTTATTGAGAGAGAGGCCAAATTAAATGCCAAAATTAACTCTCTCAGTACCCTGAAGGTTTTGTAGAAGTTCAGGAAAAAATACATGTAATACATAAAACCAATTCAGAAAAGAAATTCAAACAAAATCTTGGAGACAATAAATACTCACATTAAACCGGTCAAACAGCGATTTCTCAAACAAACCAAATGCAAAGAAAACACTTAAAACAAAAGAAAACAATGCCCTCTATTACAATGTGCAGAATGAAAAAAAAGAAGAGAAGAAAAAGAAAAGATTACATAACAAATTAATATAATGCTTAACTGGGGCTGCTCAGTTAAGAATTGAATTGCGCCCTGTTAAAAAAAATAAAAAACTAGTATTCTTCCATCATTTTCTTAATCAAAAAATTAACATTACAAAAGTTAAAAGGAAAAGCATTGCTACTCAAATTATTCACTTATTCGGCAACTGTTTGTTTTTTGTCTCTTGCCATAATGAATCCAATAAAGAATTAACTTTCTTGTCACTCCCAAGTCAACCAGGTGCATAGGATCTAGAGGAAATTGAGAAACTAAACCTATTTCCAGTGAAGTAAGTGGAGAAATCCCATTGTGGTGTTCGTGATGGGCAAGGGAAACAAAATCCTCATCCGCTCTTTTGGGACTTAACATTTCCAGAAACTTTACGTGTCCATCAACCAACAGTTCCTTTTTGGACACATTTCTCACAACCCCAAAAAGCATTGTGGGTTTACACGCATTTAACCCATGCTCGAGCAGGAGCATCACAGTTAAAATGCTCTATGGAAAATCTAAAATTAATATTGTTTTGTTGAAAGCCATTATCTTTTAATTCCTTAACTACCAAGATGGATTTTTCAAAAAACTGACTTTGAGATAGTGGTTTAGATTGGCCATAGTAACAAACAATGCAATATAATATTTTCAGTATACAATGCAATATAATATTTCTAATATTTTCAGCAATGAATTTAAAGCATTATGCTTGATTTTAAATCCAACAGCCCATTCTATCAGTTTGAACAACAAGGACTCTTCATCGCAAAGGATTAGTTGTGTTACAATTAGAAGGTAAACCAGATTCTAATTCCTCAATATCTGATTGACTAGAGCTCAAAAGTCTACTGTCTTGAGACTGTGATCAGCTAAAGTCACTTTCAGTATCAAAAATTATCACAGATTCCAAATCATTTATATTTTCTGCAGGGTCAGATTACCCATTACTAGGCCATGGCCTGGGGCCCCTTTAAAATGGATTTTTCGAAAATTAATTAAGAAAAATAAGAAAAACAATGATTTTTCAAAATATTATCATTATTTTTTAGTTCTAATTTAATAAAATAAAGTAAAATTTAATTTATATTAAATATGCTTCCTTAAATGAAAAGATATATAAATACTTTTAAATTTGAATTTTAAAAAAATATATCAGAAAAAAATTTGATCTAAGGGCCCCAAAAATTCGAATGGCCTAGGGCCTGCATACGTTTAATCCGCCCCTGATTTTCTGAAATACTGATATCATTGGATTCTATGATGGTAGTAGATTCATTCTCAGAATTTTTGTTTTCAAAAGCAGAATTTATGGGTTTGCAAAGTAATATAATTTTTTTTAAATAATTACTGTAGATTGCAAACAACTTATGATGCAAGACATATTTTGTTAATTAAGATAGAAATGCTAATAAATTATAAATTTCTTCTGCAAATAATTTACCTTGACAAAATAATACTTAAAATTTAGATGATATTTAATATATACTCGAACCAAAGTAAAACGAAAATTGGAAAAAATTGTTTCGATCAAAACAAATGATTTTAAGTAAATTTTAACATTGCAAGGCATTTTTTAAATCAAAAATTTATTTGTTCTTAATATTCAGTTACATTAACACATTTCATATTAACTCGAAATATAGCAATCTAGCGTTGAAGAATGCTAAAAGGTAGATTAATTTTTTTTCATTGGCCTCTTAAATAACGTAAATTAAAAATAAAAAGAGTTGAAAACTATTGCTTAAATTTGAATATGAACATTTTCATCTTTAAAATAATTTTACAGAGTACGTTTCGAAAGTAATATTTTAAAAGAAAGAAAGCCAGAATGCAGATAGAAAATCAAAACATAAAGTCTCTTAATGATCAATATCAGAATATACCTTTCAGACGAGGGCAAGAAGATATTAAATAATTTCGTATGGCCTTACTAACTAGAGAGACCAAAATCAACGGTTTTTCAACGTTCCTTTTAATAGATAAATGATTTTTTTTTTACCTGACATTTCCAAGGAAATAAATATCAGTAACAGTTATTAGAAGTTGTTGAACAAAAGACAAATATGGCGGGCGTCTTATAAACAACATCAGCATCAGCATATCATCAATAAGAACAACTCAACTGTCTGTTCATCAATCGCGAAACCGAAACTAACATTTTCTTGAGTTATTTAGCATAACATTGCATTGCTAAAAAAGATATTTCGTAGAAAATCTTATTACTTGTTTTCTTTTAGAAATAAATATTTATTTATTAATAATTTGAGGTGCCGTGGCACAAAAAAGTAGCACACAGCATCAAAAGTAATGAAATAGATGATACTTTTTAAAGTTCGAATACTAGTTAATCTTTCGTAATATTAGCTCTAATATTAGAATAAGATAGGATTCACAAGTCTTGCGTCTTCTAGCACGGCTGAATTATATTCAGTGGCGGATCCAGCGGGGGGGGGGGGGNAGCGTGCCCCCCCCCCCCAAAAAAAAAATTTCGAAAAAAATATTTAAAAAAATTTTTTTTTGATAGTTTGCAGAAAAAAAAAATAATAATTTAATTTTTCAAGGAGACATAAGGGGGAATCTGAGTCTATGACCCCCCCCAGGAAAAATTTCTGGATCCACTCTTGATTATATTGTATCTTTTTTATATTAGATGATATATTTTTGCTCCCTGGGATCTTCCGCAATAATTTCGTGATGAACTCTTCGTATAGGGAAATGATTGTGGACTGATCTGTCAGTCATTTAATAACAAAAAATTCTCTTTGACGGTAATATCGTGTTCAGTTCCTCGGATAGCAACCAGGAAATGATAGGCGATCGCAACTCTCAAATGCGCAATCTAGGGAGAATACCGGTTGCATGTTTTTGGCCCTTTCCCTCTTCTCCTATTTTCAGTTTTATAATAATGTACTACGATATTTTTTCCTTTCTTATTATTTTTGGTATATAATTGTTAAAAATATTCTTAAAATTTCCATGGAGCTTTCTTTTAGAACTAATGTTTAAGGTAGTTTTCAGTTCCATGCAATCTCTTAACTTAAAAGATTTTAATCTATTTGAAAATCGAGACAGAAAAAGAAAGTTATAACTTTCTTTTTTTCTATGACTCTTCATACGTTAATCGTGAAAGCACGCGAAGTGTTGAGTGTTGCCATAGGTATAGAGAGTTCGGCTCTAAGCTACCTGTAGCCCATTTCCATCGATAATTTTATCTAGCACTGATATTGGACACGGTTGTTGTAGTTCATTTACGTCGCACTAGATCTGCGCAATGGGCTATTGGCGACGGTCTGGGAAACATCTCTGAGGTTGATCCGAAGACATGCCATCACAATTTTGATCCTCTGCGGAGGGGATGGCACCCCCGCTTCGGTAGCCCGATGACCTGCGCGCGAAGTCGAGCACTTTACGGTAGCGCAGTTTAACGAGGACCAATACCGCACACCCTCGGTCCCCACGCAGACTGATCCAAGTGGTCACCCACCCGCACACTGACCGTAGCCAGTGATGCTTGACTTCGGTGATCTGCTGGGAACCGTGTCTTAACGATCAGTCCACTACGGGACGATATTGGACACGGAGTTTTAGCTATTATGAGTGCTCTACCCAATCGGAAAGTAGTTTAAATTTTAACTGCAATATTCCATCGACACAGACACTCATCGATCGAGATTTCATCAGAAAGACATCAAGATTCCATTGAGTAAACAAGTTTAATAAAATAAAAATGTTATTATATTAAAAAAAATATTTGTGAGGGATAAAAATGTTTTTTATAAAAACAACAACAAGAACTTTTACCAAACTGTAAAATTATGCTCTTTCAATTAAAATGCTATTTATCTTAGTTTCTTGTTCTTAGTTGGGCCCATGTTCAAGAGGCAGTGAGTTCGATCCCCGCCAAACGAAGACTCCTTGTTTTCAAAATAATGACTGATGCATGCTAAATCTGTCGGGGTCACTAAGTCTTTTAAGTTCCCACAACAAATCAATACCTCTGCGGGTACTGGATCGGTGATTAATCGTTCTCTAGTTCAAATAGCGATAGGTGGATGGATGGTGTGAATGTGCCCTCCCCGCAAAACGGGATGTGGCGTATGTATGTTGTCTTCGGATCATTCTAAGGAACGTAGCTTAGACCGTCAGCAATAGCCCATAGTGCTGCTCTAGGGCGACGTAATGAACCGCACCGTACTAACATAAAAAAATATAACTAAATATAAGCAAAACTACTATTTAAAAAAAAAATTGTAATTGCCAAAAGACGATCACAGGTTACCCGTTGACAAAATAGTTGTCTAATTTGTTACCCTCTTGATTTGTGATATTCACCTGAATTAGTATTCAAAACGATCCAGTCTGAACTGTAGGTTAGAATTTCTGATTCTTAATTAAAACAATAAAAATATCGTTCAAATGATGAAATTGTCTTTTATATAAGTATTTATGGGATCTCTCTGGTCCCATATCTCAAAAATAAACCCACCAATTTAATGCATAATAAAATTAAAAGTGAAAAAAAGAATTGTAAAAAAATTATCAAATAGCAGCGGTCGCCATAGCAACGACGCATGCGCACTGATTACTATTACTCCTGAACACAGTTGAAAAGTGTGATGACATCCAAATAAGGTGCGCACGCCATCAAACCCAAAACAACACCCATTTTGCCAATGGGTAAAAATTAAAATACCATTAAAAATCACTGCGTAATATAGAATATCTCAATGCAGAAGAAGAATGTGAAATAGGAGAAAAGTGTGATAATCATTCCACAATCTTTCTCTTTTGCAACCCCACTGCTTAGGACAAGTCTTAAACCAAAAGTTAAATATCAGAAAATCTAGGCGTTACCAATGCATTGGACATTGCAGTGACAGGTTGACATTAATGTTGTAAGTGAAACTAGCTAATTGTTAATGTTATAAAATATATCTTTAGAACTCTCGCTCATATGATTTAACATCTAATGTGTCTTTAAATGTATGTCAGTCCTTTTACAGGGTTCCCATGGTCTGGAAAATCTTTTTTAAAGTGCTAGCAGAAGTGAGATAGATCTGTTGTTGCTTATCCTTTTCTGGCCTGACGAAGTCAGACCAGATCTATGAACCCCTTGACCTGAATGAAATCGAAGACCAAAAGAGGAGTAGAGTAGATGTCTTTCCAGAGAAGATCAAGACAGCGCAGGATATGATCGGCGGAAGCCTGGTGTAGATATCATTTAGGGCAGAGGGTTTAGGTTTCAGTTCCCTCGGAAAATAGTAAACCTTTTAGATGGCCGATAGCTAAGCGGGAGAGGGTGGTGCAGACTCTCCTTTCAAAGGGAAGAGTCAAAGAAACTCCAGGCTTATTCCCTGGTGCCAATGGTGGGTGGAGGGAATCAGCCAGTCCCTGAGAAGCTATAGATATAGATGCTTTAAGCTACCAATAAATTTTTTTATTTCAAACTAAATATATATGGGACGAAAACAATATCTTGAGAATAGTTTCGTAATTTTCAAAAGAAAGTTTAATTTAAGCATTTTCCCATAGTCTTGAAAAATCTTAGTTACCACTTACTTTTTCCAGGTAGCGGGTACCCTGTTTTAGTGATAATAAAGTATTCTACGTCTGTCCGGTAATAATGCTTTGTTACACTTGCTAAAGTATGGTGTGAAAATTGTAAATTGCATTTACAGTAGAGTCCCAATTATCTGAGCTCCGATAATCCAAGTTTATATATCAAATATTTCAAACAAGGATTTTTTTTTTGCTCTGGTTTGTTTTTTATTTTAAAAACTATGGCTGAAAAAAAGTTCGAATTTTATCTTCCAAACACTCAGGAAAACAAGCTGATGGACAACACGAGATTACCAATGAAACTAGTGTAAATATCGTCAATAATGAAAATGAATCTATTGAAGATGATGAAGACAATGATGATGAAAATCAACTTATAAAAAAATCTTTCATACAGGTGGACTAAAAGCTATGGAATATATTGAACAACAAGAATATGAGACATCAGCCTTCCTGTTATCCCTAAAAAAAAGGCGAAACATTGCCGCAGAAAAGCGTCAAAGTAATGTAAAACAAAAAACGATTAAGGACTTTAAGTAAAAACTCTTAATTCTAGTGAAGTATGTTCCTTAAGTGTTTTTAAGTAAGTTCTTTTAATTGTATGTGGAGTACTCTTATAAGTTTTGTATTTGTTAAATATATTACATTTATGCATACACTTCTTCCCCCTTTTTTATACTCTTCGTTTCATCGGTTGGGTAGATGGTATTTGTTAAATATATTACATTTATGCCTACACTTCTTCCCCCTTTTTTATACTCTTCGTTTTATCGGTTGACCGAGTTAGTCATGGTCTACATTAACTCGGATAATCAGGACTCTGCTGTGTTTCAATTAAAAAAAAAAAATTATACAATGGCTGTTAGTCCTTCGCTTGTCAAAGTAAAGCAACCAGTTCAAATTCTACTCAATGGGAATAATGGATACCGGGCTTTGAAAGATATCCTTTATTTAACGGACTTATAGAAAAAGAAGTAATACAACTAGCTTCTTTAATATAGGAAATAAAAGATATTTTTCTGTCCTCATTTCAAAGAAGAAACTATGCTGTGGTGAAAGCAAAGTTTGGTAACTATTTTAATCCCCTCAGCTAAATCTGATATTTGAATAGGCAAAATTAAACAGGATGGCAAGACAGACTGTGGAAGAACATGCATCGAATTGAGAAAACAATATTCGGAATGAAAAAACAAATGGATACACAGGCATGGTGTCCCCTGATGAAGTGCTGTTCTGCAAACACACATATCTTAAAATATTCTTTGTTTTCTGCTAGAATTGTGTTTCTGACTTTCTAAACTAAATTATAAGGAGTCTCTTTTCTTTTCTTTTTTTTTTTTAATTCTTAAAATTTTATCTAAATCTTATAATTTTGCTATCAAATCAACTTATTCAGACTTGAAAAATGAGAATCAAATTTCATGAACTTTAATGTGTACTAATTTGCTCAATTTATAAAAAAAAAACACGTTTCACAAGATCCAGTAATAGAACAACAACAAACAGAAAAAAAATCTAAAAAATATTTTATTTATTAATAAATTCTGAACCTTACCAAATTATACAACAGTATGACAATATTGTAGAAATTTTTTTTACAAAACACAATTGCTGTATATGTCACCTAGGGGGAAAAGCTCCCATGCCACGCGACCTTTTAAAATCAGACTGTTTCCGTCTGTTATGATTTCCTACTTTAGCTTTGGATCGATCTTTTTGCTGCCTATCATTTCCTGTCGGTCGAGAGCCTAAGAGGAAAAATAAAATATTATGTGCAGCTGCAATAATAATTTAAGTCAAAATATAACATAAGCTAATAATTTACTAGTTTCAGACAAGAATGATGTCATAATGATAAATGCTGGGCACACACAATAAACATTAAAATCAGGGTGCGTAGAAAACAAGCACCCTTTAAGTACTTTTTAAGCACTTAAAAAATATTTTTAAGATCTATATACATTAACAAAATGCAAAACAATTTTCAAAGACTTCACATAATCATGATAAAATAACTAGTTTCTGACAAAGAAAACTTTTCTTGATTGTATTAGCCAACATAAAATGATAGAGAGATTTTCCGGTTCGATTTCAGAGGGTGGAAAATGAAGCCTGGAATTGAGAATATCTTGCAAAATGCGGCAAAGTCGCACACGAGAGTGCTAGAATCTCACTGAACCCATCTCAGTAGACGCACATGCGGAATCCCAAGTATTTATTTCATCAAACATGTAAAATGATTGGCGCTTTCATATGCTATGGATGGATACGGGACGCTGAAATGGATTGTGTTTGAATGAATTGGGAAAACGTTAGAACAATTTGAAAAGCAGGCTTTTGTATAACACGTGGAGAAAATCGACATGGTAAAGAAAAAAAATCTCATTTTCGTAAAGAGAAAATTAAACACTTTTTAAAAACTCCCAATGAAAAAAGCACCTTTAAGGGCTTTTAAAAAGGGAAATTGAAAATAAGCACCTTTAGGCACTTTTTAAAAACGCTACGCACCTTGAAAGTTTGCTTGAAAGTGCCTAGTAAGCCTGAATTTCATGCTTACATCAGACAAATTTTTTTTTTTTATGAATTCTTCGTCTTTTCTTGTAAAGCTTGATTCATTTTGAAATCTTTTTTCCTATGAAATGAACTTTTTATTTTTTGAAAACTCAAAGAACTCTTTTACCCCAAGTTGAAAATATGTTACCTTTCTGAGGAGAATAAGTCAAACAGAAATAAAAGTCGAAGTTTCCATTTTTTAATTTAAGCCATACTTTAACCGCTTCCCTGATCATCTCGAGTTAACTCGGTTATGTACAGATTGCAAATACTTATTATCCCGAGAAAACTCGGGCGTAGCAGAATTTGTCAGTTTGTTTAGTTTTATCACATTTTTACTCGGCTGGAAGCAAACAAAACATAGTCTGCAGAGCTTGGAAATTTGCCAAATTTTGTTTGGGAGTTTTGCCTTTGGATTGTGAGACTGTACACTTTGTGTGATTGCATATACGATGGTTACTGAATTTACATAGAAAAAGAAATAAACAAAAAAGGCGTATCACTTCATTAGTGTTTGGAAATTATCACTTTGCGTTGTTCCTTGTTTTAAAAACTATCTTACAGACTAACATTTAACTTTTTTCATTTGTCTGAGATAACTCTGGATAGTAAACTGATAGTAAATTTTACACACAAAAAAAATTTAAAAATTCAACTTAAAACTTGTGTATTATGTTTTGCTTTAGTTCCTTGTATTTATTAATAAAATAAGAAAATATGCTAATTTTTTGCACTTTTTTTTCCAAAAAAATTGGTAAGGAAAGAAGTTAATAATAATAAAACAGTAATAAAAAATTAAACTGTAACTTTGCTTTTTTTCTACATCTTAAATTATTTTAATATCTGCAGAGCAGAAAATTCCACCAATGCTCTAAATGAAGTACAAAAAAACAGTAAGAATACGAAAAAAAAATTTAAAATTTATGATTTCTTTATTTAAGGGGTTACAGTACCCAAAAAATGACCAAAATATCGATATTTTTTTTAAAAAAATTGCTTATAATAAAACTTCAAACTATTTCAAATGCACTGAAAATCATCTCTCTATCTACATTTTTAAAAAAGTTCTGAATGATATAAGATTGCCCTAAAACAGAAACTTGATCAGAAGACATACTTTAAAGTTCTTTTTCTGATAATTTTGTGTTTTAATCTTAATTAAATCCCTAAGAAATTTTTAATATTTAAGATAAAGCTTTGAAGTAAACTTTTTTTTTTATATCTTAAGTATAATACACTTATTTAAACTGTGCATGGAATAAGTATTTTATGAGGTATTAAAATTTTTACAGCATGTTATATGTATATATACCTAACAGGAATTTTTAACCTTTTTTACAAAATAATCCAAGAAAAATGTTCAAATTGATCTATCAACAAATAAATGTGAGAAATTATTAAGATGAATATTGTAAGCACTAAGAAATATATTTTTTTAAATGTGTTAAAATAAAAAGGCCTTAAGAATTTAAAAATTTTGAAATTTCTTTAAAATTTTAAAAAAATTAAACAGTTTAACGATTTTTTGAAGATAAATTATTGATTATAAGTTGAAGGAGAATGTAAAGCATTCACAAAATGAATGATTATAGCTTTAATGAAAAAAAATGTTGCAAGGGTACTGTGACTCCTTAAATTTTGTCATTTTTCTTCAACAATTTAGTCGTCAAGTTCTAATGAAATTGATATTTAATGTATGCACGGATGGTTGGTTAAATATGGAAAGCCTGGCCAAAAGTACATATTTTTCAAAATGAAAAAAAAAGACTATATATACCTCCTGGTCTGACGTCTTGTCTGAATTTATTTCTCCGTTCTCTCAGGATCTCCGGATTAATGCAGAAATCTTGAGGTTTGTCTCTCAAGTCATCGCCCCTTTTCTAAATTAAAGCAGAAAGCATGGTCAGGCATATTTATACTAATCAAATCGCATTTCAATAGAAAGAATGATAAAACTAATGGGGAAACTTTTAGTAAGGATAATATAAATGAGGCTCTTTCATAAAGACTTCATTTTGAAGCCTTACGTCAGACATAATTAAACAATGTAGCAACGAAGGGTAACTCAGAAGCATAGCTATAATGTTCTGCAACAAGACTTTTAATAATTATACATTTTTCCGAAGTTATTCATCAAAACTAACAATAAAAAACTCTAAGTATATTATTACCATTTTACAAAGAACAAAATTACTTGGTTAAATACCAGATGACTTAGTAGTTAAATACTTAATATTTATGTATCACTAAACTGTAATGCCAGGTGGTGTTGTAAGAGAGAGAGAGGGTAATCAATGGTGGGGTCACGTTTTCTTTACTTATGTAACATGGCCAGAATGAATGAAAATCTCTCAAATTGTTGCCTACATATTTAATCTATTTAATTGGAACTAAGTCTAAGAATCCTTTGGCACTAGTTAACCCAATAGCGAAAACCAAACGTCTTCATTTCCCCCTCAGAAGCAAGCAGTGATTTTTAATCTAACTCGATAGTGGTGCCATGGCTACAAAAGAAAGCTGTTTCCCTACTTTGATGTGGATGCTGATGGTCTGGCAAGCAATCAGCAGAGACTGATGACAACTCCTTACAGCATTAAAAATAAACTTCGTCCTCCTCCAAAAGTTAGCTTCTACAGGGTATACAGTTAGCTTCTCCAAACTATTCAACAAAAAATAAGCACTTCTCAAGCTCCAATATTTCGTGAAATATTTCCAATATTTTTAAGCACTTTAAAAAAATATCATAATTAGGCAGGGTTGGAAAGTTTTTGACAATTAACGGTTTTATCTTGTTTTATCCATCTTGTCAAAAAAAAAAAATTTTTTTTTCTTTTTGGCATTGTTTACGACAATTGTCAAAAATCATGAAATTTTGAATCATGTAAAACGAATGTTGTTTTCATGCGCTACGGACTGACAATACGCCGAAATAGATTGGGGTTCAATTAACTGTAAAAACGTTGACTAGAACAATGTGAACTGTGTCTTTTTGCATAACTCGAAGCGAAAATCAACATAGTAAAAAAAACTCTCATTTTGAAGAAAGGAAAATTAAGCAATTTTTTAAAAACATTTTTTAAAAGCACTTTTAAGGTCTTTTAAAAAACGAAAATAAGCACTTTTTAAGAACGCTACGCACCTTGTTCTACCTGAACCCGTTTTGAATGATGAAGATCTGAGGAAAGGCAATTGAAAGGTGGCCGCCAGCTTACGATCATGGCAACATCAATAATTTAATTTTTTTTACTTAAAATTCCTTTACTTCAGTTAGATTTTTCCTAAGTTAATTTCTCTAATTTTAAGTAAAGTGTCAACTATTCCATTGCAATTTAAATGTTTAAGTAGTTATAAACTTGTATCCTCCATCCAACTATATGTAAAACTAATAACTCGAAAGAATAATTTTAATCTAGATTATTTAAATTAATAAATGCTTAGGTCAACCCCCCAAAGTATCATGTCTTTATTATGACTAATTAGTTTTCCTTTTAGGATTAAGCTAGTTGTTCTAGATAGTTGTGTCTCTAGCTTGAGCAAAACTCTATAAAATGCAATCTTAATTAATTATACTAGTTATAAGTTTTACAGAAGGTTTAACCTTGTCAAAAATAGATACAACATTGGATAAACACTGAAGAGAGCAGGTGCAGAAAACTTGTAGATCATTCTGATACATTGACAGTGGCTTAAAGCAGTTGGTAAAGTCATAAGAAATTTAACTCCAAAGAAACCCCGATTGTCTGGCTAGAGTTAATTCAGCTTTGTGATTTAGTAGATTCAGTAACAAAAAAAGTTTCTAAAATTTATAAATACAAATAATAATTAACATTAAAACGTCTTCATTTTTATAATATTCATTTGTTTTTCTCAGACCCCCGCAAATCAAATGCCTTCTCAAAATTGTATAGAACCAGGAGGAAATGCGAAGGGTATCAGTTTTCATTCAACTGTTCTACTGTAAATTTTTTGACTTTGAGTCACCAAAATGAAATCTTTCAGTGTTTTTATTAATCTTTTAGGAACACATGGTCTAAATTTGAGACTTATCTTACACCAAACAGGCTATTTAGAATGACAGTCAATTTAAGCTAATTTCTCCAATAATTACAAAATATGAAAAATGAAACTTTTTTTCTCTTTCGTTTATGGAAACACATGGTTAAAATTTGAGACTTCTATCTTGGTGGCAAACTTTTAGCTACAAAACGTTCTAATTAGGGTAATTATCCCATTAATTACAAAATATTGGAATACAACTATTAAGTTTTTCCATTTATCAAATTTGTTATTCTATTTTGGTAAAATTATTTTATTAAGCATTACTAGGGGATGAGTTTTGTAAAAAACCAAAAAAGCTGAAAATAGAAACATGAAATGTTATGTAGAAAGCATGTTTTGGAAAAATTGTAAATATACCCGAAATTTGTGGAAGAAAAAAGTGTACGTAGAAAGACTATTATCAATGTTTTAATAAAATATATCGACCGGCGATTTTTTATTTATATAGTGAGAATATAAATTTCCGTGTGTGATTTTTAAATTGGGTTAGTATGAATCCCGATGTGAGTTTTTTAAAGGGCGTGAATATGAATGGTCAATGTCTAATTTTGAATATCATGAGAACAGAACACGATGCATAATCTTTAAACTGTGTGAATAAGTATTGTGATGTGTACTTTTAATAAGCGTAAATTCAAATCGAGAAACGTAAACGATGTGCAATTTTTATTTTTTTAAAAATTGCGTTAAAACAAACCATGATGTAAATTTTTTTAAATGCATCGCAATGAGTAATTTTAAATCTAATGAATGTGAATCACGATGTGTACTTTTAAATCGTGTGAATAATTTTAAATCACGTTTACATAGAAGAAAAAGGAGTCTTTTTTTTTTGGGGGGGGGGAAGGGGTTAAAACTCGAAAAAGCAGACATTTTTTTGAAAAAGTGAAAATTTTCTTTATTAAATTGGAAAAAAAAAGTGAAATTCAAAAATTAAAAGGTTTTCTGAATAAATATTAAATGAATCTGATCCTTTTGCTTAAGTTCTTGTCTTGTCCAATCCTTGCGTTAGCTAATATCGCACACATTTAAGACCTAGCTACAGAAATAGTGGTTAAAATTTCTTTAAAAACAAGAAAAGTTGTTATTAGGGAAGTTTTATTTCAAGAAAAACAACATTTTTTAACTTTATAATACCCATCTTTTATATACTTCTTTACATCTGTACAATTTTAACCTCTGAAATGTACTCATTATCAAGAGCTTTCTTCAGTCTCTTTTTCATTAGACTAACATTACTGAATGTAGCAAATTGATAAAGAAATTTTGACAATTAGGCAGATAATAAACATCTAAATAAAATCATGTATGCAAATGAAGAAAGGGTCACTGTAAAATGTATATTAATTATTGAATAGTTAATTATATAAAATTCATGCTACTATACCAGTTTTAGCTTGAACAAGTAAGAAGGGATGGACTTAAGATTACAAAAAGAACTACATATAGAATTATAAATATTACCGGTGGTTCTTTTTCTTCTACATCATCATCAGGATCAATTTCAGGTTCTTTTAGACCAATCATTACAGAATCATACGTATCATCATATTCGTCCTCATATAGGTTGACTCTAGAATCATCTTCCTCATATTCATAGTTTAAAGTTAACTCCTTCAAAAACTCTGAATCTTTATCCTTTTGCAAACTTTGATACGATTCGGAAGTTTTATTCCTGAATTAAACAGAAATTAAATGTTACATCGATATAACAAATTACAGGGTGTAAAACAGAGTAGATTATTTCAATATAAAAGTGTAACAGAGTAGAAATCAGCTGAAATTCCACGACTTGATACTTTTATGACAAACGATATCTTTTGTAAAAGAATTTTTTTTGTTGATAGTATTCAATGATGTCAACCACTGATGTAGCATAAAACCATATATATATATATATACTAGGATAACGATGCTAGTTTTAGTTGCTGGAAAATCTTAAAGAAATAAGGAACATAAAAGAAATAATGCTATAATAAATTAAATAATTTAATATAGCGAAACTATCATTTTTATATATCACATAGATTATGCTTTGAGATGTCTTCATTTTGTAAAAGACAAAAATTCCCTGTTTTTTCCCAGTTAGTAAGGTAAAATATTTAGCACCATTTCTTTTAACTTACAGAGAGACACGTAGCACAGAAATTGAATTGAATTTGAGCCAGAAGCTTTATAGTAAACAATCTTACCCTTATACTACAAAAGTAAACCAATAAATGAACATTGAAATAAAAAAAAAAACATAAATTGTAAACATTGTAATAAAAATAAGAATATTGTGTCACATGATAAAAAAAATATGTTACATGATAAACGTAAAGGAAAACTATGTTACATAATAAACGTAATAAATATTATGCTACACAATAATCGTAATAAAAATATTATGTTATATAATAAAGAATATTAGACTACAAAAATGTAATCAAGAATATTATATTAAGACAAGTACTTACTTTTTCCCTTTATGAATATTTTCCATGTTCACATTATTTCTAGAAAAAATGTCAAATTCATCATTATCAAAAACATTTTTTCTTTCAGATAAAACAGTATAGATTTCTTTATTTGTGGAATTCCAGTCCATCCTAAAAAATAAAAACATACGACAATTTCAATATTAACAACAAAACAAAGATTTTAAAACTATTTGCCGACACTTAATAATTAATTTTCTTATACTTGCAAATTTTTTATTATTACAACAAATAAGTGCAAAAAATATAAAATTTGCCCTTTTCTTGCAAAAACTGTTTAACAGACTTATTTTATAAATTATGCAAAAATCAAACAATAAAGAAACCTATCAAAATTAAGGACCAGTACTTTCATTTTCAAAAGTTTTCTCACGCATAACTGACTGAAATAACATTCTTTATTATTGTTCAAGAGCAAACAGTGTGCACATGCATATGTTGCTATGGCAACCACTGCTGTTCAATAATTTGAAAACAATAGTTTTTTAGAACTCTTATTTTTCTTTATCTTCATTACATATAGATATTTTGGTGAGTTTACTTTTGAATTATGAGCGATTTGTGAGATCCTATCAAATACTACTAAAGTTGTCGATAAAGACAATTTCATCCCCTGAACGATGTTTTCATTTGCCTTGTTAATTTAAGAATCAGAAATTTATCTACAGTTCAAATGGTCCATTGAGCTTAGAGTGTGTATTAAGTTCAAGGTGAGGTCTCATTCACTACTGAGTTCTCTTTTACTAGTGTTTCAATTTTATTTTATATTATGGATAAGTTGACAACTCAAGAGACAGTTTAAAAATCTTTGCTAACTAAGCATAAAGATAAAGTAGTCACTTCAATGGGATACCCGCAGTCTGGGTACATCAATCTTGATTGGTTGTTGAAATGAGGCATTTCTTCATGTTTGCAACTGTTCCTTCCATTCTATTCCAAGTAAGAAAAGCAATCAATGCTCTAAAGTGACAAATTTTAAATTTTGTCACAACCGGGTTCCCCTGCTTTGGTAACCCGGCAGCCTGTGCACAAAATGGAGCACTTCATGCTAGAATAGATTAACGAGGACAGATACCGTGCACCCTCTGTCCCTACACAGGCTGATCAAAGAGGTCACCCACTCACTTACTGAGCGCAGCCAGTGATGCTTGACTTCTGAGTTCTACAGGTAACTGTGCCTTTACGATTAGCCCATGGCGGGATTGAAAGAACTGAGGAAAAAACTTTTGTCACTGAAACGAAATAGTGGCACCGTGGCGTCCCAGCCTCATGGTACACAATGCTGAGCTTCTTAAACAATTTCAATAATCACTGATCATTTTGGGTACAAGTTTATAATATACAATACAATAAATAAACTTCAATATTTTCTAGAACAGGAGCCACAATATAATAACATACAGTATTTAACTTTTATATCAGTCATATTTTAGAATTCAACTAGTGCACAGTTAGATTTTTTTTATTTGGAAAAAAAAAAAGTTTTAATGTGAAAGAGAGGTTATATTTTTCAGGGGAAGATTGCGAGCCCAAGTCGAAATTCCGGAAAATTTCTTGAGTTAAAAAAAAAAGACAGCTAAAATTGAAAAAAATTTAAACAGGTTTTTTTTCCCCTTTTTCTCAATGTTTCTTAGTTTTCTTAAAATATATTTAAAATTTTACACATACCTATACCATTTACACATACCTATGATGACCTGGAGAAGTAATTAAAACTTACAAATATGTCTTTCTTTCTTGAGTTTATGATTATATCAACTATTTACTGATAAAAAAATGAATATTGATCATGAATATAAGCTTATAAAGTATCTCTCCAGCGCTCCCTTACAAACAAGTAAAATAAACTGTGTTTTTAAGTTCCACCTTTGAAAATTTAATTTACAGAAACTTCTGTAATCAATGATTTTTTGAAACGTCTGGACCTTCGATCTCCGGAAACTTCCGGATCACTGTTAGCGAAAATTCCGGAAATCCGGATTTTTTCTGGAGCACAATCAGCCCTGATTTTCAAAAAAAAATTTTCTTCTTCAGCAGCTTACACGTAAGACACCTACTTAAGAATGACTGTTACAGAAGTTATGAAATGAGGTGTAAAATGAATCTGGAAAAAGAGTAGGGTTTATTAAGAAAATTTTTGTTCCAATACAGATTCAGCAATAATTTGCTTTTTGACAAAAAGGAGAAGATAAAAGGGTTCTTTTTCCCATGCTAACTTCTTTTAAGTTAAAAAAAAAAGTTTAAATTTCTAACATTTCTATAAATTATATGTATGCTTGAAATAGAATATGATGATTGATGAATGAAAATTTGGACAAGTACATGAAAAATTATCCTGAAAATTTTTTTAAAACTCTTTTCAGAATCATAAATTTTGTTTCCTATTTTAACCCTTTCTAAGACCGTGGCTAAGACTTTAACTTTGGTATGCTATCCGTTATTAACTTTAGCTCTGATGAAGTAATATTGAATAAAATTGGTTACTAAGTTATAATATATAATACCCTTTTCCATTTGGAGTATTTATAAAATTTATTTTACAAACAAAAAGAAATGAAAGTAATTAAGTCTCTTACTTTTTTATTACATCTATTGGGTGGTAATAAACATACTTTTACCACAAAAAAATGCAAAAATTCTAATTAATTTTATCAACTAATCAAAATGAATTTTTTCATTTAAATTCACAAAGTGCTTTAACGCACCCTTACTACAAATAAATGGACAATTAAAGGGTTAAAAGAGATTTTTTAACATAATTTTAAGAAAAATTAATTACATTCATACTTGAAAAATAAAAGAATGAATAGAACTTCAATCATCTATATGAGAAATTAACATGAAAGTAGTTTTATAAACCTCTCATAATAGACTAATATTTTGAAAAGGCTTTATAACAATTAATTAATTATGTACTTTGGTATGTAATTAATTTGGTGGTTAATTAATTACGTACTAAGGAAATTAATTATGTACTTTGAGTGGCATTTAGAAGATATATATAAAAATGTTACCTGAAATGATATTTTATACCCAGTCAAATAAAATTTTGCCTCAGAAAACCTAATACATTGTGTATAAAAAGTCTAGTATATTTAGGGAAAGATCATTTTTTAAGAGAAATGGAAAAAAGTCTTACTGCTTATCAAGACAGCTTAAATGATCAGGCAAGGAATCACTCAACAAAGCATTTATCACTTGTTCTGATTCATAATCATAATGCTCTAAGCACTTCTGAAATATGGTAAGAAACTTTTTTAACATTTAATCAGAGAGATCATAGCTTAAAATATCTAAGAAAAAATTATGTTGACAATAAAATTTAGATACTTTACTTTTATTTTTCAGAATTAGCTACAATTAATAAGGATTTAAAATAAAATTAAATAACAATTCAAGGTGCGCAGCCAGATTTTTCAACAAAAAATATGCACCTTTTAAGTATTTTCTAAGCACTCAAAAAATATTTTTAATCACTTTCCAAAAAAAAAAAATAAAAAAAAAAATAAATAANAAAAAAAAAAAAAAAAAAAAAAAAAAAAAAAACATCATAATTAGGATTTGTGCAATAATAAAAATTATTTCTTTCTATCGCTTAAGGTTTTAACCTATGAATATAAAATTAATAAAATTCAAAAACATTTTCACAAACTTCACATAATCATGATAAAATAACTAGTTTCTGATAAATATTGCAGGAAAAAATTGCGAAAATCATGCATTTTTTGTAATTTATAACGACAATCGACACGGCAAAGAAAAAAATCTGTTTTTAAAAGATAGAAAATTAAGCACTTTTTACAAACCCAGAATGAAAAAACCCCTTTTAAGGGCTTTTAAAAAATGTAAATCAAAAATAAGCACCTATAAGCATTTTTTTAAAAATGCTACGCACCCTACAATTGCAAGCACAATGTGTGCCTCGGCCATGGATTTTTGCAAGCAGAAAACACACTTGCTTCTTTTAACCCCTTTCATTACCATCACTCCATCTGGTGGCTGAATTAAAAACTCAAACAAAACACAGGATCGACAAAGACTAAAAGGAGCAAAAAGAAAAGCCTAAGTTTACTTCTCGAAGTTCCTAAGTTTTTTAGAGGTGGGAGAAAATACTGACTGCATAGTTTGTTTGAATACATTGTCCAGTTGAATAAAGCATCAGCGACTTTCCCATCCCGGCAAGAAAATCATTTTTTAGTAAGAGTTGAGTGCAAAAAGTTTGAATCCAAAGGAGATAATTCCCTCTCAAAGAAGTCCAAGATATATATGTCTCTGAGAAATATAGACATGAGAAAAAAATATAATGACAATTAATTACATAAGAGAAAAGTGTGTTTATTGATTACCCATTGGTCAAATTCTTTTTTTTCTGGATAGACTTTCGCTAAGGCCATGTCACAGGCTGCAACAGCCTGAACACTCTAGCTAGGAAATATCACTGGCATGAGGCAAAACTTCACCCAGTCATTTTGATGGAAGCGAGACAGATGAAGTTAATGAACATTTTATACACTTATAGTGGGAAGCTAAAAAACTGGTAGTTCGTTTATAGTGGACTCTAATTTTATTTCCAGTTTTTATTTTTGAGTTTTATTTTAAGTTAATTGTAAATGATAGCATTTCTTTATAATGTGTCAAATCTCACTCTTGCATGCTCTTAAGCTTTTAAACTAGGGCAAATATGTAGAAATAAATCTCAGAAGTGAAATTTGCATAAAAAATATTCTAAACATTTTTCCTTAAAATTGAGGGATAGAAATTACTGGATTTTTTACAAACAGTTGATAAAATAATTTGTGATTTCTACCTTTTAAAGTCAAATTATAGTCTATCAAAAGACATTAGTTTCTGCCATAGAATGTAAAAACTAATTATTCCCTCTTTAATAATTAATTTGTCATCTATTTAATCAGTTAAACATTTATAAACAAATTACGCACTATTCTATTCACTATTTCCAACATTAAAATTGTCATATGCTAAAAAATAATTTTTAATAATTAATTTATCATCTATTTAAACATTTATAAACAAATTATACACTATTCTATTCACTATTTCCAACAATAGTATTGTTATATGCTAAAAAATAATTTTTAATAATTAATTTACCATCTATTTAAACATTTATAAGCAAATTATGCACTATTCTATTCACTATTTCCCACAATACTATTGTTATATGCTAAAAACCTTTTTTTCCCCAAAGAATTTGGATGTAGTGAACCACCGTTTATAGAGGACTAATTGCTGGGTCAGTTCACTTTAACAGAGTTTGACTGTATTTTCAAAAAAACTGGTAAACAAACCTGAATGAATCCTTCTCCATATCCATTCAAAATGTCAAGTACAGATTGAACAAGGGATTTCAGTTCTTCATGATCAGGAATAATGCCCTTCTTCTTAGAGAATATCTGATTTGTTGAATCACTATTTTCAGGTGGTTTATCTCGCAGTAAGTCAGCTAAACCCTGTTGCACAGACACAATACAAATGTAAGAATTTTGCAAAGATGAAAAGTAGTAAATTTTTCAGTAGCAAGAACTAAAAATTCCTTCTGTGGGGAGAGTAGATATCAACAATGTCAACCTTCATCTATGAAAAGGTACCCCAACATGGAATCGAGTTAGCATGTCTTATATACTAGGGAATTGGAATTGTAGTTTTGTAGTGGTAGACACACTACATTACTCCCCCACTAGAATTATATCTGTAATAGAATTCGATGAACGGATACCACTAGTTGAATCATTGCTGTTTTGCGAAAAGACGGAGAGCTGTATTAAGATCACCATACTTTTTACTGATCGTGAGAGATGTATTAAGTTCAGAGCCATGATTGCTCCTGTGTTGCCATTAGCAGTCGAGTGTATGTAGGCGGACATTGTGTTTAATCGAGACTGAGTAGCAACAGCGAGAGGAGGTGGATAATGTCGCAGTCACAACAAGTAACAAGTCAACAGTTCAATGTGGATCGGCCATCGAAGTAGGCGTGTTCAGATCGAAGTGGGCGTTACTGTCAAGTTAAGCGTGTTCATATCAAAGTGGGAGTTTCTGTCAAGGTAGGCATGTTCACAGGTCACCAATGTGGGGAGAGTAGATATCAACCCTCATCTATCAGGGGTGATTGTGAGCCCAGATCAAAATTCCGAAAAATTTCTTGAGTTTAAAAAAAAAAAAAAAAAAAAAAAAATACGGTTTAAATTGAAAAATTAGAAAAAAATTAAAACATTGTTTTTTTTTCTTCCTTTTTCTCAATATTTCTTAGTTTACTTAAAATATAATTAAAATTTTGCACATACCTATTACCATTTACACATACCTATGATGACCTGGAGAAGTAATTAAAATTTACAAATATGTCTTTCTTTCTGGGGTTTATGATTATAACAACTATTTACTGATAAAAATTGAATATTAATCATGAATATAAGCTTATAAAGTATCTCTCTGGCTCTCCTTTACAAACTAATAAAATAAACTGTGCTTTTTAGTTCCGGAAACTTCTGTGATCAATAATTTTTTGAAACGTCTGGACCTTCGATCTCCGGAAACTTCAGGATCACTGCTGGCGAAAAATCCGGAAATCCGCATTTTTTCCGGAGCACAATCAGCCCTGATCTATGAAAAGGTACACCAACATAGAATCGAGTTAGCATGCATTATATAATAGTGATTTGGGTATTTTTGTAGTGGTAGACACACTACACATATTTTTATAAATATTTTTCAATTAACGTGTAGAACTTAAAAGAACAATCCCAATAAACTAGAGATGACTTAAAAACTTTATTTGCTTCCAAAATAAAAAAGATGGTAATTAAAGTCAACATCTTTCAAGTGCTTAAAAATAGAGTCCCAATCTGAAGACTCCCTCAGACGTGAATGAGAGAACAAAAGTAATTTGAAACAAAAAACGTAAAATTACGAAAAAAAAGGAACAACACTGAAAGTGAAAACTAGAAAATCTGCAGTAGAAAAGTGTGAAACAGTGAAAGTATAAAATAAATAAATTAAAAAAATAATGTGAAAGAAAGGCATGACGTCCTAGCGGCCACTTCACAGCATGTGGAAATGTTTCACCTTGATCCTCTCACCTACCGGTGGTTTTTCTTTTTTTGTTATTCGCGTAAATTTTTAAAAAAATATTTCTTAAAAAACATACATTTCGGATCATAAGCCCATTTGTGCATAAGCTAAAGACTATGCTTATTTTATGTAAATTTATCTAAAATTCATAACTCTTATTTAAGCCATTGTAAAAAAAAAAAAGCATGAAATGCTTGGAAATAAAAAAGCAGCATTTCAGAATTTCATGGAACGGGTATGAGCGTATTGGTTGCATCCCATCACTGACTTCACATTAACTAGAGCGAATGGTATAAAATTAGAATTTCGTATCTTTTAGAATTTGATAAAACTAAATAAAGAACAAATATTGTAAAATACATACTTGTAAACTTTTTACACGAGGTTCCTGAGAATTTTCTGGGGAAGATTTGTGAGATTTTGGACGAGCACCATTTGACACAGAAGATGAAGAAGGTAAGGTTTGTGGTGAGTCATCATTTAGCAGAACACAAAATATTCGATTCACTTTCTCGGGATCTCTTAATATTAGTTAAGAACTAAAAACTAAAGCAAAGTTTAAGCCACTTGAACCAGTCTCAAAATTTCAAATAAATAAATGAAACCATTTATTTGATTGATTTATTATTATTATTTTTTTTTACAGTGATACAGCTTTTTTACAGCACATATTTTTTGTAAAATTTCATTTTTGAAAAACAGAAAACATGGAAAATATCAACCACTTCTACAACCAGCAGCACCAATCCGTTAGTTAAACTGGGTGTATAGCCAAATTATTCAACAAAAAATAAGCACCTTTTAGGCACTTTTCAAGCACTCAAAAAATATTTTTAAGCACTTTAAAAAATATCATAACTAGGCAGAGTTGGAAAGTTTTTGACAATCGACGGTTTTATCTTGTTTTAATCGTCATGTCAAAAAAAAAACCTTTTGGCATTGTTCTTGACAATTGTCAAAAATCATGAAATTTTGAATCATGTAAAACGAATGGCGTTTTCATACGCTATGGACTGACTATAAGCTGAAATAGATTGGGGTTGAATTAATTACGAAAACGTTGTACAGAACAATGTGAACTGTGTCTTTTTGCATAATTCGAAGCAAAAATCAACATAGTAAAGGAAAATACTCATTTTGAAAAATGGAAAATTAAGCACTTTTTAAAAACACCCAATGAAAAACGCACCTTTAAGGGCTTTTAAAAAACGAAAATCGAAAATATGCACCTTTAAGCACTTTTTAAAAACGCTACGCACCCTGTTAAACACTGATGCTGACCAATTGCTATATACCCATGAATTACCCTTGAAGCAGCCACCACCCTTTAAATGTGCCCAGAAAGTGACCCTGGGCTTGACCTTAGTCAACAGATCATGTTTGTAACTGGTTGATGCACACAGGTCAATATGCACCTCCCTATTATCTGAAGCACAGGCAAAAGTAGTGTGTGTTGGGATATCAGGATACTCCTCAACTACCAGGATCTGCTTTTCCAGAGGCACCGGTTTACAGGAACGGTGTACACTTGGATGGCCTCTTTCCATTAGTCTGATACAACAGGGTGGTAATCGAACACAGATGAAAATCCCTCACTAACAAAATTGGCAACTAAGACAAAGGAGAAAAAAGAGGACAGATCCCTAGGGCACCCCGAGGTTGTGACTCCCAGTGTTTATCTAAAGAGGGTAAACCTCCTGAGGGACATACTTAAGAGTGCAGGCTGTAATAATATAATGAATTCAAATACTTTCTTTCCAAATATCTTTTTTTTTAAACATGGAAACACGTTATTGGCAACAACTCTGTACAACCTGATAGATTTAATGACTTAATGCTTTTAAAATAATACTTTTAACAAAACATTACAATACATTAGTATTTAGAATGAGAAAAAAAATCAAGATAATGGTTGTTTGCAACTAGAACTTAAAAGGAAAAAAAAAAGAGCATTCACTCTGATTTCCGAGTTATTAAATTGTAATTTTCAGTATATGGGTCATTCTTTTCGGACCAAAAAATTTCTTCAAATTTGAAGTCTTCGAAATAAACTAAATTTTATTTTGTATACTTCTTCAGTTACTTTTATAAATATCTTACAGACAACAGTGTTGTTTATTGACATTTACTCGAGAAAAAAAAATAAAATAGAAATTCGCCAAATCTTGAATGCCAGGAAAATGACATATTAGCTTAGAAGTTTAAAAAACAGTCATTTTAAGTTAATAGTAAGTAACTCAACTTAAGTCTTTATGTTAGATGGATCATAAGTTGCTTAAATTAATTCTTTTTATCCACTGTAGAAAGAATCAAAATCTTTTTTGTTGCTGATATGTACAGAATAAATTTGTGTACAATAATCAATCATTAAATAAATAAATAACTTTGATTACATCCAACTATATTACAATCATACATTAACTTGGTATTAGGTTAATATTTGCTTTTCCTTCTTACAGTATTAACAGTTAAAAAAAATTTTTTGGTAACACTTCAATGTCCTGGAATTCATAGGGCAGGAAAATGACAGCCAATTCGCCATTTTATAGCATATAACTTTACTTTAATATTTTGGCCTAAGACTAATCTATGTAGTGTATGTTATTAATGATTTCAAAAAGCCAGGAAAATGACAACCCAAAAACCTACTAATCTTGAAAATTTTTTTGAAATAGATTTTGAACCAGAAAATTGGTTCTTTATTCATGCAACAAGACATGTTCATATAGGAGGGTATCTAATCAATCTATTAACATAAGATATTGATTGCCGGCTCTTTCTATTTTGGCTATTAACCACTAAATAAAAGTAGCCAGGAAAATGACAGATTTTCTTGGGACAAGCAAATTATTGACAGAAAAAATTATTTTAAACAAAGTTTTTGTAAATAATACCCTCTGCGTATATTCTAGAAATGCTTACACCGATTGAGATAAAAAAAATTAGATATTGAAAAATTTATGGGAAGTTTTGAAGCTAGTTATTATTGGAAACATTGTTTGGGACATGCCAGGAAAATGACATTTTGAAGTTCAATTAAATTTTTTAATCATTCAAAACAGTCATTGCTAGTACAAAGTCATTTTAAAATTATAAGAGCAATGCAATTTATTAATTTTTTAAAAAAAAAGTTCTTTTAGTATGATAGTATTAGATCTTGGAGCAAGGGGCAGTGAATTGTCATATTTTGTGAGAATCACCCATATACACTATTATGAAAGAGAAGAAAAGGCATTAGCATTGTGAAGTAAAGGATACAGATGAATTTCTATTTCATTAAAAAATACCAAATCTTCATCAAGGGGATACAGAAGATTGTAGTCTATGAGGAAACTATAAAATAGAAAAATATCATAGAATAATAAATAAAATTTTTTGTGGAGTCAACTACAAAGTACAGCAACGGAAATCTGTAGTGAAACTCTACAGCAAAATGAAACATATTACTGATTTTTCATTCGTAATTTTTTTTCTCAAATAAAACTAGCTTCAATATATTTATATATACATAGAGATTCAGAAAGTGTCAGAAATGTTACTTTTTTTCTAGTTTTGGAACAAATTAATGAGTTGGCCATTGTCCTCAAATTAAATACCAGAAAAATAAGGGGACATTTAAATAATGCATAAATAAATCTGGAATTTAGAGTAGTCAAATGCTTACTGCGTATTCAGACTAAATCATCTGAAACAAACAATTTCTGCCTTTACTTTTCTTACCTTTTAGAAGAAATCAGTTCTAACATAACCTCCAAATATCCTTCTTCAGCTAGTAAATCAACTGATGCTTTTTCATCCTTCTCAGAACCTCTTAAGAAAGGAAGAAAAAAATATTACGTTTATGACTTTTAATGATTGATATTTTCTTTTGACATAGATACTTCGAACAATTATTTTAATTTTTGATGCTAAAATGATCAGTCCCTAAAATCTATTGCCGCCCCTAATTCCTTGAAATAAAAATTAAAGAAGAGGAGAACCAGAAAACAATAACATAAATGGAGTTTCGTTATTATTTACTAATTTAATTTTAAAAAATACCACAGACGATAATTAAATAAGAAAAAGTGTTTTAACACAAAACTAGTATAAAGAAGAAAAGAAAAAAATTAAGTTCTCATGTTATAGAGAGTACAATAAAACTTGTCAAAATGTCAAATACTAAGATCCAATTCTAATGTTCAGTGAACCATATCTAAATTATGGAACTTTTCTTAAGCACACTATAAGCAAAACCAGAGATAAAACTGTATTCTGAATAAACTCCCGTTTTTCCTTCTTTTTTTCCCCAACAGGTTTGGATTCCTGTCTATCAAAATATAGAGAGAGGTAACCATAATCTGGGAAATAGGATAGCAATAGTTTAAGTAGAAAAATGGTTATAAGTTGTGGCCCCTTAAAGTGTAATTTGCCATATCCTAAGAGCTATTTAAGGGAATCTAAAAAAGTTTGAACACGACTATAAAACTTCTCTCTCAATCAAAAAATCATAACTCAAAGTAATCTAAAAATATTTTTTTATAATTAATAGCTATGTTTCATAAATTATATTTTCACAATTTATAATTAATTATATTAACATTGGACAAATTATTACAAAATTTTAACTGATAAAATTCAATATATGAAGAAAATCTATCGAATAAATATTGAGGAATGGGGAGTTTGGAATAACTTCATTCTGGAAAAAAGACATCTGTATCTAATAAAGTACTAGCTGAATACTCGTTCATTGTAAAGAATGAATAAAAAATATAAAAAAGAGAAAAGAATCAATAAATCAATACTGAACAACTCTACAAACTCATGCACAAAACTAAAAGGCATATACCAACACAATTAATAAAGCTAAAATAATTTTTATTTATTTTTATTATTAAAATGATTAATAAATAAAATGATTAAATAATAGATTAATTATAATTATAAATAAAATGATTTCAGCTATCATTTGGGCAGTATTGGATTCAGCAAATAAAAGTGTCATGCAGCTGCTTTGGTAAAAGTGGATTTTTAAAAGTTTCAACTAATCTTTAGTAAAAGTAAGTAAAAAAAAAAAAAAAAATATGAAAAAGGATTTTAGTTAAATAAATTTCCAAAACTTTCATTAACCTGAACTTACTAGTTGGTGAAATTTTTGATACTCAAGACTTTTTTTAAAGAGCATTATAAAAGTTTTTTTTATTTATTTATTTATAATTTTATTATTTTTTTTTTGGATTGAAATTAAGCTTAAAAACCTAATTTCAATCTTAAAATTAAAAAATAACAAATTTGCACAGAAAAAAAATATCTAATTTGATTTGAATGCTTTAATACCTTTATTTTAAAAGTGTAATTCAAAAGATAATATACAACAAATAACACTATTATACTAACTTGGCAGTCAGAAGATTTTGGATGTAAGCATAATTTAAAATGCTTCTGAAGATTTTAACCAGAAGAGTTTTGGACAAAGTTATTTTTCCTTTTATATCTTCAAATGCACTAAATATAAGAAAATAAAATGTAGAAGAAATAAAATAATGCGGGAGAAATTAAAAAAAAAAAAAACACAGTTATAACAGATACATTTCAAGCAAAAAACAGAACTGATTTTAACTTTACTACTAATTTCTATTCAGTTTATACACTGGCAGAAGAAAAAAAAAACTATGCACATTTTTTATGAAATAATTTTTTGCCTTAAAATAGCTGACAGTGAAAACATAAATAATGTGATACTGTTATGAAAGAATACAACTCTTCTTGGCTTCATTGTTCATTTTCTTTTATCTGCATAAAGAAGCTACAGCAGTAATTGTTTAATTTAGTAGGAAGCTGTAAAGTATTTGGGGAAACTTGCCTTTGTTAAATGTTTTTGGTAATACATGTTCTTTTTAAATTTCTTATATATTTTTTAGCACATTATTTACTTGGTTCTTTCTTATTTCAATGAGAATAAGTAATGTCACATGATTTAAGTTACGTTATAAACTACTTATTATATAATTTTTTAAGTTATGAATTCGATAATTTTTTGTGTAGATGTGTAGAATAATTTAAGAAAAACCAAAAAGGTTATTTTTTTAATACAATTTAAAATGATTTTGAAACATAAAATTTTTCAAATTCACTTTTCTTTTTTATTTCACTTTATCTTTAAGTAAATACTGGATAATAACAATATGACAAGAGCATTGCTTTTTACATATTATCCAAGGATTTGATCTAATCTAATAAAATTCTCTAAGGATTAAAAATTATTTGAAATGATGTACAAATCTATTTAAGGTAAAATTTCAAATGGACCAGTACATAATTATGCTCAATGGGCCGAAAGACCAGTTGCTTTTTTTTTTAAAAATAATTTCTAAAGCTGATTCTTATCTCCATGGCAAGTACTAATTTTGCTCTGCACAAGCCTAGTTTCTACAATATAGTCTTTTTCTGACTGTGTTAAGGTCACAGACAAATTTGAATTTAATAAGATTGTGCGGAAGACTGACTCTGTAAATTCTGCAACTGGTTGTGTGATAAATTATAAACATTTTTCAAAACTAATCAGGTTAAAACAAACAAAAAACCCCGTAAAATTGGGTTTCTAATAGCATAAGAACCTGTTATTTTCCAAGTCTTCCCCCATGTTAGACATTTCTTTTTCAAGAATAGAAAACGCTTGCTCATAAAAAATAGGCAACCTAAAATAAGAATGCATATTTAATAAGAATACAAAACAATCATTACATTAAAATGATTAATGTTTAAGAAAATGTACCTCACAATGACTCCATTTTGATTAAATATTTGGCACGATTCAGGATAGGTTTCTATAAATGAATAAAGTGTGAAACTCTTATCTGTAATATAGTTCAATACATCATGGTACGGAACTAATTCACATATTTCGCCATTTTCACTAGCTGTGTGTGATTTTTTAACTGAAATATCTAGCAACTTTTCTTCTACAAGATTAAATACCTATAAATCAAAAAATAACATGGCTGAGATAAATACTGATATTTTAAAAAAATAAATAATTAAAATTACTAACAAGATAATATGTAAAACTAGCCTGTTGGCTGAATTCTTCCTTAATAGATATACACTCAAGAGATTCATCGCTCTGAAGTTTTTTATGGCTTTATCGAATAATTTCATGCATAGTATTGCAGGCAAAGAATATATAATGCGAGAATAAGTCTAACTTCTTCGATATGTAGCTGGGACCAGCTAGGTCCTTCTGTATGACAAGAAAAGCACCAAAGGTTTTGGAGTCAACGCATGTGCCCATCGTAGCATCTCTCAACTTGTTTAACAACAAACTTTTCGTCATATTTAAAGTGACTGTCCCGATATCTATTTAAATTATACACCTATGTTGAAATAATAATTTATATTTATTTTTTAATGAATTCGTCACAAGTAAATATTTTCCTTGTTTAATAAGTAAACCTTTTTTAAAACCATAGAAGTCTATAAATAGCAAAAGCCGACGGTTTTTAAGTCACTTCTCATTATCGGTTTACATTAGTAGGGAGAGACAAAGGAGAGGGGTGTTTGTTGGGAGTGTAGGAGTATGGGGTTGCTTATGGGGTGACGAGGAAGGGACCCTCTGTTTAGGAGGCTTGTTGTTTTCATAGCAGCACTTCCACACCTCGGTGGAGTTAACTGGTGCCTCGGAAGCAGGTTTACATGGGGGACTAAGAGAGCTGGTCTCCTTCTCATTTATATATTCTTTGTTTCACTGTTGCCACCCAAATCTGGAAAAAAATTCCCTGTGTTTTCCCTGCATGCATTATACACAATATATTAAGAGGAAATACAATTACTTTGCTCTTGTGTGAGCTATATTGGGCTAACTATACTGGTTTTAATCACTGGAAAAACTTAGAGAAATAAAGAACAATTCAACGCACATAAAAAATTAATAATACACAGCAAATGAAATAGTATAGTATAGCTGAACTATCTTTAATCTATAATTTGCACTTTGAGAGGTCATTATTTTGTAAAAGAAGAAAATAAGAAATAAAAATTCACAGTATTTTCCCAGTTTATTAGGAAAAGGAACACTTGAACATACTTAAATATTGCTATAGTAAAGAAAATAGTTTAGTATAGCTGGAATATCATCCTTAAATATCCCATAGATAACGCATTGAGTGATCGCCGTTTTTTAAAAGACGAAAATAAGAAACAAAATAAATTCCCTGTATTTTCCATATTACGACAACTAGGACCGCATTGAGTGGTCCTAGTTGTTGTAATAGTAAAAAATCCCAATTCCCTATCATTTTAAATGATTTTTAAATACCATGCATCTTCCATACTCTCCCCTCTGGAGTGGAAAACCTGCAATTAAAACAAAAAATATTGCCTCTTCAAATTAGAAGAGTAAAAGTGTAGAAGTCACAACAGCTTTCATATTCAAAAAGAAGAAATTTTTTCCTTGACCAGTTTATGTAACATTCCAGGTAAAAAAAAAAGAAAAAAAGAAATGCAGCAAAATTTTAGAGAAATTTAATAAAAATGTAAAGGATATTCAATACAAAATAGAAACACAAAATACAAAAAAAATAAACATTTAAAAAATGAAATGATGAAAAGTAAATTCAACATGCATTGCAATGATTTAAATCTAATTATTAAAACTAGCAATTTAGATAATCAGATTTTGTAAATAATAAGGCATACTCAATTTAAAACAGTAATGTAAAAACCAATGATTAAGATAATCTGTTATGTTGTATATTTTGAATTGTGAGGGAAAAGTTTTTAAACTAACTTAGAAATTTCAAATGTAGAGCAATTCTCAAAAAAGCAGTATTATTTTGAATGCACTGGAAATGAATGTCCAAAAATTCTGGATACTTGAGCTTAGAAAACCTATCACACCATATTCTACCTTAGTCTATAAAAAGTGCCAGGCTTTAAATAAACATAAAAGTTTATATATTAACATAAATAATTATAACAATAATAAACTATAATAGTTTACACTTAAATTTTTTAAATATAGTAAATAAATAAAAATTGAAATTGTAATGAGAGAAAAAAAAAAGTTACAAATAAAATCATTAATAATTGTTAACTTTTCTTTAACACCATAATTTTCTGTTTTCTAAATTACGAATCAGTGAGCAATACATTTCTGAGTGATCACTATTGGCATCCCTCTTTTACCTGTGTAATCCAAGAAGCATGATAAAAATTAAAATGCAGATCTATATTATTATGTTACATGCATAAATTAATAAGCAGAATAGTTTATCTGTTACCCAAAATGCCCACTTTTCACTTTCTTCCAACATGTAGCTCAGTTTGTTTCAGGTTTTCATTGCGAAAGAAAGAAAAAAACTTTCATCAGACAATATCTGCATTAGTGTCTTACACAATATACAGAGTGGTACCACAATCATGGGAACTAAAACATGTATTTTTTGTATAGAAATGAAAGGTCTAAAGCGACACGTTGAGGCACAAACGCAATAAAATGACACAGGAAAAAGCATGTGCTTATTTTCATAATCAAAGTCCACAATCATTTTCCATGTTTGTGGAATCATTCTGTAAAGTACAATACAAAATGAGAGCAGTTAAATCTAAAGCTGATTATAACATTTGAAGCGTTACACTGTAGATTACAATACAAAACGAGAGCCAAATGTACAGCTAATTCTAGCTTGAGACACAACTTACCGTAAGTATCATTTTTGAAGTTTCGTTTAAGTCATCCATATATTTTGGTTGAGTTGAGAATATATTTTGCATCATTTTGCTGAGAAGGGCAGAATTCTTAAGACCATATAATGCACATAAGTCCATCAGTTTTGGAATGTCAAATATAAAATTGTCATAAACCATTTCTCCAAATGCAGAAGGTGTCAGGTGATTTTGCTAAAAGAAAACAGAAATATCAACACACATCAGAAAGGATGAAAAGTAGAACACGAAATAGAAAGAAACGACAATCATAGAACACACTGACTGATTTATACAAAATTTTAAAGTTAACCTAAATAGGATTTAAAATTTTAGCCTATTATAATGGACATCTACAGTCATTTTGTAAAAAATCTTAATGCATTCAGAATCCCACAAAACTCCCAGAAAACATTTTATTATTTTCTAAAGATTGGTATTTATTAAGTTATTTTTGAGCAAAAAACGCTTACTTTCATTTCCATCGGAAACAAGGAGTCACCTGATTATTCACCAACAGACATCACATGTGTCCATGTGCATTATAATAACATTAATTTAAATTATAGGTATAACCAAAACTGTTATACTCTGCATCTTCACATTTATAGATTTTAAATTTAAAAAATAAAGAAAAGAAAGAGTTGAAGTAATAAAATAACTGGGGAAAAAAACAAAAAAAATTTTCCTGCAAAATTATATTCTAAAGATACTTTTCTTGTTTATCAGAAAGGAAAGAAATACTCCTGAATTTTCTGTTCTTATTTTGGAATTAAAAAAAATTGACAATGACTGGCTTGCTGCAGCTAGAATTTTAAATTGATAAAATAAAAAAAATAAATAATAAAAATTCTGAAATCACAGAAGTTTAAAAGTAATTCCTTCTAGAAATGATGATTTTTCTTTCATTTTTTGAAAGAACACCATAATTTTTAAAGAACATGATAAAAACAATTTATGTTTAATAAAATATGACTATACCCATGACTTTCCAGGTGCGCATATACCCTGCACATGCTGTTCCTTTCCAATAGCTAGGCTGTGAAAGCCAATACATTCTTGCTTTCGTTTGAATTTGCGTAATTAAATCTAACTATTTTAAATGGTCAATAACTATTTGTATAATAAAGTGTGCCCTAGTGTAGCTAAATGAAAATGTGGGTTTAATATTAACATATTTTTATAATGATAAATTTTGATGGTACCCAATGAAACATTAATAATATTTGACAAAATTCGACACTAGTTCTGAATATTTCAGATTTTTTAGTTCAGTAAAAAAGGTGTTAGAATGAGTTATGTATGTCTGGTATTACTTATTAAAATGATGCATTATAAATACAAAATAATTTTGTTCTTTCATTTTTTTTAAATATTAAAGTATAATATATTCCTCTTAAAGACTTATTTTCATGGTCAGCAAAAGAAATGTTGAATCAATTTTTTATATAGATTTAGATTTTAAAATGTAAGAAAGCTTAAGTTATTGATATTTTTATTTATTTAATCTAGCGGGAATTGTCTTCAGCATTTTATACATTATCTCAAAACCATAAATTTAATTAACAAAACTTTTACTAATAATTTGCAAAGGATGTTCATTCGATATAAGTATTATCAAAACTAAGAGATCATTGAAATAGCCTTAGCAGATGAAGGCGGCACATGTGGCGTCATAACCAATCAGGGATAGTTTTTGATTGCATCACTTAGACTGGCACTAGGGGGCAATTTAAATGTTTAATAAGCTAAATAAATAAGCAGATGACAAAAAAAAAATCAGATTTTTGATTTCAGGAGAGAATTTACAACAAGTTAATTTTAAAAAAATTCAAAAAATGCTTATTTTTATTAAAAATTATGCTTATTTTTGATGTTCAGAAATTGAGGTTATTTGTTCAAATTTGTCCTAATCGGTCATGCAACTCACTAAAGAAATCAAAGTGTTACAAAAAAGTAATATTTTAATTACCTTAGATTCTTTACATGTTGACATTCTTAAGTAGACTAGGAACACTAATTTATGAACTTTTTTCAGAGCAGAGAGAAGATCTTCCCTAAGATTCAAATTTGGAATATCATAATCCCTAAAAAAAAATTATAAAGGTTTTTGAAAAATAAAGAAAAAACAGAAACAAATTACATTTTATCATCCATTCATGAAGAACATTGCATAGGTATTGAAAATGTATTACTTCTACGATATTTATTTTTAAAAAAGTAACAATTCAAAAAGGTAAAATTAAAAACTAAATGAAATTTACCTAGAACACATTTGGAATTGGTAACGGCAACAATAATATCACCTTAAGTTCATTAAAAAAAAAAAATCAAATATCAAGGTAGGGAAGCTTCAAAATAAATATTACAAAAGAGCAGAAATGTGTTATGTTTCTTTTTTTAAGTATGCCTATTTCAACCATCTATAACTTATTGGTAATTGATTTCATGAAAATTTTTACAACAGTCTGAAAAATATATCCATACATTGTCACAGTTTGAGGACAAAATTTCAGAGAATGCAAATATTTCTATTCTCAATAAATTTAATGGTTAACTTTTTATTTCGATGAAAGTGTAAAACAAATGATTTTTCAATGTCACGAGAACTGAGCATCAAAATCTATCTTTAACTTTATTTTCTTCAACCACATTAAACATCAGTATATAAGTAAATTAGGTTTAATTTAATTTCTAACAAACTTTTCAAACTTACAAACTTAAATCTTCTGCCAAATTATTTAAATATAAATATAAGATATTACGAGGGTGGCTGAATTAGCGTTGCTCTTGCCAATGTCCTTTTCTGATAATGCGGCTATAACAGATCTCTCATATACTGCAAAGCGTAGATTAAATACTACTTTTGATTGGCAGGTCACAAGAAGATTCAAGTGTCCTGGCCTGTTTTTATTCATATTATGCAAAATTTATGATTTTACTTAAAATGGCAACATTCTTTTTATTTTGCACCTCAAGGTCTGTGAGGAAGTAGAAGGTTTATTATGATTCTTTTCATCGTCTGCTTCACTCAAACATCTTATTAATTTTTCAATTTCAGTTATATTCAACAAAAATCCATCAACTACACTATCAATCTACACTAACTGTCCATTTAAAAAATTTTCATAACAGAAAGAGAAACTTTTAAACTTACAATAAGATGCACTTGCAATTGTAAATTATGAGCAATACCATTGAGTTAATCCTCGATTGTTGTATTATCATAATCATTAACAATATTTAAAATTCTGAATTTTCGACAGGTTGAGAATGTAGTGTATGTTCATAATCACATTTTTTCTTAGCATTCATGTGACATCTTCTGTAATTATAATGAGTATACAATATTTTGTCCTTGTGAGATTCAATTCATGTAATATTTTATCCAGACACCATTGTGAATGGAAAAAACTTGATTTTTGAATCAGGAAATTTTGAATTTGAACTTGATTTCGAAAATTTTATTATTATGTTATCTCGCAGCTTGTTCATGCTATTTCATTTATTGGCTTAAAGCTGTGTGCAAAAAACTACTTATTTCATAAATTATTTAAATTTTCCTTTCTTACAGGGTATCTGCTACATTTTAAATTTTTCAATTCATGACTAATTCCATGAATTTTTTATGACTTAACGAAGTTAATGTTTTCTTCAACAAAAGCACAACAATAAATTTAAAAATGCATTTGAAATGATAGGTATAAGCAAAACTGTCATTCTCTGCATCTTCATATTTATAGATTTTAAATTTAAAAAAACAGAGAAAAGAAAGAGTAAAAGCAATAAAATAGCTAAAAAAAATACAAAAGCAATTTTTTTTTTCCCTTTTTTTTCTCTCAGAATTATAATCTAATGATACTTTTCTTGTTCATCAGAAAGAAAAGAAATACTATAGATTTTTCTGCTCTCATTTCGGAATTAAAAAAAATTTTGCCTCTGACTGGCTTGCTTCAGCTAGAATTTTAAATTGATAAAATAAAAAAAAATAACAATAAAAATTGTGAAACCACAAAAGTTTATAAGATAATCGTTCTAGAAATGATGTTTTTTCTTCCATTTTTTGAAGAGAAAAACCCATAATTTTTAAAGAATAGGATAAAAACATTTTATATTTTAATAAAATATGAATGAGTGGGGATTTTGTTACAAACTCAGATATTCAGAACACCATGAAATTGGGGGAGGGAGTAAATTCCATTTCAAAAATTAGAATTTTCGGTAACCTAAATCTATGATTTTCCATGATTTTTTTGAAAAAAATAGTTAAAATCATGACATTTCATGACAAATTTTGTTCAATACTGAAATTCATGACTTTCATTGATTTTTCGTGACTTTCCTGGTGTGTGGATACCCTGTTTTTAATGCATTTATATCCTGGAAGACTCTCAAATTAGAGCTTTTCCAGGTTATTTTATAAGATAATGAATATTAATAAAATTAAAATCATTTATAAAAAAAACGACTTGAGTAACACAGAATGATAAAGGGAAATCACAACAAGTCATGAATAAAAAAATAATAAATACCTTGGTGCTTGTGACAAATAAGATTCCAAACACCGATGAAGGTTTTCATCGTATACAATCTGAGACCAAAATCTACAAGATGAAGGAAAAGTTGTTTAGAACATTTATTTTATGCAAACAAAAGTAAAATAGTACTTCTCATGTGCATTACAAAAGTAAAATTTTGTTAGTCTAAAGTAAGAACTCCTCTAGCCATTTGTCTGAAAATTTTTTTTTTTTGATGATTAAGCTGCAGCCAAATTAAAAATATGTACGTAAATAACAAAAAAATAGGTTCATAGAAAAAAAGTACCAGCACATTGTAAAATAAAAACCAAAATGGATACATTTTTATTAAGTAGATAATTTAGTTAAAATTTTCAAAAACAAACAAACAAAAATTGACAGACTAGACTACCTGTGGTATGGTAATTTAAGCAACCAATGAAGGTCTTCTTCTATGAACACCATATATTCCAACCATTCTTCCTCGTCTGGGCTCAATTTTTCACTATTCAAATCACTTTGAGGAGGAGCTCTGAAGTTAACATAATATCGACTTTCCATAAAACCTATATGCTGGGGGAGAAAAAATAAAACTAAATAACAGTTATCAGAAAATTGTAGAAAATTAAAAGAACTCAGTTAAAACAAAAAGAAAATTGCAAATTGTAGTTGAACCTTGATTACTTGCCTCGTGTCAAAGAAAAAAAGTTTTTACTTCCAAATATATGAATATATGAAAAAATAATTAAAATCATGCATTTCATGACAAATTTTGTTCAATACAGAAATTCATAATTTTGCATCACTTTCCAGGTGTGCGGATACCCTGATCATACTTTATTCTTCCTAATTCAGTGGAGGACTAACCAGATTGCTTTTGATTTGGCACCAAAAAAACACTTTTATTAAAAAAATTACATTTAAGACTAGACAATATAAGAAATTTTGTGGTATAATACCAGTTAGGCATCTTGATATAGTGATATAATATATAAGTTTGAATATTGTTAGCACCTAATACACATTAAGTCAAGCTTGAATCAAGGTAAGAAATTGAAATATTTTATTATGCTTATTATGGAATATTTAATTTGGTAAGAAAAATGCAATAAAAACACCCATTCCTATTTGTTGGGGGAACACGCTAATTATTTCCTTTATCGCATATTGCAAAGCATCATCACATTAAAAAAATAATTAAATATCATGAAATATATAACAGTAATTACTTAAAAACAGATCGACAACAAAAACATGTGAATCAGACTCTTCAGAAAGGGGTTACTCAAATGCATATTTCGTTCCAAGATATGATTGTTGTAATAAATAATATTGTATAAAAAATATTGGGTTTTAAAAACTATGTGAAAATCAAAAGCAATAACTGCCAAAAAAATTGATAGAACCATTGGCGTAAAAAGTAAATGATCAAATGCGCAATTCGAATTTCCCATATTGCTTGAAATACATTGAGATATATTGAATGAGTACATATTGAAATATATCGGGATACCTAAAATCAAAGTCAATAACTGCCGAAAATACAATCAAAATCAATTTACGATAACGGCATAAATTGAGCGCTTCAAAATGTGATTATTTATATGCGCAATTCAAATTTATGCGTACATTTCTGCAGAAAAGCAAACCAAATTTTTTTACTTTCCAAAAGAAAAATCTTTCAGCAAGAACTTCTGCAAAGTTCTGTGAAAATGTAGCAGCAATTCTGCCTAGGCCTAAAATTATTTGTGTTTACAACTGGCTGTGTGATTCGTGACCTTATCTGCTTTTCAGATAACTCTTTCTAGGGATATGAAATTTCCACCAAAAGTCAGCCAGACTTTTTTTTTAGGACAGAGTTAATAGAGTAATTTTTAAATAGTTTATCTGGAATTTTACAGATTAAATGTAAGTCACATTTGTAATAACATAATTCCCTCACAATAAACATACTTTTTTTAAAAAAAAATTTCTGTTTAAAACACTCGGGATATTGTTAAATAACGGCTTGCAATAAATGAGTTTTGAATGTTTAAAAAATTCTTCAAATTTAAACAGATTATGTTATTTGCCTTTTAATCACTCATAATGATTATACTTACTATATATATATATATAAATTATAAAAATGATTATAAATTCAAAAATATAATATCTTACGATTCCTGAGACTTTGGTTTGAATTCCATGTTTGCTACAAACCTCAATTTCAGATTTGTCTAGAGGTGTGAATTCATTAATCTGAAAAAAAAAAAAAAAGGCAAATCATTTCAATCAAAGAATATTAAAATAACTTGCATCAATACCTTACATCCAATAATTATAACAAAATAAAAAAAATTGAAATATCCGATTATTTTTCATTAAATTTGATTAAATTCATTTCATTTAAATAAAAATTGCAAAACCATAAAAATATTTCAAATTTGATACATAACTTTAAATTTCGGGTATAGATTTGAAGTATGCTTGTCGATAAGAAAAATAAGCCCAGCACTAAAAGCCGCCCTCCATAACTGTCTTAAAAAGATATAAAATTATAAAAAGAATAATTTTTTAAGTTGTTCTCTGTGGTAGTATTTTCACAATCTAGTTCTGCCTTCTCAAGAGAATCAAATAGTTAACCATTTCGTACTGTAAGTTTTGTTTAAGACAATGAGTTTAAAATTTGTAGTAAAATCTTAATTTTTTAAAAATTTTTACCATTAAACTGGGAAGACAATTTTCATATTAATCAATATAATAACTGATTTTTTTTTTCTTCTTAAAAATTATAATTTCCATTATAAAAGTTGACCTGGTACATAAATCTAACACCATAACAAAATGTCTGATTGTGTAATTGTAAAACTTCTGATTCTATGTAATATAACTTTGGGCCACCTTGTATTACAGTTAGAATTTCGGGGGACATTTCCGTATCGTGATCTGTCGTGCCATCTACAATCGCCAAGGTGATAAATAGATTTTAAATTTGAATTTTTTTTAAAAAAAAAAATATGTAGATACTTGCCCGGGGGTGGCTATGAGTAATTATTTTTTGAGTTAGTCTTTTTTTGTAATGTTTTTTTTAGTTACTCGCGAGTCACTGCTCGGAAGTTTCTAAAACTTGGCGATTATTCAGCCGCAGATCACGATACGGAAATCTCCCTGAATTTTGAGAGACAGATCTATGACCTATAAACAAAATCTCACAATCAATTTTAACTTTTGATTGAATTTAATGCTCATTAAGGCTATAAGGAGAGAATTTTGTGATAAGAAGGGCCCTAAAAACAAATCAGCCAAGATGCTCCTAGTTTAAATAGGTAAATAATTTAACTGGGATTTTATTTTAGAAGATTTCTATATTGGTATATTTATTTCAACTTTTGCAAGTTATCCTTTGGAGATGGTTGTAGGCGCAGATAGATGCATACAACAATTTCCTAACATATAATTTAGAAGCTAAGTGTAAAATAAAAATAGATTTGGGTTTTCCTAAGACAACGAAACTTTTTACAGTATCAAGGTTCTACATAAATAATTTATTTTTACATTTACAAAATAAATACTTCTGAGGCAGCCCAATTTAAGTTTTTTACATCCACGTTTGTCTCTTCTCATGAAATTCTTTTATTTAAATTTTTTTCCTTTTCTTTAATTTTTCTTCTCCTTTTTTACCACGTAATACTACTGCTGCTTGACTGAAATTTGGAGTAAAATGCAATATTCAGATACTTTATTTAAAATACAGAATAGAACACTGAACTATGAACTGAATGTTCATAGAGGATGAAAAATGATAGATACAAAAAGACAAATAAAATAAGACAACAACACGACAAATTATTAATGCAAGCAAATTCATTCACATGTTTATTAAATAAATGTCAAGTTAATTTCTTTCCTTACCGAGTCTACCGAATTTCTTTTCGAACATGCCATACTTCAGAAAAATCCAAACCAAAACAAATCTTATTTACCTTATTTTTGCCGGTGGTTCTCTCTAATCTCAACAGATGGCAGCACAATAGAGAGCAAGTTCCAATATTCGCACTGGTGACACCAGAATACTACCGAATGGTGCGAATTTCTTACACCAGTGCACCGCACCAGTTGTTTCTTTATTCAAAACCCGGCGACAATGAAAAAACAGTTTTTCGGTTTACCTTTTTTTTTGTGATTTATCTCATTACTGGCGTAAAAAAAAAATTTCTGTAGAAAGTGCTTAGTTCTAAAAGAAGAGTTCTCATATGGAATTATAGAAAATAGTTTATTTTGTATTAAAAAAATTCCTTGGTGTTTCTGGTTAAAAGTATTTGATTGCGAAAGTATTAGTTGATTTTAGTATTATGCTTGAAAGCTTATCTTTTTTTTTAAATTTTACTATTATTATTATTTATATATGTAGAGAAAACATGTAAAAAACTGCAGAATAATAAAAAAAAGAAAAGAATAAGAGAAAAAAAAAGAATAAAATGAATTACTTAAAAAGAAAAAAAATTTAATGAAAATCCGGGGAAAAAAGATGCAATCTCTTTCAGATTACACGATTATATCCACAAAAAGGAGTGCTTCCTAATATTGCATCAATATATCCAAAGTAAAATATAAAAATATATCAATACAGTAGTGTGAGGAGCACTTAAAATTTTTTTGTTGCTAGATATGTGGTATAAATTATTGTAATCTGGTAATCTTTTTACGAAAATATTTTAAATCATTCTTGAAAATTTTCCCGTTCATGTGAGTTCATTTGAATTCGCTACTCGCTTTATAGATTTCGTTTCATGTTTTGTTTTGTTTTTTCTTTACATTTTATTTTCAATATTTTACATGATATTTATTAGTTGATGTGTTCCATTCTATTTTGCTTCAAATTTTTCTTGAGTGCTCCTCACATATTTGTTTGACCTACAGTCCCCCTTTTAGGAACCCTATTGAGCCAATTTTGAACCCAACTGGAGCTGAGGTAAAATTGTTGCTGGGTAAAAGTCGCCACGACGATTGGAAAAGGTAACCCGTTTTCCATGGCTACCTTCACTTCCTCTTGTGGTTTCTTTTTATCTGTGGTCCCGCAGTGGACTGATCGTTAAGACACGGTTCCCAGCAGATCACCGAAGTCAAGCATCACTGGCTGCGGTCAGTGAGCGGGTGGGTGACCACTTGGATCAGCCTGCTCAGGGACTGAGGGTGTGCGGTATTGGTCCTCGTTAAACTGCTATACCGAGAAGACCTCAACTTCGCGTGTAGGTCGTCGGGCTACCGAAGCGGGGATGCCATCCCTTCTGCAGGGGATCAAAATTGTGATGGAATGCCTTCGAATCATCCGCAGGGATGTCTCCCAGACCGTCGCCAATAGCCCATTGTGCAGCTCTAGTGCGACGTAAATGAACTACTACTACTACTTTTTGTCTGTGGAAATATGTCTTGGTGCAGAACTTTTTTCCAGAACCACGAGTTCGGCATCACCTATAAAAGCTCTTAAGAAAAGCCTCAGTATGAATGTAGGCAAAATTTATCAAAACTTCTGTTTTGTATTTTGTCGTGATTAGTAACCAGTAACGAAGGTGATACAGTATTTTAATCAACAAGCAGGTGTTTATATGATGTCAATATATTGATATGCAGTCGTATTTCAGTCTCGATAATGGCTAAAATTAAAACAAAATAGAATACAACTTTTAAAAAATGTAAACATCCAGATGTATGTCTTTAAGGGATACATTTTTCTCTTGCTGTTTACATTTGTGTACATTCAAGTACTGACATTTAAAGAAGTAGACCAAATTGATTCAGCGAGTAAATAATATTCCTCGTGATGTGTTTGTAGTTATACCTTCAACATGATCAAGATTCTTAATATTGTTTATTTCTGCTTTATTTTTGGAGTTATTTACAAAGGAGTTTAAACAATGAATTCGAAAGTAATATCGCTAATATTTTGTCTGTGCAGTCTGCATGTTTGTTGTTGTTTTCCTCTTTCTGGTGGTAGGTAGACATATTTTGTGAATATATTTCTATTTTATGGACTATCTTCATAGTTTATCAGTTAAACAAATAATTAGTATTTCAAGTGTTATAATTTTGTTTACACATTAAGTGAGATCATCTATATTTTATATGTCTTATAGAGTACCTCCATAGTTTATCAATGAAGCAAATAATCAGTATCATGGTATTATAAATATGTAGTCACATTAGATGAATTGATCTGTATTTTACATATTTTCTGGAGTACCTTCATACTTTATCCGTGAAACAAATAATCGGTGTAATTTTTGAAAGGTATCAATACATTACGTGAATTTATTTCTATTTCACGTATTTTATAAATTTATCTCTATTTCACGTATTTTATGAATTTATTATACCTTCATAGTTAATTATTCACAATTTATCAATATCAGGTGTTATAAATGTGTAGACAAAACCCATTAAGTGTATTTATTTATACTTTGTGGAGTTACTTCACAGTTTATTAGGGACACAAATATCAGAGTTCACCCTAAAAAAATTTCACATTATAGGCAAATACTATAAAGCATAGAATCAGACAGTTATTCCAAAATTACTTTACCTTAAAGGAAATTTGTGACTTTGCAAGTAATGTTTTCTTAATCGAATGTTACTCATTATAGTGTAATGTTTTTTCGTTACCATGAGAGTGCTAGGTGTTTTCTCAGGTGCTTGAGCTCTACATTTTTGAATGCTTATGTGCTCTTACTATTTTATACATCCTATAGGCAATTAAGAAGCTTGTTGCCTTATAAACAGTGGCAGGCTAATATATATATGTATAAAATAATATGTTTATAATAATTTAAGATCAAATATGAAGGAGAATTAATCAGATTTAATTGCTTTTTTAATAAATAACTCGGCTGTGAATTAATTGTAATTTTTGGACGAACTAATGATTTTGTTAGTATTTTTGTAATCTTCCGTTTTACAATAAAATTTTTAAATATAAACCATGAAACTTTAAAGTACTTATACATAGTAAATTTTCTTTTTTTAGTTTTCAGATCCCCAATTGCAATTAAAATAAATCTGATTCCACTACATTATCATTATTTGTTAATCAGAATTTTTTCAAAGAGTTGAATCTTTTTAAAATACTTCAAAATCAGGAATTCAAATTTATCAGAGCAACACTTGTGAGTGTTTGGGTTTGCCAGAGTCTTGAGCTGTTTTGTTTTTTTAGACTGGGCCCAGTTGGAAAAATCCACTAAGTTTGTTTTTTATTTTATATTTTACCAGTTTGATTTTTATTTCTAATCCATTTCCGTTAATACAATTATCAAACTAATTTGTTCTTAGAAATTTTTGGTTGATTGTTTTATGTAAGTGGAAATTGTTAACTCTGTACATAAAAAATGCATGGAGTGAAAGATACTTCTTTAGTGTTCCTAGATGAACTGCATACCGTAAAAGGTTTACCTAACAATCAAAAATATTTAAGAATGAAGCTACAACTTAATTCGATGAAAAACTATAATTTAATTAAGTATATGATTAGTAACAACGGTGTAGAACTGAAATAGCCTATTTGGTAGGGCACTTGACTCACGCTTGTGAGAGCGGGAGTTCGAATCCAATCGGCGAAAACTTCCCGTGAAGTAAATGGTGACTGGCGCATGTTAAATCTGATGGGTCACTAAGTCCTCCATGTTTCCATAACAAATTATTCCTGCGGGGGTACTAAATTGGAGATTGATCGTTCTCTGGGTCAGGTCAAGATTATGATTTTTGGATAAAGGAATGGGTCTGCCCTATATGCAAAAGTTGAAATCCTTGGTCAAAGATGGCGCCACTGGAAAACAAGAACAATTGTACCCCCTCTGCCTTAATGGCTAACGACAACAATAGCAACGGCGTAAAGGTAGTGAGTATCTGAAGGGAAAATTAGAAATTTACTTTATTTACAACATAACAAAATGATAATGTTAAAAGATTTACCACTGACTAACGAGCATTTAATTGGAGGGAAGTAGATACCTTTTATCTACAATAACGCTTTTCTGCAGTAAGATCAACCAAATGAGGAGAAATTCAAAATAAGTACTTATTTATTAAACAAGGTCTCGGACCAGACAAGGTTGACTCAGCTTTTCACCCCTTTAGTGGGTGGATAAATGAGTACCAAGCATGCTTGGGAACTAAACACTGAGGGTTTCTCGTTTGGCTGACCACCTAATCGGAACATCTGCTCTTGCACTCCAGAGCCCAAGGTCAAGAAAACTGAGATAGGCGCAGTAGGCCATGGCCCTCTATCTGTCGCACCTAGGAGTTTAGTATTAAACAAGGCAATTTTGTTATTTTAGATGTAAAAAGTTGGAGATTTAGCAATATTAACTTTTAATGTGATAAGTTTAGTTTTCAATTAGTTACAGGCTGTTGAAGGGCAATATAATCTGAAATTTTTAGTCACATTGAGTGACTTTAAAAAAAAATTTTTTTTTATTTTTATTAATTTATATTGATATTGAAAAGTGAGGTAAATAATCATTAGAGTAGATTATATAAAGATAGGTCCTGTTGCTAAAGTATCTAGAATTATTGCACATTCTGATTTTTACGAAAATTCTCATAAGACATTTTAGATATTTTTTGTCAGACACAAAAATTCATAATTATTTGTTTTGAGTAAATCAGTTTGATTTCTCAAGAACTATTCGCCTAATCCTTTTAGGTTCCTAATCTATTTTGATTCATGCAGGTCACTTTGCAGGTGAAAAAATTTTCAACGCCCACTTTATGTTAAAACAACAACAATAATAACATGAAATAAATAATAAGTGGTTTTTCATATTTTATGTCTTTTAATAGTTTTGTTATGATATACTTTTAAAACCATTCCTTAAAGTTATTTAAATTTACCTATTATGACTAAATTATTACATTGGATATGATCATTTTCTATGAATTATGAAAAATGTGAAATAAATGTTGTTTACTAATGTTATCAGCTTGACATGCTATCCATTGCTTGTATTTTTAGTGCAGCTGTTACTTAGTGAAACATATTTCAAAATTAAATCAGATAAATAAGTGTTATAAATATAAATTATAAACAATTATATAATATAATTATATAATATAATATAATTATAAACAATTTATAATATAATTATAAACAATTTATAATATAATTATATATATATATAATATAATTATAAACAATTTGATATTCTAAATTATATAGTTTGAAGATGTCAGTATTTTAATATTGTCCTTTTGAATTATTAAACAAAGTAGGAAGTAAATATAAATCATTTTAAAAATACATTAAAATCTTTATAAAGCTGGTTAAAAGTGAGATAAAATTTTAAAAACTATTTAAATATTTTAAAAGTTCTTGAATAATAATTTATATTTTTAGTTTCTTCATTTTTGTAGAAGAATTTCAAGAATCCGCTTAGACATCGTTCAATGTAAAGTGTATATTACGCGTTTTCCTTCTCATCATTGAAAATCATTATTCTTAAAGACAAAAAATTTTACTCCATGACAAATATTATGTGCTAAGTCATAAATGTAAATAGTTCTTTGATACCAAATTAGAAAATGTATGAATTTTAATAGGCACTCAATTTAAATGACCCTCTAGATACAAAATTTTGCCCGCTTAACTTCTTCACTGCCTAGTGGGAAACGATAGCACCTATGTTGAAAACCTATAATTTAAATGTACAAATGCAGTTTTTTCTGACAATGAAATAGTGTTAAATTGCAGTTTTGTATGTAATCAATTTTGTTTGAATTGTCAATTTAAAATTTGCTTCTGTCTCTCTTTAAGTAATTCTTTGGTGTATTTTCCAAATCTAATGCACCAAGTTTTCTTACTGAAATGCTATTTAACCATAAATGCAAGTTCTGTTATTTTAAAATATTGCATTCCTTTATTAGGCCGTTTAGATTTTCCAGACCCTCTCAACTCCATCCCTAGTTACCTGCTGTTTCTCGTTTCTGGAGCATTTTTGATTCTACTTATTTATGCTATGATTGGTTGCGTCTGTTGTCCAAATAAAAGCATAAAGGTAAACATTATTTACTTTTTTTTTGTAAATTATTTTTCTGTTGAGTTATTCAAGAATGTTTGATTCAATAGAAAATAACTTAAGATTCAGATTAAATTTGTTATGTCCGTACCTTAGACTGCATGAAATGGTTAATAATTTTTATTTTTCAGAGCAAAATTGTCTCTCTGAAGTTGAAGTCATTCAGTTGAAAGATGTCAAAATATTTTATTTAAATATTGATTTTTCATAAAACTATTTTCTTACATTCATCAATGCCCTAAGATTCTATTTCTGATTCAATAAAGATAAACTTTTTGCCTAAATCATTTCGTTTGGTTGCTACTTTTTTTAAAAAAAAGATTTAATATTTGCCATAAAAAAAAGTTTTGAAGAATAAATTAATAATTTCGTAACTTATTATTAGGAATGCAATTTTTATAATATTCATGCTCAAATCTGTGCATCCCCTTTAAAAAAAGAAAATTGTAGACTACTTTAAGAATGCATTTAATATTGCCAAAAAGTTTCTTTAACAGAAAAAAAAATTATCTCCAATTTTTATCCTATTCATTAGTATTACTGAATATATTATCTGGAAAGAATTACACACGATTTATTAATAACTGATTTATTTTTAGCTTTTCTTTAGTATGTTTTTATTGAGTTCAATAATTGTTTTTAAAATATCCTAATAAAATGTCAGGTTTTTATAAATATTTAACAAAGTAATATAAGTATACCTATGTTTATATGGATAACAATATTATCTAATTGCTTAGTCTATTATCTAAAGCTAATGTTAGTTTTATCATTCAAAGAATGAATTTGCAATTCTTAACTAATTTGCACCATATTTAATGCACATAGGTTTGAAGTCAAATCAATCTACTTTAAACCTGTTTGCATGCTACAGCCCAAGAAAGAGTTTTCTATCATAGTATTAATCCATCTTATTTCCATGATAGGTTTTCCATCATGAGTCATGTAAGAGGATCCATTAAATATATTTTCATATTGACTTAGTTCCACTTAAACCGTAGATAGTCCCGCTTTTTAATTATTTAAAAGTAGTAGTAAGTCGTTCTTAATATTTTGATAGCTAGCAACTCTATTTAATCCAAAACAAGTTTCATTGGGAGTTAAAGCACATCTTTGTTTATTATTTTCTTTTTTAGCATTATACATTGAGTTAGCACAAGTATAATCAAAATCTTGTAATTTTCTGATATATGAGAGTGACATCACTGAATAAGTAAACCTGTCCAAAACAACAACCCCACACCCCTACTTGAAATAGTTATACCTCATTAATGTAGTCACCGCCACAGGTCCAGGCGAATGGCTAGGGGAGCTCTTACTTTACTCAAATTACACTATTATTGTGAGCAATTTATGTTTTGGATAGTTTTTAGACCCTTTTTTTTTGTTCTTTTATTTAAACGACCTTATATATTGTATGATCTCGAAACTCTTTTTATCTAATTTACATTTTCGTGTTTTTATTACATTCATTATACATAGATTGTATTCTATTTTAGGCATTAAGCTACCAAAATGGTATGCCAATTAACGGATTAAATGAGAATAATTCATCATTTGAGAATCAAACTGAGTTTGCTATTTTCCCACCTCATTCAGCGGTTATTGATATGCAACCGGTTGGTCTGCCAGTTTTTGAAGATAAAATTACTTTTGAGCCTTTGCCAGATATCCTGCCTAGGAAAATATCTAATCAACTAGGAACTGCTTCTTCACGGCCTGCACACTTTAAAAGTTTCTTAAAGAATGCAGTCTCCCTCCATGATTGGTTTGGTAAGTTTTCCACTGCATACTATGCAATATTTTTAGACTGTAGACAATTAGGGCTAATTGATTACTGACTTTTGCTAGTTTTGGAAACATTACTTTGGCACCTGCATACATTATATTTTATCATTTATGTATATATAAAGTCATACCACACTATAATGAATCCAAAATATAATAAAGATTCAATGATCGCATCCAAACTGCCCTTGTGGCAGAATTTTTTCAGGCTTTCTGTGACAAAACTCTCTAGCTCTAATATCTTTCTGCAAGATATTTTCAATAATACCAAAGATGTATGTTACTAATTTAAGGTTACAAAAACAAATTTTTTTTTGATTTGTAATATTTGTTTGATTCTAATATTATCGGCCATATTCTCAAATTTTGTTGGAGGGGGATGTTCTAATTATTTCCTTTATTGCAGTTTACAAATCATCATCACATTAAAGAAATAATTAAATATTGTGAAATCTGTAGTCTGAAATTACGATCATGAACCTGTAATTACTCAAAAACGAATCTACGACAAAATCACGCAAGTTGGACTCTTCAGAAAGGAGTTACTCAAATGCATGTTTCAGTTACTCAAATGCAGATGATTTGATTGTTGTAATAAATAATATCTTATAAAACATATCGGGGTTTTAAAAACTATGTGGAAATCAAAAGCAATAACTGCCAAAAAAAATCGATACAATCATTGCCTTGAAAAGTAAACGATCAATTCAATTTCCCATATTGCCTGAAATACATTGAGATATTAAAAGCCACATGAAATAACTGCCAAAAATATAATAAAAATGGATTTACGATATTGGCATAAATTGAGCATTTCAAAAAGTAGTTGCATTAAATGCGTGATTCAAATCATGCATGTGCATTTCAGCAGAAAAGCAAACCAAAATTTTATGCTTCCCAAAAGAAAAATATTTCTGAAAGAACTCTGTAAAGTTCTGTGACAATGTCGCTGTAATTCTGCCACGAGGCCAACTGCTATTTAACATCCCTAGTTTAGTCTTGTGGTGTAACTCTTTTTATTGTTTTTCAGTTTTCCGCATCGTCTTTCTAAATCGAATATTTTTTCATTTATCGAATATTTATTGAATACAATAAGACTCTTATTTTTTTGTTATTCTACTGCATTAAAAAGTTCATAATTTTAAAACAAATTTTAACTTATTTTCATATTCATTGAGAGAACATTTATATTTTCTCTTAGTAGAAGACTTTCAATAAATAATGATCTTTTTCTTAGATGATCCAAACTGCAATTTCCCACGTGATCAGTTGCAATACATCAACGAATTGGGTGTTGGCTGGTTTGGACGTGTTGTTGAAGGTGAAGCATCGCATATCCTCAATGAAGAAGACAAAACCAAGACCATTGTTAAAATATTGCGTGAGGAAGCTTCACCAACTGAGCACCTAAACTTTCTCTATGAAGCTCTTCCTTACAGGTATGACACTTTTAATGTTTAACTGTTCATATTGAAAAACTGTTAACAGGGTTCCCACAGTCCTTAAAAGTCCTTAAAAACTGCTTAATTTTTATTTTGAAAAATAAGGGCCCTTAAAAGTACTTGATTTTGGTACAAGGTTTTTAGAAGTACTTAATTATTGCTATACTTGATAGCAATGATTTTTTCAGTCTTACAAAAATATTTTTAAAAAAAGTCATTCTTTTATCTCCTAGAATGAGACTATGCATTAGAGATGCATCATTTTAGAGAGACAAAATTTTTGGCTTTTTCTTTTTGGCATAACTGAATATTTAGTATGATTGGCCCAAAATTTGCAAATCTGAAATTTTGCACTTAATTTTATTATTCCATTTCAATTAAATCATTAAATATGGAATACGGATTAGTGTCATAGATGTTAACATTTAACAATCTGAAAATATTTTTATTAAAAACTCAACTGCGATTTTCAAAAATTGCCTGGTCCTAATTTGGCTAACCCTGTTAATTAATACAATTATATCAGTACTTACAGTGTAATAATTTTTTTTTTTAAATTATAATGTATTTTTTTTAATCATAATTTTTAAATTTTTTTTTATTTATTGATTTTTTTTTAAAGAAAGATAAATAATTATCACTGTCACTGGTGGTATATTCAATGATAAACAATTTACTATTTTTAAGGTCCCTAGTTTCTTGAAAAAGTCCTTAATTTTTACCTTGTTTAAAGAGTGGAAACCCTGATTAACTGTTAATATTAAAGAAAAGAGCAGTTACATAAATGCTACCTAGTATTTAAAGCAAAGCATCAAGTATTATTTTCATTTCCTTTTTTATATCATTATGTATTAAAAAAATTTTTTTTAGTTGTTTTTGCTTTCTTTAATTTTTTCTGGCATATATTTAAATAAAATAAAAAGTGCTGTTACTTAACTTGTACTTGAATCAAATTTACGATATTATGTATAAAGAATTAAGTTTTGTTTCAATGCTTATTGAACTGTTTATTTTCAAAGCAACATCCATTGAACAAATATGATTCTCTTTAATTACGCTGCACATCTTTATTTTTTGTGTAAATTAATTATTGTGCTAAATTTTTTTTGATGGAGGAAAGAAATTAATAGCAATATTTATTCTATATATTTATTTAATTCTACTATATTTATTATTTTTCTTATCTTTTCTTTAAATAAATTTTAATTTGAGAATATAAAATTTTTTAATTCATTGAAATTTTGAAAACTTAGTTAAGTTAAAAAATACTCATTTAGCAGGTGAAATTATGAAGGAAATTCGCAAAAATGACCTTAAAAATTACCTGCCTTAAAAAAACTGCCGTCTCTGACCTGTATTTTTTTATATTGGTTACATGCTGAAAAAGAAAAGTTGATTCTAGAAAGCAGATTCAGTTTAACCAATAAAGTATTGCCTACATTTCCCTAAACTTTATATCCTCACCAAATGGTCTTAGGTATAATAACAAGTTTATTATATTTTTGAAATTGATTTATATTTTGTAGTACATTATGGCATATATTGATTTATTGCAGGGATTTGTATCATCCAAATTTGGTTCGATTGTTGGGAAGGTGTCTAGAGTCTGATCCTTTTCTCTTAATTATGGAGCACAATTTAGGAGTAAGTCTTTAATTTTAAATGTCAAATTTTTACTTAGTATTTTCTCTTCAAAACAGTTTTGTAGAATAGTGAATTATTCTTCCCATTTAAAACAAGAGAATACAATTAGAATAAACCTTTAAAAAAGCAATTTAATTTTGTAAGAATTCCCACTGTTATGATTTTTTCTGTAATTGAAATGTTAGAACAGGTGCGCAAATTGCACGAAACTGTTTCAATACAAAATTTCAGCTATTTATTATTTTTCTTGGCATTTTAAAACTCTCAATGAAGTTTTATTTTTCTTGAGAATTTTTATTGTTCAAAACGTCATTTGTTAGGTTCACTATTAATCCATACTAGTTTTAGTTTTGTAATGTTGTGATCTTATCGAAGTCATTATGTCTGCTGTAGCATTATAAAAATCTATATCCCTTTAACATGTTTGCAATTTATTTTGAATCTTTTAAGATAATCACCTAAATATGTCACCTCTATTCATATATTCATTTAAATTCGAAGTTATTTTAATTTTGTAACGATATCTATCTTGTCAAAACAATTATGTCTGTTATAGCATTATAAAAATAGTATCTTATTAACATGTTTGCAGTTTATTCTGAATCTTATAGGATTTGCAATCTTTCCTATTGGAATATGATCAAAGACAATATTTAATGAATCACCTCAATTCATATAAATCAGGGATCTGTCCAGACATTTTGTGAAAAGTCCGTTTTTGTAAAATTATGAAAAAATTACGAGTAATTTGTGAATATAAAATAAACGTTAAGTCACATTTTTTCAACCAGGGTCCTGCTTTTGTGAATTTGTGCAAATAGGGTACATTATTGCAAAAAAAAACTTTTTCATGGAGTTTTTAAATTGTAAAGACATACAAGATTATGCTCAACACTGTAAAATTATAATTAAAAAAATGAAATTTTTAAAAATAAACAGCAATTGCTGCTACTAAATTAGATATGCAACATACAAATATTTGGTATTTAGCCTATACTGCTGAGCGCAGAATATTAATTTCGGATGAATAAAGGAAGAAGCGTCTGCCGAAGACAAAATTTAGTTCATTTGCATCTGTCTTTCTCCTCCCCCCTTCCTGGGAAGGGTTTATTCGATTAACAAAACAATAATAAAGATAAACAAATTTGTGAAGGGTCCGATTAAAAGATAAATTATTTTGTGGGGGGTCTATTTTTAAGTTGAAATATTTTGTGAAGGGTCCGTTTTTATGAAAAGATATTTTGTGAAGGGTCCTTTAATGGACCCAAATTTCTCCTAAACAGGCCCCTGTAAATACTCATATAATAATTTAAATTCAAACCAATTTTAATTTTGTAATGATGTCCATCTTGTCAAACAATTATGTCAGTTATAGCATTATAAAAATAGTATCTTATTAACATGTTTGCAATTAATTCTGAATCTTATAGGATTTGAAATCTTTCTTATTGGGATATGATCAAAAAGAACATTTAATGAAAAATGGAATTCTACTCCGTATGGCTTATAACGTTGCTTCTGGTCTTCGATACTTACATAAATGTGGTTTCACTCATGTGTAAGTCATAATTTTAATTGATTTTGTCATTTTTATTAAACTTTTTATTATAGTGAGTACTCATCCTGGTTTGTTCTACAGGGTTTCCACGCCACAGTGAAAACCTAGAAAATACAGGGAATTTAAGAATCATCTGAAATAACAGGAAAAATGCAGGGAATTTTTATTTTTTCTTTACAAACTGGGAAAATACAGGGAATTGGGTTTCCTATTTTCGTCTTTCAAAAAATGGTGACCACTCAAAGCCTAATCTATGGGACATTTAAGGATGATATTTCAGTTATACTAAACCATTTCATTTACTATAGCATTATTTAAGTATGTTAAGCTGTTCCTTTTTTCTTATGCATTTTCCCTCAATTAAAAATAGTATAACTAACCCAACATAGCTGGCACAAGAGCACAATAATTGTGTTTCCTCTTAATATATTGTGCGTAATATGTACAGTGAAAACATGGGGAATTTTTTCCCCCAGATTTGAGTGGCTACCTTGTTCTACAATGGTGTATTTCTTTTAATTAAAAAAGTTGGCAGTAGAACACTGGTACAATTTCTTACAATACATTCCTTTTAGGTATATTATCCTCAAATTACATTGCTTTGTGATAAAAAGTAAGCGACTCAACATTTCTTGTTCGAAATAAAAGAAAAATTCCATTGATTGGAATCAAAACACTTCACTTAGGTTTGATAATCTAAGCATTTAATTTAAAATTTAATTTCTTCAAAAGATGAAATTTATTCGCTAGACTTAAATATCTGTGGTAAGCAAAAGAATGTTAATTTCGTCCTGGTTTAGAACATTGTGAAATGTGTATAAAAAAAATTAAGCTGTTGAAATATTTTTAAGTCAATAGAGATTGAAAGTGTTCAGAGAGAAATATAACAGCTGTTATGCTTTTTCTTTTAGAAATAACTTAAGTAAAAACCATGTTTTGTGTCTGAAACAACAGTTAATTTGGATTTTTTTAAATATACCTTTAAAATTCTTCTTTTTAACTCTGTTTCAGGGATTTAGCTGCTCATAATTGCTTTATCTCTGCTGACATGACTGCAAAAATTGGTGATTATGGAATATCATTTAACCTACATAGGGTAAGATATTATCTTAATTCCCCCTCCCTCTCTCTATTCAAGTTACAGTATTTTTTTGGTTCTATTAAATTCATTAAGAATCATTAGAATTTTTTTTTTTTTTTTTTTTTTTTATTTTTTTTTTTTTTTTTTTNTTTTTTTTTTTTTAAATGTGTATTAAAAATTATTGACTACAAGACAAGAATTACTACAAGATTGAGCACAAGAACAGGTTTGCCAATTTTCTGTGAATCCAATCATAATTACATCTTGCTCTTTTTTTAACTTTTAAATATTTACCGATAGTTTTCAATTCAAAAATTAAGTTAAAGAAGATTTTTCCGAAAAAAAAATATTTTCCTAATATGAAATAATATCCTGCTACACAATTGATAATTAATTCTGGGATTTTTATTTAATCGAATAATCTGTGCTACACTATTGGGTGCATTCCATTCTAGGATGATTACTACTGTATCGGAGGCATCACATTGCCAATAAGATGGTATTCTCCTGAAACTTTGGTGTGCACAGAAAGTATAATTGAAACTAAACCGATATCTAAGGAGGCTAACGTATGGTAAGTCACTTTTATTATCAAAACAAATTATGAAAAATTGTTTTAATATTGCCCATTTTTTAAAAAGACTAGCTTAGGCACCATAGTGTTATCATCTATGTTTAGAGAATAGAGAAGAAATGAGACATAGAAAGAAAATGTATGAATAGTTAGAGGGCAATTAAAAATGTATGTTTTATTAATAAAGGTTGACACTACCTTGATTTTCCCCCAAAATCAATGTTCGATTTTTTATTTTCTTTTTATAGTGTTGGATAAAATAATTTTTTAAAATTCAAGCATCACAACAAATAAAAAAAAGAGGGACTAGAAATTCTTTCCCGGATTCATAGTTTTTGGATTTTTTTTTTAATCATTTTCCCTCTTTTGTTTTAGTTTATTTTATTTGATTTTTTAAATAAATTTTTTGTTTCCTCCCCCATTTTTCAAGGTGTATGGTCACCTCTAACAGATATATAGGTTTTGCATCGCAATTTCATGTTGGCAGGAGTGCCCACAGGGGGACAGGTTGCCAAGGACAATTTTAGGGGATCCTTTTTTAGAAATACTTTTGATATTTTTCGTAGTTTTTTTTAAAAAATTGTTATATAAACTTGGGAGATATTTGTGATTATTTAAGGGATATATTTCTTAAATTTGGGGATGGATATTTTCGAAACATTTTTTGTGAGAGATTTTTCAAGATAAAATTATTATATCTTCATTGAATTTATGTGACCTTACGATCACATAAAATGACAAACGAAAAGCACATTTATGATCAGTTGTTTAGCTAAAATAGATGAGATTTTTTTCAGATGAAATTGAGGCAATTTTACTCAGCTCTAAATCATAGTCATAGAAATTACATATTAATTTATATGTTATATATAATTTATAAACTCCATTATATGTGTTACTGATCTCATAGATCAAAAATTATTAATTTTGTCTAACTTATTTAGAGAAGCTATAAAACTAAACTTTTAGATTAAAAAGTCTTAAGAGACTGAATTCTTTTCTACTTTAATGTGACCATTTTGTGATGCATTTCCTGCTACTAAAAATCCACATCTTAAACTGCTTTTTAAATAAAAATTAAAAAGTGTGTGATTTAATCACTGCATGATTTTTAAAAATCCAGTTTTTAATATGATATTACGATATATGAATTTCAAATTTGAGTAATCACTTTTCACAATTTATATATAGGGGAGAGTTGGATAAAACGGGATACCATTATTGTTTTTATTTACTACGGAATATCTGTTAAGGAAAACCATACATTATTTTTTTTTGTAGTTACAACATTTATTGAAGCACACAAAAAACATATTTTAAACTAATTTTGATGACTGTGAAATAGAAAAAAAAATTCATTTCCAAACTCTTACCTATCCCGTTTTAGCATACCTGGGTTGGATAAAACGGGATAGGGTTCACAACGCTTAATTTTTTGCAAATATATAAATATAAAATAATAAATAATGCAAATATATAAATAATATTGTTTATATATAAAAATGCTAAAGTCTTCATCACGACATCAATCATTACAACGTCAAATACATTACAATTAGTTCTAAAGAAAGATGTGAAATTCTAGAGTCGAAAATAAAATGCTTAATAATGAACGTTAATAAACAAATTTTGCATTACTATATAAAGAGACTAAATTTTTCAAAAATATATATAGCTAATATAAATAAGTTGTTTAAAAAGCCTAGGCCTACATTAATTTATGGCTATTTTAAAATGTAATAATCCAACAAATGAATAGGTGGATAAAACACACATGAAAAACTCTATCCCGTTTTATCCAACTCACAAGTGTCCCGTTTTGTCCGACTCCAACACTTTTTGAAACAAACATGGCTGCTGCCTAAATGTGAAAAGAAAATTAGATAGACTGCACATAAAAAATATTGGTAAATAAATGGTTAATTAAATTTTATACTCACCGGAATTTTATTCCCTTATATGTAGGCAGTACAATGTAAAAAACAAGGCACGTAAATGTAGAAAATGGCAAAAAAATAGAGTAAAAAAGTTCTGAGACTTATAACTTTCTATCAAATAGTGATCTCGAGGCGGGACGCACCGAGAATGATATAATCACGGTCGAATAACACGTTTCTGTCGTTGTCCACTAGATAGCTGCAATAGTCTGGTCACTAGGCGACGTATCCCGTTTTGTCCGACTATCCCGTTTTATCCAACTCTCCCCTATATACAGGAAGTTTTTTTTTGAAAAGTCTGTTTTTTTTTAAAAATAATTCAAGTAATTAAAAGTATTTAATCTTCTGCAACATAAAAATTTTTTTATCTAAAAATTTAGTGCTAGAGCACTAACGTTTATATAAAAATTATCATAGTGGCTATCAGCTTGTCTAAATGGATCATGGTATATAACAATTAAGTCATTTAATAAAATTTTAGTCTTGTTATTGAAAAATTTTTGTTCTTATTTAGGCAACTATTTTCATGCATTAGGCTACTAAAAGCAACTATTTTGTTCATTTTTTTTGTGACAACCCTGAGTTGCGTCTCTAATATTTTGATTTAAGGTGCAAGTTCCAAATCACTTTTCGTTTGTTTTACCTGTATAAAGTTTTTTCTTTCTTTTATGACATTTTATCAAATGGTCATTTGATATATATCATTTATATTTATCAAATGACATTAAATTTTTCAAAACTTTTAGTTAGAATTATATTTAAAGTACAGTAGAGAACCAATTATCCGGGATGCTCGGGACCATCGCTATCCCGGATATCTGAATTTCCCGGTTTTCTGGATCGACCAAAAAGTGTCGTTAATCGATGTTTTATCGAACCCGAAGTACAAGGAAAAAGTGTAATGCATAAAGTAAGAGAAAAAAGAAAGGTACTCCTAACTTTATAAAGAAAAAAAAAATGGTAGAAATATAACATTTAAAAGAATAAAAAAATTTGCAAGTTTAGACAAGAAAATCAAGTTTAAAAAATACAAAATTCTCATATTTATTTTTTAAAAATAATTACAATTCCTAAATTAAATAATATAAACAAAACCAATGATTAAATAACGCAATATATTTCATACCTAATTATACGGGGGGAAACGATAAAATAAAAAGAAAACTTATTAATCTAAATAAAAACACTTGAAACTTATCGAACCGAAACGAAAGTTAAAAAAAGGCACTAGCATAAATGGAACAAGGCAAGATCAACGGAATTAAAAAGAAAAAAAACCTAATGATAAAATTTATGAATAAAAGGAATTAATTTATTGAGCGCGAGATTTATCGCGAAAAGAAAAAAAATCAAACGTAGTGGAATCAGAAAAACAAATCTGCTTCATAAAATAATCCCATGTTTAAATTAATAAACAATTCTCCTTTTATTTTATGTTTTTTTTTGTTGATAAAAACAAGATTCTTAATTACAGCAGATGTGATTCCACACCAAGAAAAACTTGCAATTGATACCGCACTTCCAAAGAATGAGAATTTATTCAAAAGAAAAAGATTTTATTTTAAGAAGTCGATGTCAAATAAATATATTTTTCTCTTTTCTTTTTCTGTTCACTGATATGCATGGAATGCATTTTCCCCACCCCCCTCGTAAGTCAAGCAGAAAACGAAATCAGCATGCCACACCCTTGAGTTTGATTGACGGCCTGAAGAAAAAAATAAAACATTCCTCCCTTCCCTGCCTTCAAGGTCACGGAGGAAATGACGTTTCTCTGGGTAAACGGGGAAAAATTTTTTCCCCTTCCTTACATTTTCCTCTACTCAAGTTCAAGGATGAGTCCAATTTCCGCTTTTTTCGTTCTAGTTTAAAAATGGCGGGAAAATCGAGCAAAATTTTTCCCGGTTTTCTGGTTTCCCGGTTATCTGGATACCGGATAAATGGTTCTCTACTGTACTACCTGTGTTATCATTTGAAAAGATAGTTTTCTTAGTCAGAATTGATTTTTTTTTGTCACATTGAAAATCATAATTTTTATTTTGAATGTATCCAGACACAATTTTTATTAAAATCGATAAAAAAAAGTTATATTTCGATCAAAAAAAGTGGGTGTTTCGATAAAAAAAGTGTTTATTTAAATTTCAAAATTTTGTCACTATAACCGTGATGTCTGATCTTGAGTGCATAGATCATACCACACATGTGCAAAATTTAATTCCGATCACTCAAACGGTATGCTCTCCAGAGAGTTTATACTAATTACCAAAGTTATTTTATAATAATTCAGTGTTTTCATTGCAGAGAAAAAAATGGGAGAGAATTTCTACCCTTTCTCAAAAACTGGGTGAGATTCAAAAAGTCAAGTGAGATTTCTAAAAATTAAAAAAATACGAGTAGACTTGTAAAAAAATATTTCTTTAATTATAAAACATTTTTAACATCTTCTAATTTCTAAACCATTGAATATTTTCGCTGCATCATCATATGGAAAATGTTCTCTATCTGCTTTTTCATCAGCTATTCTCATTAAGTTGCTCAAATGCCCATCAGTCAATATGTTACGATATTTTGTTTTAATTCGGTTTTGGGTGCTAAATGACCTTGCAACAGATGCTGAACTATTCAGAATCACTAATTAAATTTGTAGCATTGTGCACACACTTTCCTACCCTCTACATCTGTCAGCATAGGCTTTTCAATTATTTCTGTTATAGAATAGTGAAGTTCGTTGAAGTTATTTCCATGTTCATACTTCTTGTTAGGCCTTCCAGCATAGTTTTGGCAGACTTAAACTTTTACAAATTGCTGTAAATTGTCGATGAGGGAGTTTGGTAATTCATTAACAGCTAAAAATAGAGCTAACTTTTAACAACTTATTATGAAGGGCTCATTTGTTTCCCTCAACACTTGTAGCTGTTTTCATGTCTTTCTCAAAATGGCAGATTTTAATCACTGGCGGAAGACAAATTTTTTTCCAAAATTCGAGAGATTCACGCATTTTAAAATGAATTAATAAAGTGCGCGAACTTCTTGCGTTAATCATTTTTTAATGTGAGATTCTCACATTCTCGCGCTGTAGTGAAAACACTGATAATTTTAATATAATTGTTTTCATAAATAGTGTAAAAATAAGTTAGCAGTAAGTGACAAAAAATTAGATTCTTGTGGTATTTCATCTATCAATCATACAAATCAAACAAATCATAGTAATAACTAAAAGAACATCATTTCGTTTAGAATGTGAAATGCTATTAAAAAGATCTTGGAAATCAAATGTCATAAGGTTAAGGTCTAGGAAACCAAGATCTCTTAAAAAACGTTAGCCTATTTCCAGAGAAATTCTTTTATTTTATTTGTTTGTTTATTTTGTTTAAAAAAAATTATCTGGAAGTGTCAGGGAAATAGGTTTTGGTTGGAAAGTGGTCACCCTTTGTTCCCTTTTTTTTTCAGTTGAATTGCTGAAAAATTACAGTACTGAAAAAAAATGATTCATCAGTTCAAAAATTGTTCATTATCTGTTTTAACAGATAAAAAAATCTCTTCAATATCAAACATTTGCTTTATTTTTTTTCCTTCCTGAAAACATTTCATCACTAAAAATAAGAGATATGGTTTTGCCCACTGTGATAAATATTGATATTTTTCTTCAACTTTAGGGCATTTGGCATTGTTGTATGGGAAATATTTGAATTTGGAAAACTTCCTTATGAAAAACTCAGCAATGAAGAAGTGTTACAAAAAGTACTCATAGAAAAATCTGTGCAACTTCCACCCATCTCTGGAAATTGCTCTCAAAAAAGTGAATTGTAAGTCATTTTGCATATTGATTCCATGGGGTTCGCTGTTGTTAACAATATTATTCCTTCAATTTTATACCTGCCAATTTTTACCATTTTATAAAAGATATTTCCAATTGGTAGGAAGCTTTAGGCTTTATTGTATTGTTCTGGGCTTTAAAAAAATTAGATTTAAAATTATTATATTTGCTATGAAATAAAAATTTAAAAAAAAAACTGAAAATGATGCTGTGGTTGAGTGAGGTGATGTCAAAATTTGTACTTCTACTTTGCTTTTCTACTGCTACTATGCGAAATATGTACCAAAACTCATAATTGCTTGCAGCTTATTATGAAAGCAATTCTTATTATGAAAGAAGGAACGATTTACAAAGTTCTAACCACCTGAAAAGTATATATATGTAATATTACATATGTATACTTTTCTTTAATTTAAACTTAACTCATAATTTAAAAAAAAGCATTGTAATTTTTACTATATCATTTCTAAAATTTGCCGGCACACTTTAAGAATTTAGCGGCACACAAAAGTGCCGCTGCTTAGAAGTTGAGAATCACTGGTAAAAACTTAAATGAGAGAAAAGTTTGCGAATTTGTTGAGCTCTCTACAGATGAAAGGGTAATGGGGTATAAGTGGGTGTATTCTTTGAGAGAAAATAAAGAAGGAAATATTATCAGATATAAAACACAGATTAGTTGACCAGGACTTTGGGCAAATTCCAGGACTAGACTAGGGAGAGACCCTTTCGCCTGTCATTTTTTTTACTTTAGTTTGGTTATTCTTCAAATTTATTGGAAAACTATTTTTATTTTTAAATTTATTTCTTCATATTTATTCATCATTTATTTTTTCGAAGTAAAATAACACCAGAATTAAAAATTGTATATTTAATATTTTTTTTCCAATAAAATTTGGCTGTATTGTTCTTAGTTGAGCACATTATTTTTTATTTTGTTGTTTGTCCTTTTTAAGAGTAGTCTGGTACATGCATACTGTACTAATGTCCTGGTTTTTCTTTAGTCTATTAAGAGGTATGCTTTATGCTTATTACCACAATGCAGTATTAAATAAAATAAAATGCTATGAAAATAGTGTAAATGAATTCTGCATATTTTTTGTTAGAATTTTTGATGCTTACAAGACAATATTTTGAAAATATATTACTAAAATGAATAAGATCATAATTCAAGATAAATTTGTTTGCAGAAGTACAGAATTTTTGTTTTTTGTTTTAGCATAAACCAAAAAGTAAAATATAAAACTTAGATAAACACTTCATTTCCATTTATGCTTTTGATTGTGACGATGCTCAGAATGTGTCTTAAGTAAGATAAAAGGAATTGTTCAATAATTAAAATTTTTAACTAATTTCAAAAATATATACTGAAATATGCTATTGCTTTTTTTTATTTTTTTAGTATATTTTGACCACATGAATTTATTTTTATAGATATTTTTGTAGGAAAGCTATGATATCTGAGCATTTAAAAATTATGTATACATTTGGAGGCATGTTGGAATAAGGTACTGGATGCCGATGGAGATTATTATGAGGACTAACAATAGACTTTACTTACTAAACATTACAAAGAGCCCGAACTTTATTGGTTACCTTGCATTTTATTTGTTGATTCCTTTGTTGTAAAATACCATAAAGATTTCTTTGTTTTTTGTTTTTTCCTTTAGATATTTAATCATGAAAGAATGCTGGAAAGACGTGAGTTGCCGACCCACGATGCAGAAAGTTGAAAAGTTCTTGTGCCAGTTGTACAATGATCGTCATAATCAAAGAATGCTCGAATCATTTGAAGAACGTTGGAATTCTTTGCCACCCAAGTCCAGCGATTCCAATCACTCTACAGTGTCCTACAGATACAGCAACGATCTCAATTATTCGTCTGAGGGGGACACTTTTTCTTCGTTTGAAAACTCTTTTGATCTTTTAAACCACAACAAAAACAACTGCAGGCTCTCACCCGGCCTAAACGTCCTAAATGGGAGCACTGATGAACTGACAGAAAACGATGCCTGTATCTCCTTGGGGGGGCTCTCCGACAAAGAGGACGACTCAGAAATACCTTTACCTAACCTTTACCTTGCAGACCCTATTACGGTAGGTGCTGAGACTTCTTTAAATCAATCAACAGGCACATACGAACACAGCAGCTCGACTAATATTTACAATGTGAGACCAGAGGACAATTACGCTGATACAAATGACGGTTCAGAAGATGAAAATAGTAAAGTTGTTATAATAGAGGCTCCTAAAGCATTTAGTGATTTTGGAAATAAAAATGAAATTATTGATTACAATGTTAATGTCCCCTTCATCATTGTTCATGAAGAACCTTCAAATGAAGCAACTGATGATGCACAAATTATAGATAATCAAGTGACCAATGTTGCACCTCCCCGACCCTTTCACTTTGTATTCAAGGATCATGATGAAGCTAAGTGTAACTCGTTGAATAATCAAAATTTTGATGATGAAACTAATTGCAACTCATTGAATAGTCCAAATTTTAGTAATGAAGCTAATTGCAACTCATTCAATAGTCTAAATTTTAGTAATGAAGCTAATTGCAACTCATTGAATAACCCAAATTTTAGTGATGAAGCTAATTGTAACTCATTGAATAATCCAAATTTTGATGATGAAACTAATAGTAACTCGTTATACAATCCAGATTTTAGTGAAGAGGCTAATTGTCACACATTAAGCAATCTAGATGTCAGTGATGACGAAGCTAATTTTGACATGTTAGGTAATCTAAATTTCTGTGAAGAAGCAAATAGTAACTTGTTAAACAATCCAGAATTAGTGGATGAAGCTAATTGTTTCTCACTAAGCAACACAGATTTTGATGCTTTAAAAAATGAACAGCCATCAGACAAATCTTTTAATGAACAGTCACCAGACGAACCTTTTAATGAACAGTCACCAGACGAACCTTTTAATGAACAGCCACCAGACGAACCTTTTAATGAACAGCAATCAGGCAAACCTTTAACATGTCCCAAGACTAGAACTGATGAAATTTCGATGAATGCAGAACGCATGTCCGGTGAATGCGGAAATGTGTTTGATGATAGTTTAGTTCAAAATGAAAAAATACTGAATGAATGTGCTGCTCCCTCATTCAATCATCCAGATTTGAGGCCTACACATGACGATCAAACATCAGACGAAACGTCCTCATCGAGTGGGCCTCTTCAACTTAACAAGTGTGATATTTTTAACACAACTGAAAGTACCATTAGATTTCCACCTGATAATTATGAGGATGTATTTAATGACAATTCATTTCAACACGGAACAGTAATAAAAGAACCCTCGTTAGAAAATCCAAATTTTGTTGTTTTAAAGAGAAGCGACGATCCCTTAACAACTACCAATGAATCTAATACTTCAGAGTTCTTACCTGTTGAATGTGATTCAGTTTTAAGGGTATTGAATGAGGAAGATAATGAAACAACAAGGTTTTGTTCTGAAACTTCAGGTGGTGCATCTGTTGAATCGATATCTTACACTAGTCATAGCATAGATGAAGAAGATTTTAAGACTACTCATTCAACATTTGACATTGATGACAACTCACCAGTCAATTTGCAAATCAAAAGTTTAAGTGAAGTGATTGAAAAAGCAACGACGGTGGATAAAAACTGTGCCTTGCCGATTCTCGTGACAAAGTGCCCTTCTGACGTGTCATCGGGTAACAACGCTAAGAAATCTTTAGTGGATGAAGCTACGATACCAGACAGTAGAAATTCCTTCGATTTTGAGGAAATTAAACGAAATTCTGAAGATTTAATGGCCGGTGATCTCGATACGTCATTAAATACATCTTATTCTGTTGAGGACATAAAATTCTCCAGTAGTGAAAGCACACCATTTTCAATGAGTGAAAATCTCTCCAATGCTGGAGCAGAATCCAATATCCCTCTTTCAAGAAATCCATTCGGCCAATACATTAGTTCCAAGCAAGATGAAATTGAAGAAAGTTCTGCTGAGCTCGAAGATCAGGAAAGTCGAATGCAATCTGCTGGTAATTGTAGAAACCCTAAGCAGAATTCCAGTTTTTTAACCAACTCTGCTCTTTCAAAACACGTTGGTGATGGTGTGTTCAGTGGTAAAGCCGAACTGCGCCTCAAACCGTATGAAGGGGAAATGGTTGTGGAAGATCTTGAAACCGGCGAGCAAACAATCATAACCGAGACTTACTCTGCATGCGATGACTTTGAGAACTCAGCTGAAAGCGACGAGATTCTCAAAATTAACATAGAAACAGATGAAGCAATTATTGTCGACTCTTCCGAAGCTCTCGTAGGCTTCGTTCCTAGCAGGTCTATCGAATTGCTCCAGGAGTGTGAAATAATACCAGTTTTAGAAGTGCCATATTCCGAGAATGAAATGCCTCCAGGTATGTTGTTTAACTCCAGTTTTTCATTGACTTTGGGAGAAATGAAAATTTGTGAAGTTCATATAGCTGAATAAAATATTTTCAAATTTACACGTGAATATACATGTACATTCATAAATTGTACATGTATATTCACTTTAAACTGTTTACAGGGTTGCCACTCCACTGGGAGAATGGGTAAAATCTGGAAAGTACAGGAATTTAAAAAATCTGCTTAATAAATAGAGAATTAGGAGTTTTTCTTTAGAAACTGGGAAAAGGCAGGGAATTTATTTTTTATTTTTGTCTTTTAAAAATTGGTGTCCACTCAAAGCGCAATCTATGGGATATTTAGGGAAGATATTACAGCTTTACTAAACTATTTCATTTAGCATTATTTAAGTATGTTCAGCTGTTCCTTTTTTATTCTAAGTTTTTCCAGCCATTAAAACTAGTATAGTTAGCCCAATAGAGCCCACACAAGACCACAGTGATTGTGTTTCCTCTTAATATATTGTGTATAACATGTGCAGGGAATTTTTTTTCCAAATTTGAGCCACAACCCTGTGTTTAGATGAAAATGAATTAAACAAGATATTGTGGAGTTATATCATAATTAATCATCTAAGTTAGGGGTGCGCAACCTGCGGCCAAAAATTCATTGTGAGCAGAAGCACTGCATGCCACCTGCACATAAATTTTTTATTTCTTTGAAAAATAAATATTAAAAAAAATTGTATTAAATTTTGAATCACACATTTGAGTTATCACTTTTTGATGTGCTCAATTTGTACAGATTCTATTGTTCTATGTTGTTTCTTGATCGCTTTTCAATGATTTTTGCAGCAAAAATTCTGCATGGTTTTGAAAAACTAAATGTTTTTAATGTGATATTTAGGATGCACGAATTTTGAATTTGAGTCATTACTGTAACTTTTTCATTTAAAATTCATAAAATCACTAATATTGAATCTTATTTTGTACTATTATGGTCTTGTTCTAACTTTTTGTTTTTGTTTTAACCCTATAAATTTTCTTTAATTAAAATATGTATTTACTTATTTTACATTTCGTTTTAGTTTGTTTAATGTTTTTCTTTTTTTTTTTCTTTTGACAAAATGATTCAAAATGTTTTAGTATTTTTAACTTCATGAAATTCTCCAAAAACTAGTTGGTTATTGTTATTACAACACACTAGATTTTCATAATGCACAAATTTAATATAGCTATACTGATTCCATTTAACGGTTAGAATTCTTGTAATTAAAAAATTAAGAGTCTGGAAAATATTATAAGTCTCTTTTCTTAATTACCATGCTCTTTTTTACAAGCTTTTTTTTTTAGGTTTTTCTTTTGAAACGATTTTTGAGACTAATTTTGCTTTATTAACAATATGTTTGAATTAAACATAATAATTTTTTCTATCAGCTACTTACAGTCAAATCTCATCGAGACGAAAACACTAAACTTGAATTTTCACTTAAGATGAAGGAATACAATTTCCTCATCACAGAGCTTGTATAGCTACCTTGGAGTATTATTACCTTTTAAGGATTAGCAGTTAATGACACAGTACAAAATTTACTCATTATCAATGTCGAATTTAATTAGGTTAAATTTTCTATTTTTTTAACATTTTCTTGGTATTTTAAAATTTTCAAATGCTTTTGCCTCTCCATGGCTTCCCTGTATGTAATTCTGAGGTTATTGTGGAGCCATTAATTGTCTTGTCATAAGCTATGTTTGATATATGTTTTATAAATTAATGAAAGTAGTGTATAGCTAAAATGGCTAGTGCAACTCGACAAAATTAAGTTTTTCAAGTAACTGTTATTTACAAACATTATGAAAAGTTATAAAATAGTAATTTAATTTTTTTCTCATTAAAACTTGTAATTTATTGTTTACGGTATTTGCTCTAATGGCATATTTTTCTTTTGAAGAAATGAACGGCATTAGTGAGTCACACGAAAATCAACACTTTCGGAATTTCTGTCTGCAGAACGAAGTTATTGAAGAAGAGATCACGGAAGAAATCACAACGCCTTCGTCCGTCTGCTCCACCGCTTCCTTCAGCAGTAATGAAGTATATACTGAGGGTGAGGAAAAAATGTCTCAGGGATCAGAATCTTATCACCAAATGGAAGAAACTTCGATCTTGCCAGTCATGGAACAGTTTTACTCCGAGAGTGATGAAGGCTCAAAAACTGACATCAGTAACTCTTGCTCTGATGAGGCCCTTGATACGAGGCACTATTTGACAGACTTAGAAAACAATAGGTTGCCAGATTATCAGGATGTTATGCATTCCTGGCAACCTTTGCAGGCTATAAGATGGAATTCTGATGAGACAATTGATTTGGAAGAAAATATTTGTAACCCAGTCATTAAATTAGAGGGTCAAGAAATTTTGGCTGGCTGCATGGCAGTGAAAGGTAAGATATATCTGCTGATAATTTGCTAGATTAAGTCTCACAAAATCTTTTTGGAAAAATATATTTTCTGTTAAAAAAAAAACTTATGTATGTTTTGTTTTATGTATAGTTTTTTAAAACTCAAATTTGCTTGCCTTTATGTTTACTAAGATCACCATCCATTAAACTACAACAAAAACGTTGTTTGCATTCAGTATTTCAAGTACATACCGCAGACCATGGCAATGTAGACTCAAATATTTTTATAGCCCTAGCAACAATTATACCTTGACCCCAATCGGGCTCAAAATAAGCTCCATATGGATCCTATATGAACATGCTCTGAGGGACCAATATTGGTCCTATGCAGTGTTAATATCGGCCTATATAGGGACAATATAGGACTCATATTTGCTGACTTATAAATATAAAATATTGAGTGAATCAGGCAATTCTATATAGGGCCAATATTGATTGTAAAGTGACAGTAAAATATCGGGTGAATCAAGCAATTCTACATTAGGCCCATATCTGGAAAATATTGGCCCTTTGAACCTTTTTTGAGCCAAGATTTTGTAATTATTGGTCCAATAAGGGCCCAAGTTAATTTGCTACTAGGGATTTTGTGATAAAGTTAAGGTTCAGCTCTGCTTTACTGTACATAGAATTTAAGGCATGTGCGTCTATTGAGCTGTGTTCGGTGAGATTATTTCCCTTTCATGTGGAACTCTGCTGTATTTTGCAAGATATTCTCAATTTGAGCCTTCATTTTCCACCCTCTGAAATCGAACCAAAAAATATCTCGATCTTTTTAGGGTAACTATTATAATCACGAAAAGAGTTCTTTGTCCGAAACTAGTTATTTTATCATGATCATGTTAAGTTTTTGAAAATTATTTTGCTTTTTGTTAATGTATATAAACTGCTGTTTGTAGAAAATGCAACACCATGAAGGAATCATCAGAATCAAATGAAATATTATTTTAATAATGGATGTACTGATACAAATAAATCTTTCGAAACCAAA